AATACTTTTAGAAAATTTTTTTTATCAAGTCTAATTATTCACTCTATGGGCTATGGAGAAGGTCCATTTCCCAAAACGTCTGTTATACTCGACAGTACTATCGATTGTCTAGCGTTTAAGATCCGGAAGAACGCTGGTGAACAGAGTGGAACAACGCGAACGTCCAGAATAAACACCTAATTCGAAAATCAAGCAACGTCGCACCGCCTGGCTTTGACATTCCTCCTCGAGGATACTGGTGATGTAGTGTTGAGGCATCAGACCATCAACAGCAGGCCGATGCGTACATCGCTTACATATTCTAGATTTGAAGCTTTCGTGACTGCAATGATTCATATTCTTAGGTTTTTTCGGTAAAGTCACGTAGGTAAAAATTTAAAATTAATAAAAGTAAAATAAAATAACAATCACGACGTTTCGGAGGCAACACAAGCTTCCGTCTTCAGGTGGAAGCTTGTGTTGCCTCCGAAACGTCGTGATTTTAATTTTATTTTACTTTAATTAATTTACATTTTTTACCTACGTGACTTTACCAAAAAAAACTAAGAATATCGCTTACATGAATAGAAAATTTCAAGACAAGCCACAGTAGTGCGATTGTGGCCAGACAACCCAAACTGCGGACCAAATATCAAAACCCACTCCCTATTGATCAACCTTGTACGTGGTTGTAATGTGCACCGATGCCTACTTTACTGAGGGTGATATCGGCACATAAAATAAACATTGATTGATGGCGGTAAACACACAACACACACACACCACACAGTGCTGCTGGCTGCTGACATTCTACGCGAGAATTGAACAGTCGATGTGCAGTGTTAGTCTGTGGGTAATGTTGGTCTTTGTGTAGTCTTAGTCTATGGGTCGTAAAGTAAACCAACTTCAGTCTGAGCTTCTTCAACGGGAGATGAACGGCAAAACTACACGACCTCTCTCTCTCTCCTGAAGCCTTCGTCTCGTCGTGCCCAGCAGCAGCAGACCTCGACATTAGCATCCAACTCCTCAAGGGCGTATTGCTGCCATCACGCTCAAGAGGTCAGCGTGGTCCAGATGTCTTGTGACCCCTTAAATTCGTTTACCCCTAACATTTCCCTCCCTCCCCCCTCTTTGCATGTTGATTCATGTTTCAAATAGGCATTACTTTAAAAAAAAAATTTGTTTTAGAGAATTAAATGGGGGGGGGGGGGGGGGTCACAAGACATCTGGAGCACTCTGTAGCTTGGGGTGGGTAAGTGCTGCCCTCTACTGCGCGGACGCCCGCGGTTCCCGCAAACGAGGTCCCATTCGCAGTCGACTGCGCAGCATCCTAACGCGGGGTCGTTCGAAGTACCCGAGACGAATTGCGCTCAAATTCTACAAATATTCGAAGCTGAACATTGTCAAGTAAAAATAAAATAAGAAACAAAGCGAATCCTTTCAGCCTATTCACGCGTATTTATTGAGCGCACACACACTACACCGATTAGCACGGTTGGCTAGGTACGGTGCAAAAGAAGTTTAACGTACAAATGCGAAGTACACCAAACACATTTTTATCCTTAAACATCTCCCATGTACCGATGAAGTGGGGAGCAGGCCTTCATAATCCAGCAGTGGATAGATCACGGTTAAATTATATAATCAATGCCATCACTCTTCTTGGTTCTTTCGGTAAAGTCACGTCGAAGGGAAGTAATAATGACTTTACCGAAAGAACCAAGAAGATGAATCCCTGCAGTCACGAAAGCTTCAAATCGAAATTTAATGCCATCACTATCATGAGAAAATATTGACTGATCACGAATCGCTGTTGCGATGGGACAGATTGATTCGTATCGGGTAATGAGCTATTTGCCATGACGCCCCTGCATAGACAGGCAATATATTACAGCATAACAAAAATAATTATCAACATATTCGACAACAAACACTGTGTGGCCTTAAAAGGCAAAGTATATAACGAGCGACGTTTCGAGCAATGGCCCTTCATCACAGTGCACAGAGAGGCCAAGAGGACAATTGCCCGAAATGTCGCATATTTCTTTTAAGGCTACGACACACAGTGCCGGATTGAGTTAGTGCAGGGCCTGTAGCATATGTTGTAAAGGAGCCCTAAAAAAACATAAATATAAAACACACATTTTTTTACTTGCATAGTAAAGTTATTTTAATTTGTTATACGGCCGGATAATACGAGAAATCACTAACCTTAAACACGCGGTCGTTCGTAAAAGTTGAAGGCAGTATAGTACTATAGTAATAGAGCGAGTGCAGAAAGACTGAACCGGAATTGATAGCTTGATATCATTGTCCTGAAATCTTGACTTAAAGCTTTCGTGGCTGCAATAGTTCATATTCTTTGAGTCTTTCGGTAAAGTCACGTAGAACAAACATAAAAAAAAACATTTTTACCGAAAGACCCAAACACTATAGCATTGTCCTGATAGTGCGTTGTTTTTGTGCTGTTCGCTTTTTTGCGTCCTCTGGTCAAACACTTATGTTTTATTTTTTTATTTTTTTATTATGTTTAATTTTTTTATTTTATTATTTCCCTTCTACGTGACTTTACCGAAAGAACCAAGAAGATGAATCCCTGCAGTCACGAAAGCTTTAAATCGAAATTTGGTCTAACACTGTTTGAGACTAGGCTTTAAAGAAAGCTGTCTCTGCTGTGGACCAATCAGTTTTAAAGACAATGCACATACAGTCAGAACATACTCTTTGGTACTTTCGCTAAAGTCACGTAGGTATAAAATAAAATAAATCACGACGTTTCAGTCGCAACAAAAGCATCCGTCATCAGGTGAGAGAGCATGATCTGCTGCCGAGGCAGGTTTGAAATGGGTGTAGCCCAAGGGTCATAAAGAAGTGAGCGGGGCTAGTGATGTTAATGTAAGAATGGAGAGCGGCCTCCTCAACGAGGGCACGGAAGTGGCTATGTTAATGTGAGAGATTAGCATGTTAATGTAAGATCGAAGAGTGGCCTCCACGAGGCAAGAGCGTCAACGCAAGGGAACCACCGCAACAGTGGCCATGTCAGAACATGTTTTTTTTGTTTGCATGTTCACCACAAGTATATGTATGTGGTTAATGCAGACATGATTCCTGGCAAAGGTTTCAGTTTGGTATTTTAACATCTGGAAAACGATATTAACATAATGTAGTACTGGCCAAGAAGGTCTCATGAAGCTTGAATGCATTTAGCGCGGGGCCCTTGAAAGTGGGGGGCCCGTAGCTACATATGTAGCTCCTTATTCTTTCAGTCTTTCGGTAAAGTTACGTAGGTATAAGAAAAAAATTATAATACAAATTTAAATTAAGTGAATAAAAAAATAATAAAAAAAGATGTAGCTGCTTGTGCTACGAGGATAAACCGGCACTGCATTACACACACGTGCGCGGTGTCTCCGTATCGCTACGGGAAGTGTTGAGTCAAGTTGCGTGCAACAGCAGCAGCGACGACGCCAGTCGTTGATTATTGACTAATCTTCTCCATATACAGGTAGTCCCCGAGTTTCGATGGTCCGACTTACGATATTTCGATCTTACGATGGCGATAGCGATACGACAAAATTTGCCATCAACAACCTAACATTTTAACACGTAGGCTTTCGCGACCAATATTATTCATAATCAACGTTTTTGGGTTTAGATCGCGTATTTATAAATGTGTCCATTCTGGCGACTTGCCCGATGATGCTGGATGCAATTACCAGCGAAAACGTCGTACTCAAATTGTAAATGTTGTGGTTTCACGCTTCAACACACCGGTGGGCTAAAGCAGTGAACTATTTGTCTTTTGTCAACGTGACACTTTTTTACTGATTGGCCGTGTCGGGTGGTGGAGGGTTACGACACATTTATAGATAACGCGATCTAAACCCAAAAACGTTGATTATGAACCGAACATTGTTCAAGTATGCAGACGACGGACAGAATCTTGGTGAGTACAGCACAATATGATACGTTGCGATACGTTCAATGCATGTATGATACGTAGCTTTAGCGATTTCATTTTAAGGTTACCACGATACGATACGTTCAATGCATGTTAAAAAAAAATTTTCATAGCAGATAGGATTGTTTCCTGAAAAAACGTTCTTTTAAATGGCAGTTCACATAGGTAGGCTAAGAATTTACCTTGTTTTTTTACTATACATTTTACTGTGCAATATTGTATTGTAATTAATAAATACATACAGTATATAGTTAATACAGTACGGTACTATAAATTGCTCTGTTTTACTAAATTATCACCATTCTTTAAGACTCCTGGGTAGGCTAGGCCATCTTCGACTTACGATATTTTCAATTTACGATGGGGTCGTCGTAACGCATCCCCATCGTAAGTAGAGGACTACCTGTATATTTAATGCAAAGTTGTGAATATGTGTCTGTTCAAAATGTTTAGCGTACTTCCCGACATGCAACAAACTGCAAATTTGCCATGTGGGTACTTTCCAGACTGTACACCATGCAAAAATTATAAAAATACACTTTTGGTTTTTTTTGGGGGGGGGGGGGAGCTCAATAATGCATATATGTTTTGCACAGCAAGTGTCACGTGACCCGCGCACGTGGAAGCGTAACGCATTGTAGTGTAGTGGTTAGTGCGCTGCGCTACGAACCCGGCGACCCGAGTTCTATTCCCGGTGACGATTATTTTTATTTGAACAGCTCCTGGGCCTCCCCTAGGTCGACTCAGCCTCAAACGCAGTAACTGGTGGTGTGGTGTGTGAACATCGCCACTGGGGAGACAAAGGCGGCCGGGCGTGGTGAATCCAAGTCCCGGGCGAAGCCGGGTAGTTTAGCTAGTTGTGAATAATTCTAGATTTAAAGCTTTGAAGCCTTTAGTAACTGCAATAACGACGGCACCGCACCACACCCACGTGCGTTGCCTGTTGTGTTCGTATATACTGTAGTATGTTAATGAACCCACGTGACGTGACGCATGGCATGGTAGGGTGGGTGGGGGGGCTCATTTCATTTGATCCCAGCCCCGTGGTAAACATGTGGCTGTGACAATAAAGCGAGCGTAGTTGAAGCACCCCCCCCCCTCGCTGCCACCGAACCATTTCTCTTTCTCCTCTCTCCTCAATCCCCTCGGCAGCAGCAGCTGCAGACCCCAGCTCATGGCCACCGTTCGAGGCGTCTGCAATGGCCTTGGGGATGTGGAGGAGGTCGACGACGGCGCTCCGTCGTGCCAGGAGGCCTCGATGTCCGCCCGCCCCGGCCTCAGCCCCGCCGCTCCTGTGCCCTCGACTCAAGCTCCATCATCAGCAGCAACAACAACAACATCGGCGTCGTCTCCTCCTGCGCTGTCCACCATGGCGGAGTACCTTGAGGGTGGTGGTGGTGGTGGCGCGGCCTACGTGAACGGCGCCAGGCGGCGGTCCGTGGGCCACCATCCCTACCGCAACAGGGCCATGTCTGAGCCGGAGAGGTGAGCGGGAGAGACGTGGGGGGCAGCAGAGATGTGGGGGGCAGTCCGAGGAGAGATGTGGGGGGCAGGAGAGATGTGGGGGGCAGACCGAGGAGAGACGTGGGGGGCAGGAGAGATGTGGGGGCAGTCCGAGGAGAGACGTGGGGGGCAGGATAGATGTGGGAGGCAGACCGAGGAGAGATGTGGGGGGCAGGAGAGATGTGGGGGGCAGTCCGAGGAGAGACGTGGGGGGCAGGAGAGATGTGGGGGGCAGACCGAGGAGAGATGTGGGGGGCAGACCGAGGAGAGATGTGGGGGGCAGGAGAGATGTGGGGGGCAGACCGAGGAGAGATGTGGGGGGCAGTCCGAGGGGGTCTGGGGGTGTCTCGCTCAGCCATAGACATCCAGGGGTCTGGATGTCTACCCCCCTCAATCACCCTTCTAGCTGTACCCCTGTTGTTTATATGTTTAACTTCTTTCGCACCGTACGTAAGCTAACACCCCCCCCCCCCCTTTCTAGCCGGACCCCTTGCGGGTCTTGGGGTCCGGATGTCAGACAATGGACCCCCGTTTATTTTGGGGTAAGGGATCTGCGTATGTAACACTCTTTGATTTACGGGGGTCTTGATGTTATCCCCCCCCCCCCCCCCACGACTAATCCCCTTTGCAGCTGAGTCCGCGTGACCTTGCGGGGGTGGTGGCTGGGATACGGGGGTCCACAAACAATGGGGGGTTGGGGGGGGGGGTTAATAGGGGATGTCTACCAACATGTGGTTGGCGTGAGATCTCTTGCCAAGGGCCGGGTGATTGTGCAATAACCCGTAGCCCAGCAGAGAACCCCCTTTGCAGTACTTTCTTTTTGAATTGTTACCCCAAGGAATGCTACATCACTGCCTCTATATCGTGCAGAGGTGTTTGTTCCAGGCCGGTTCAATCTGCCGTCACAGCAGTTGTTACATAAACAGTACGGCAGGTCGCCTTGGGGAGGGTGAAAGTGGTGGTAACTACAACATATTTTTCAAGAGGTCTGGCTGGCGTGGAAGATTAGGCCAAATATCCTCGAGAGGGGGTCTCTAGAGCTCGCTTCAGTGGGGTGGGGGGAGGGCCTTCTGCCAGCAGTGGCGTGAGCAGGCACTTGCAGGGCTGCGCCCTCACCGCAGTCGTCTGTCCACGTGGCTTCTCTTTGGATCTCTCGGTAGGGATTAGACCACCTGTGGACCCCTAAAAAAGGGGGGCTGTCTAACAATTGTTGTTACTCGAAAGATGTATCTCTCTGTTCGCGTGTTGTGCTTAGTTCGTTACCCTGTCCACGCACGGTTGGCTACGTTCGGTGCGAAATAAGTTCAGCATACAAACCATCTCGTCGTTCACCATTCACTCGCTGATTCATTCGTTCACGTGCCTCATTTCAAGCCAGGCGACAGCCCATTGACCTTAGCCGTCTCTTTCACGAGCTCCGTGGCTTTTATTCGTTCGTACATGCACCGAAGAGGTGGACAGATTGGGCCAGTTGGATTATAGCCACGTCCGCAGGTTGGAGGCATCGCACGGGGAGGGGGGGAGACACCCTTTGTTGAGCTTCTCCAGGACACTTTGCTCCCAGGTGTGTTATGGTGCCAGCTCTTGACCAACATTTGCGAATTGGCCATAACCGACCTCGTTTTCCGGTTTCAGCAGTGCCAGGATTGCTGGGATTGATACTGTTAGGGTTTTTTCGGTAAAGTCACGTCGGTAAAAATAAAAAGTAAAAAAATATTTATTATTTTATTTCCATGATTACTTTTATTAACTTTTAATTTTATGTTTTACCTACGTGACTTTACCGAGAAAAGCCTAACAGTATGAATCCTTGCAGTCACGAAAGCTTCAAATCTAGAATTGCTGGGATTGGTCTAAGCTTATGATTAAGGTTGGGGGGTTATGTTCAAGATGAGTGAATATTAGGATGACTTGTTATGTTAATGGATGTCGGGTGAGGCTTCGAATGTGTGCTTGTTAGGGTGTTATAGTTTTATGGTTTGGGCTAGGATTAGGTTTAGAGGGTAGGTTTAGAACTAGTATTATGGTTTATGTTTAGAGGGTTAGGTTTAGGGATTGGTAATCGGGTTGGTATTATCTTGAACTTAGGGCGAGTGTTAGGTTTTTTGGGTTAGAGGTGGGTTTTGTCCCGCTGAGCCAGTTTAAAGGTTAGAACTATAAATTTTGATTTAAAGCTTTCGTGACTGCAGGGATTCATATTATTGCTTCTTTCGGTAAAGTCACGTAGAAGGGAAATAATGAAATAATATAAATATAAAACAATTAAAATTCTCACGACGTTTCGACTGCAACACAAGCAATCATCATCAGGTATGAAATCCACAGCAAGAAAATTGTTGCAGTCGAAACGTGAGAATTTGTATTGTTTTATATTTATATTATTTTATTATTTCCCTTCTACGTGACTTTACCGAAAGAACCAAGAATATGGTTAGAACTATGTTTAGTGGATACAATGATAGTTAAGAATAAATATTTGTATTTTCTATCTACGCGACTTTACCGAAAGAACCAAGAATATGAATTCCTGCAGTCACGAAAGTTTTAAGTCAAGTACAATCTGTGTTTACCATCTCTGTTCGCCTGCTGTGCCTTGGGGCTTAACACTGAACACTTTGTGCTGTAGTTTGACGTCGTGAGCCCCAGTGATTGACATTAAGCCCAAATACTGTACTGTCATAACACTAGCCCAGAGGTTGACAACCAAATAACAATTAGATCTATTTTTCGAATTCTGTAAAAAAAATATTTTAAGAGCATACCAGTTCGGTTTACCTGTATTCTTGTACAGGGAAATTGCGTTTTCAGGTCTATACGGCGTACAGCTGTTTCAATGCGGGCAAAAAACCATCTATTTGTGTTTCTCCCTTGTGATGGGGCTTTGTAGGATGAACGTTGACATTTATAAGGGCACGGGGTGACCAATAAGCTCTGAATTGGTCTAATAATGTAGGCAGCATGTGAATACGAGACGGGCCTTAAAGAGCCCGTAGGTTGCGGACCCCTGGTTCTAGCCCGATGAAGAGAGTCTCAAACTTTAACAATTATCTCCAGGAACAATCGAATCGCGATCGGCATAATCGTAACGCATAAAACGAACAAACCCTGGCATCGACTGTAACTTCTTAACCGCCACCGCTTGAGCTAAGCTCGTCGAGTATGTCATCGATTATGTCATCGATTCACTTCACACACGTGTTTTTGTTGTGGTCCCGGTGCTATTAATTATCCCTAAACAGCTTTGACGATGTCTGTCGATATGTGCGCTAACAACTCTGTTGGACATTCGGCGTTTCGTTTGATTGACGTCTGCGCCACGCTGCACGAGTTCGCGGCGGCCATGTTGCTCGGGGGGGGGGGGGTCAGAGGGCAGGGAGCTCAGTGAGAGTCATGGGGGGGGGCGGGGCGGGGGGCGACGCTGTTAACATGAACGCGACGGCGATACCCCCTACCTAAGATGGCCGCCTCCAGCGACCCCTACCACGTGGTCGCCGTGCACCCCCCCCCCCCCTCACGGCGCGCGCATGGTTTTACGCTGCCGGTTATAACCACAAGCGAGCACGTGTTTGGCGCGCCGCGCCTGTTCCAGCAACGCTTCTACGGCTTTCGTTAAGTCCCGAGCCTGCTGATTAGCTCGGGGCTAGCCCGCCTTCCCCTGTCTCTCATTCCTCTCCCGCCTGTTGTAGGATGGCCGACTTTCTCATCAGCGGAGGCACAGGATACGTTCCAGACGACGGCATGACCGCGCAGCAGCTGTTCGCCGGTGCGGATGGACTCACGTACAAGTAAGTGCCCCCCCCCCCCACGCGCTCTCACTCTCCTATCATCAGTCGAAAACTCGAGTACCCGCACGAGCGATTAAAGTCACGATAGTGTTCGTGGACGTATCAGAATCTACTTTTGTTTTTAGCTACAGAGGCATAACTAGTATGATCACAGCACAGACGGAGCAAATGCAACAATCCTACTTTGGCGGCTGATGATAATGATGATTGTAATGAAAATGTGGAGCATGGAGCCGCCGCTGGCTAGGAATGTGGAATTCGCTAACCACTCAAGTCCGTCTAGTACCGTAATACATTTTAAACAGGGCGGGTGACGCTCTGCTGACTTTAGGATTCGCTGTCTTAGTAGCCACGATGAATGAAATGTAAAATTCGAGCTGCAGTGATGCACAACCGCGCATTAGACGCCTCTACAACATTTCTCCCCGTGTCTTGCGAGCCCACGTGAGGCAGGTGCGGATCATCGACGCGGTGATTAGATTGATGGGGCGTTTTTGCCGGCTTTGGGCAAACAAAAGTCGCTGGTCTAGTTCGTTTCTAACACAACCCCCTCCGGCCTAGCCAGTTCAAATGCCACGTGTGCCGGAACCGTCGTCCTGTGCCAAAGACAAAGACGCACACAGCCCCCTTGACTCAATCCTCTGCTGGTGGTTGGTTAGAGCTTTCACCACGTCGGTCTGTGCGTCTTGGTGAAGACGGGGGGAGGCAGGGAGCATGGAGATTCCGAAAAACGGTGGATTTTTTTTGTTTAAAACTGCCCCCCACTCGAACCGCTCCCGATCGTAGATATGTTAAGCGGTCGCGTTTACAGTCGATTGGAAATATGGTCGATGTGATTATAATCGGTTGAGTGGCGATTCCCGTCCATGACTAACATCAGTAGAGAGTGATCTGTGAACCGGTTCTATTCCCCCTTTTACCAACATGACATGGGGAGGGCATTCATCCAGCAGGCAGTTTGATATAAAGGATAAAAATTTTTTATTATATCTGCACTGGTTCTAGCTACTTCCCTTAACTAACCTGTGCTGACTAGCATGGTCAAACAAGCCCCACGATCAACCGACATGGCGTTGATGGCATGAAAAACAACTCCTGACTTATTTATTAACGAATCGGGATGGCATCCAATTGAATTTGAAGCGCTGCTCGATTCTGAGAAAGTCACAGCGAGCGGTTGCGAGCTGGTTATTTGCGTCCTGTGATGATTGGCTTGGAACCTTTGAATGGATGACACCGTGGAAGTCTGCATTTCACGGACCCCAAAGGAACAGGACAAAGGAGGTTCCTGTCCCACAGCCCAAATGTTCTTGCGTGTCGGCCAAAAGCCAAAAATCAAAGGGCCCCCCCCCCTTTTTGTCACGAGCCGTCACGGTGTTTGGCCCTCGGGGTGAGAGTGCACGCGGATGATTTCACGGCCGTCGTCCCAGACCGCCGCTTATAGCTCGCGATCGACCACGGTGATTATCCGTGTACTCGCGGATGTTAACGGAAAATAACTTTATGATTCAGCGGAAAGTCAAATAAAGACTTTGCACATTTTTTCCTCCTAATTTTATTCCCTCCCGCCGCCTCACGGCTGTCGCGTTTGTTCATTCATAAAGGCCGCTTGAACTTTGCATCGCATCACGGTTAGTACACCATTAAATTAAATTCACGATGTCCATTTCGCCCCAATGATGGTGTCAGTTGTGTTGAAGGTAACATGAAAAACAAATGGAACCACCGGGAGAAGGCGACAGTCTCCCACCCACATCAGCAAATAGATGCGCACTTCTCCGTCATGAATGGAAAGTTAAAGACAAGCTATAGTAGTGCGATTGTGGCCATGCTAAACGAAACTCAACTCTTTATTTGACCAGATAAGGCCCACTGAACGATATATAGCTCTTTCAGAAGCGACCTGGCCACAAATGATAGTTCAATGAAGTGGCTTATAAATGTGGAAATTGATAGCAGCCAAATACTTTAAATGTATGTTTCTGAATGTGGAGAAAAATCGACGCGAACACGAGGAGAACATGCAACTCCACATATACAGACATCAGGGTCGGGATCGAATCCATGACCTGTATACTGGGCGAGGTAGTTAACATCTTGCCGCCATGCAACTCAGACTATGAATCATGTAGTAAACTACTGTAGTCTACGCTCCTTCAACAAAGGAGAACAGCAACTCTCTCTCTATTGAAGCCCTCTTCATCATGCTCAGCAAATCTCGACATTGCCGTTTAGCTCCTGAGCCATATGGCCATCGTGCGCAAGGGTAGAATAGAACTGCTAGTTACGAACACTGCAGCAGTGTTGGCTTAATTACAAATTACGTTCTGGTCACACTTAATTTTAAAAGGTGGTAAAAATACAGCCCGGAAATATCATGGTCATGCAGCTGTTGACAGAATGGCCTCGACTCAAGGGGAACGCTCGACATATGGAAGTGCCCACACTTTACCCCACCACTCGCGATATGCCAGCGAACTTACTGCGGTGAGCCCATTTACACCGCTGGGTAAACAAGAGGTGGGGGGGGGGATATATAAAACTTTCCTCATTGCGACAACTTACACGCCGGGAGTTCTAACCGACGACCTCTGCGTTGTCAACCCCAGCGTGCCTGTCCCTGTCACCACTCCCATTGGCCAGCACTCCCGATAGCCTTAATAGGTGCTCGCTATCAGAACTTTCCCCAACAGTCTATGGAGGCTATACGGGGTTGGGGGGGGGGTCACACTGTTTCGTGCGCGTGTGTAATGTGTATATTTAGCATCCAAGTCTCATGGTGCTCGTGTAACCGATCAGCTCGCGCGTGTGTATGCACGTGTGTGTGTGTACGCGTGGGAAGCGGTAGCGTGGCAGTTGGTGTGCTGCGCTACGAACCGGGCGACCTGAGTTCGATTCCTGCTCAAGTCCAACACCACTGACGGTTATCTAAACTGGTGCTGGGTCTCCCCTACGTCGACTAAGCCTCAAACGAGTACCTAATGCAATGTGTAAAAAAACAACGCAACTGGGGAGACTAAGGCGGTCGGGTGTGGTGCTGGCCATGGACCTCCTCATGTACCCTTCCAGCCTTCAAAGGTGCTCACAAACGGCACTTGCCCTAACAGTATGTTAAAGGCTATAAAGGGGATCTTTGTCTTTGTGTGTATTTTCAGTGACTTCCTCATCCTTCCCGGCTTCATCGACTTCAGCGCGGATGAAGTGGTGAGTCAGCAGCGTCTGCGCGTCGAGCGGTCGAGGGGCACACGTGGGGGCATTGCCACCACGAGCCGGTTCACGACCACATAAACACACGTGTCAATTACTCTGTCATTGAAAGCAAAAAAAATCCGTTAAGAGATTTGACATGTCGGGAAATGGCCCTTGTTCATCGCACATGAAGGGCCATTGCAGGACACGTTTTCCTCCCAAGGCCACATGGTGTTATCGACCAAAGTATTTAGGTTTTTGTTAACTCTCTTGTATGTATACATGTGTACACACGTTTGCGTGTACCTATGTGCGTGTACATGTTCAATTCACAGCCAATAGCAGTGACCATTATCTGAGCGGGTCATGGGCCCTCCCCCTAGGTCGACTCAGCCTCAAATGAGTACCTGGTACGGTGTGTAAATATCGGCACTAGGGAGACAAAGGTGGCCAGGTGTGGTGCTGGCCACCCACTCCCTCGTGTGCCGTGCCGGCCTTCATAGGTGCTCGCTAACAATACTTGTTCCAGCAGTGTGTTAAGGCCGTAGAGGGGATCTTTGTACGTGGATGTTCCTCTGTGTCTGTACTCGACACGTGCGTGTACTCGTATGCGCGCCTTTGCGTGTGTGTGTTCATGCCCATTTGTGTGTGCATCACAGGACCTGGCGTCGGCGCTCACCAAACAGATCACCCTCAAGACCCCGCTCGTCTCCTCCCCCATGGACACGGTCACCGAGTCCAGCATGGCCATCGCCATGGCGGTGAGGGCCGCGACCGGCACACGGCCTCCTAACCACGCGCTAGTAACCAAGCGCTTGTCCTCATTGGCTTATTCTCAGGGCGAACCGTGGGCTCGTAGTTGTGTTTGTAGTTCTTGTTGTGTGTGTGTGTGTAGTTCTGGTTGTGGTTATATTTGTGGTTGTGATCGTACCGCCCCCACAGCTCATGGGAGGTGTGGGTGTGATTCACCACAACTGCACTCCTGAGTTCCAAGCCAACGAAGTCCGGAAAGTGAAGGTTCGATCCCCACCAATGCACCCACCCACCCATTCACTGACCTACTCACCTGCTCATCCACACACTCGCCAGATTATGCCCACCCAACCCACCTTGCCCACCTGTCTGCCCACCCACTGACCGACTCATCCACCCACTTTCCCATCCACTCGCTCACTCACCCACTCGCTCACCCACCTACCCCCCTGCTCATCCGCCCGCCCGCCCACTGTCCTACTCACATGCCCACCCACCTCTGCACACGCGTCCCCACCGCCCTTCCCCCGTGGGCGCCGCCGTGTAGAAGTACAAGCAGGGCTTCATCACAGACCCCGTGGTGCTGAGCCCGGCCCACTCGGTGGGCGACGTGTTCGAGGCCAAGGCGCGCCACGGCTTCTCGGGGATCCCCATCACCGAGACGGGGCGCATGGGCGGCCGCCTCGTGGGCATCATCACCTCGCGCGACATCGACTTCCTCACCGAGAAGGACTACAGCATGGAGCTCTCAGAGGTAGTGCATCACCAGACCGCACTGCACCGCACTGCAGCATGGACCTCTCAGAGGGAGCGCCGCACCACACCGCACTACGCTACAGTATGGAACCGTTGAACTGTGATGAGCGTGTAACAGTTCCGTTAGTGTGGTGCGGTGAGCGAGTGGCGGGGGCCGGGTGGTGCGGTGAGCGAGTGACGGCGTGCCTCCGCAGGTGATGACCAAGCGGGAGGACCTGGTGGTGGCGCCGTCTGGGGTGACGCTCACGGAAGCCAACGAGCTCCTGCAGAGGAGCAAGAAAGGTGTGCGGAGCAGCAAACCATCACCACCGGCATCGAAGGCATCGTCATGACAGCATAATCATAGCCATCGTCATGACAACATCGTTATCGCCATCGTCATGCCAACAAAGTCTTAGCCATCATTAGAGGAAGAGTAGGAAGAGATTCAAGAGGTGGCCAGGAGGAGAAGTTATTATCTGGGATGGGGCTGGAGTCTGGTTTGGGGTCGGGGTTGTCGGTGAAACTGCACCCGCTCCACCATCCGGCGCTCGGCTCGCTTGTGCCGTGGGCCGTTGAGAGGAGGTGCCACAGCAAACCACGAGGCAGACGAAATCCGGATGGGCGCTCTCGATCAGTGGCGCTCGTCTCTGCAAACTCTGCCACAGAAAACAATGCGGTGAGGAGGGGGGAGGTGGAGGAGGCCCGGGGGGGGTGTGTACGCGTGTCTGTGTGTATAAGTGTGTGTGTGAGGAGCGATGGTGTAGCAGTTAGCGCGCAGCGCTATGAACCCGGCCGTTCGATTCCCGCTCACGGCCAACACCAGTGACGATTATCTGAACCGGTCCTGGGCCTCCCCTAGGTCGACTCAGCCTCAAATTAGTACCTGGTGCGATGTGTAAACATCCCTACTAGGGAGATAAAGGCGGTCGGGCGTGGTGCTGGCCCACCCACCCCCTCGTGTACCGTTCCGGCCTTCCATATGTAATGTGAAGATATATCCGGCTCACTGACGTATCACAACTTGTCATGATGATTGGCTCTGCCGGTCCTGGTTTATAGCCAATGGGGGGGGAGCCTAGGGGCGTGGCCCTGACGTAATGGAAAGGTGACAGCTGTAAGTAGAGGATTGGTTCTGCTGGCTTTGGCCACAGCCAATGGGGAGATGAGTCAGGGGCATGACCCTTTGAGCCTACGAGGGAGCCTGGAATATTCCATGGAGGCTAACCAGGATTGGTGGAAACGTACCACGTGACCCGGGTATTAAATAGGAGTGGAGACGAGCAACACGTGGTCAGAACGGGAACGAACGGAGGAAGGGGCCACGCGTGAGTGGGGCTCCGGGTTGCCACGTGGCAGTGTGTCTCTATCTATCCCTCTCACGCTGCCTGTCAGCAGCGTGAAGGAAAGCTGTAATGCAAGTTGAATAAAAGACCGGATTCCAGAAGTCGCCTCAACGACCTTTATTACACATAGTTGCTCGCTAACAGCACTTGCCCCTACAGTCTGTTAAGGCTATATTGGGGATCTTTGTTGTTTTGTGTGTATGTATGACTTGTGACCGTGTGTAGGCAAGCTGCCCATCGTGAACGAGAAGGACGAGCTGGTGTCCATCATCGCACGCACCGACCTCAGGAAGAGCCGCGAATACCCGCTTGCCTCCAAGGACGAGCGCAAGCAGCTGCTTTGCGGCGCCGCCATCGGCACCCGCGAGGACGACAAGTACCGCATCGACCTGCTCGCCCAGGCCGGGGTCGACCTCGTCGTGCTGGCACGTGCCTCGCTCGCCCATCCTTCTGCCCGCCCGCTCGCTCGCTCGCCCATCTGCTCGCTCGCCCGGTCATCCATTCGCTCGCCCGCTCCCCCATCCGCTCGCTTACTTACCCGCTCGCTCAGTCATTCACCTGCATGCTCACTCTCTCGCTCGCTCAGTCATCGACAAAGTTGTCTACTCGCCCGCTCGCTCGTTCGCTCAATTAACTCGTTCGCTCACCTGCATGGCCATTCGGTCACTCGCTCACTTCCTCAAACAAGCTGGCTGTGAACACCAGCTCACTTTCACCTATTCGCCTGCCTGCTCGTTCAATCGCTCGCCTGCACTCTCGGACAAATGCGTGAACACTCGCCTGCTTGCGTGTTGGGCCTCCTCGCCTGCTCACACACGCACTCGCGCAATGGCCTGGAAGATGGTTTAGATTTTTTGTTGAATTTCCCTCGGCTGCGTGACGTTGGCAGGACTCCTCCCAAGGCAACTCCATCTTCCAGATCCAGATGATCCGGTACATCAAGCAGAAGTTTCCGGACCTGCAGGTGGTGGGCGGCAACGGTGGGCACCTCCACAATGCCACCTGCGCAGACTTTAGAGAGATGCACGCCGCCGTGTAGCCCCAACAGACTCTTAGAGAAAGAGGGGGGGTGGGTGGCCAACACCACGCCCGGCCGCCTTTATCTCTCCATTGGTGATGTTTACAAACCGCACCAGGTACTAATTTGAGGCTGAGTCGACCTAGGGGAGGCCCAGGACCGGTTCAGATGATCGTCACTGGTGTTGGTGGCCGTGATCGGGAATCGAACTCGGGTCACCGGGTTCGTAGCGCTGCGTATTGACCGCTCGACCAACAACCGTTGCACCACCACTCTCTACATCTAGACATGCGCACGTTCGGACGACTCGCCACACCTTGGGGGGGCGGGGGGAGGCGCGGGGCAGCAGCGCTGTCCAGTGGTAGCGCGTTCGCCGCTTGTTGCAGAGGTTTGCATTTCAAATCCGCCTTGCCGCCCTGTGCGCCCCATCTGCTTTGCTCACAGTGGATGTTGAATGAGAAGATCCCGCGACGTCGTTCGCAAGAGTTTGCCGGCGTCATGGTCCAGACTTGCCAAATTTGGAACGTCTTACCTGCAGCTTACTCAATATGGGTCACGCACACAGCAGCAATCATCGTCGGTGAAACTGCACCCGCTCCACCATCCGGTGTTCGGCTCGCCCATGCCGTGGGCCGGTGAGAGAGGAGGTGCTACAGCAAACCACGAGGCAGACGAAATCCGGATGGTCGATCTCGATCAGTGGCGCTCGTCTCTGCAAACTCTGCCACAGAAAAAAATGCAACACGCCTACGCCAAACCAGCACGACACACCTACACCGCACCAGTACGACACACGCGGCACGCCTACACCACACCAGTACGACACACGTGGCACGCCTACACCGCACCAGTACGACACGGCACGCCTACACCGCACCAGTACGACACGGCACACCTACACCGCACCAGTACACACACGCGGCACGCCTACACCACACCAGTACGACACGGCACACCTACACCGCACCAGTACACACACACGGCACGCCTACACCGCACCAGTACGACACGGCACGCCTACACCGCACCAGTACGACACGGCACACCTACACCGCACCAGTACACACACGCGGCACGCCTACACCGCACGAGTACGACACGGCACACCTACACCGCACCAGTACACACACACGGCACGCCTACACCACACCAGTACGACACGGCACGCCTACACCGCACCAGTACGACACGGCACGCCTACACCGCACCAGTACGACACGGCACACCTACACCGCACCAGTACACACACACGGCACGCCTACACCGCACCAGTACGACACGGCACGCCTACACCGCACCAGTACGACACGGCACGCCTACACCGCACCAGTACACACACACGGCACGCCTACACCGCACGAGTACGACACGGCACACCTACACCGCACCAGTACGACACGGCACACCTACACCGCACCAGTACACACACACGGCACGCCTACACCGCACCAGTACGACACGGCACACCTACACCGCAGCAGTACACACACGCGGCACGCCTACACCGCACCAGTACGACACGGCACGCCTACACCGCACCAGTACAACATACCGGAACTTTCCGCAACGGTCCTGACTGTCTCCCCGTCCTTGTTGCCCCACCCCCTCCTCTCCTCCTCCAGTGGTGACGGCGGCGCAGGCGAAGAACCTCATTGATGCCGGCGTCGACGCTCTGCGCGTGGGCATGGGCAGCGGCTCCATTTGCATCACGCAAGAGGGTGAGTGGTGCGGGAGGGCGAGGGGCGCGGGGGTGGGGGGGCGCGGGGGAGGGCGAAGGGGGGGGGCGTGGGAGAGGGCTAGGCGGGGCGGCGCGAGGGAGGGAGAGGGGCGGAGGGAGGGAGAGGGGCGGGGGGAGGGTGAGGCGCGCGGACTCGCCAGAGTGGGCGGTTAAAGGGGCCACGGACAGAAGGATGGGCAGGCTAAGGGGGATGTGTGTATGACGCGGTTGGGCTGCGCGTGCCTCTGCGCGCGTCTCTGCGCAGTGATGTACATGGCTGTGCCTCTTCACGTGTACGTGCGTGCAGTGATGGCGGTGGGGCGCCCCCAGGGCACGGCCGTGTACAAGGTGGCGGAGTACGCGCGCCGCTTCGGCGTGCCCGTCATCGCCGACGGCGGCATCCAGACGGTGGGGCACATCATCAAGGCGCTCGCGCTGGGGGCCTCCACCGGTGAGACCCCCCCCCCCCCCCGCCTCCTCGCCACCGTCACAACATCATCCGCACCGCCGTCTCGTCGTCGACATCGTCATCATTCCAGACCTCTATCGATTACCTCCATCCTCCTCCGCTCATCCTACTCTGTTCTTTCTCCCCCACCTCTTCTCCATTATTCTCTCTCCTCGTTCTTTTCCTCCTGGTTTCCTCCTCCACCCCTCTTCCCCACTCTTCTCTCCCCTCTCTTCGCTGTCTCCCTATTCTCCCCCCTCCGTATTCTTCCTCCTCCTCCCCCCACCTCCCTCCCACCCCCAGTGATGATGGGCTCCCTGCTGGCCGCCACCACGGAGGCCCCGGGCGAGTACTTCTTCTCGGACGGCGTGCGGCTCAAGAAGTACCGTGGCATGGGCTCGCTGGACGCCATGGAGAAGAACAAGGGCAGCCAGAGCCGCTACTTCAGGTGGGCGGCGACTGTGGCGGCATCGGCCTTCATCCAGCAGTGGATGGATCGCCACTTCATGTGACCGAGCCGTGACGCTAGAATGGCGGTGGCGAGATGGGGGGTAGGGGGGTTATTGAGGCTGACGGCAGAGTGGCAGGCAGGGGAGCGACGTTCGTCTGTGCGGCGAGGTTTTGTGAGAGACGACGGTGACCGTGAGCGGAGGGGGAAATCGTCGAGCAAGGCCATGACCGCGACGGCTGCCCTGCCAGAGAGCAGAGTGAGGGGCGGGCGGGGAGGTGACGAAGGTGATGAAGTGGATGATTACGATGATGATCACGATGTTGGTTGTTGTGGTTGTAATCGTGAAGGTCGTGTGTACGGTGTCTTTGGCGACGAGTGACAATGTCAAGGTGGCTGTGTAAAGGTCATGGCGGGAGTTCACGGGACAGGCCCAAGTACAGTGATGATGATGATGAGGCCGTGTCTTGCAGTGAGAACGACAACATCAAGGTGGCACAGGGCGTGTCCGGCTTGGTGCAGGACAAGGGCTCCATCCAGAAGTTTGTGCCGTATCTCCTCGCCGGCGTGCAGCACGGCTGCCAGGACATCGGGTCAAAGTCCCTCTCCATGCTGCGGTCAGTGACTGTCGCCGCCATGATGTCTCTGTGGGTGTCTCTGTGTGGAGCGGGAGTGTAGCGGTTCGTGCGCTGCGCTACGAACCCCGAGACCCAAGTTCTATTCCCGCTCGCGGCCAACACCAGTGACGATTATCTGAACTGGTCCTGGGCTTCCCCGAGGTCGATTCGGCCTTAAATGAGTACCTGGTGCAATGTGTAAAATCATTGCCACTGGGGAGACTAAGGCAGTCGGGCGTGGTGCTGGCCACCCACCCCCTCGTGTGCCGTGCCGGCTTTCACAGGTGCTCGCTAACAGCACTTGCCCCTACAGTCTGTTAAGGCTACACAGGGGATATTTGTCTTTGTGCTTCCTACTATGAGGGGCGGTGGTGCAACGGTTAGCGCGCTGTGCTGTGAACCCGGTGACCTGAGTTCGATTCCCATTCGCGGCCACCGACAACATAGGCGACGAATATCTGAACCGGTCCTGGACCCTCCGAAAGGTCGACTCAGCCTTCGATGATGACCTGGGGTGTTGTGTGGAAACGTCAGTGGCCGGCCGTGGTTCTGACTATCGCCCACCCCCTCTTGTGTCGTGTCGGCCTTCATCGGTGCACGTTTAGCACTTGCCCCAACAACAGCCTGTGTAGGCCACACGGGGGATCACCGTCTTTGTAGGCCATTGAGGCGGCAAAGGCCCCCGCGGGTCGGGGGCCACCTCGCTCCCGGTGGCCCCCTTCCCCCCCCCCTCCCCTTCATGGCTCCTGCCCCTCACCGACCCCCATGAGACGAGCTCGCGCCTCACAGCCGTTTTATTTAATCAAAATCTAACAATTCCGACTTGGCCAGCGGTGCAGATCTCTGCGGAGACGGCATTCGACGGCGCCTCCACGTCCTTGTCTTGTGGATCAGAGCTTAAGTTAATTTCGGCACGCCACGTCCACCGTACCTCTCGCTCCGGTGGTGGCGGTGGCGTCCCACCGAGCCACTTCGCCACCGCTGACCCGGAAAAGACACGCGCGCCAGGCACGCCACATCCACCATGACTCTCGCTCGCACCCCCCCCCCCCCCCAGCTGCGACCAGGCATATCCCAACCAATCGTCAATCGCTTCTTGTTCTACCGTCATCAAAAGGACGAGAGCCCACTTATAAAACCCAATTCTTCACTTCAAAGAATTATCATCTTGTTTACAATGTTATAATTGCTGTAAAGGTGCTTTATAATCTCGACAAGATAAGAAGGCCCAGGGAGTGATGGCTTAAAAAACCTGGTGGCTGCTACTGTTGTTACTGCTTTGGGCTCTTGTGTTTTGTGTCGCTGAATTTGTGACGGTTGTGGTGTCCCATGTGTGTGTGCGTGACGGTGGTTGTGTTGTCCGTGTGTGTGTGACGGTGGTTGTGGTTTCCGTGCGTGTGACGGTGGTTGTGGTGTCGGTGTGTCCGTGTGTGTGTGACGGTGGTTGTGGTGTCCGTGTATGTGTGTCGGTGGTTGTGGTGTCTGTGTGTGTGTGTGTGTGACGGTGGTTGTGTTGTCCGTGTGTGTGTGTGACGGTGGTTGTGTTGTTCGTGTGTCCATTTGTGTGTTATGGTGGTTGTGGTTTCCGTGCGTGTGTGTCGGTGGTTGTGGTGTCCGTGTGTGTGACGGTGGTTGTGGTGTCCGTGTGTGTGTGTGACGGTGGTTGTGGTGTCCGTGTGTGTGTGTGACGGTGGTTGTGGTGTCCGTGTGTGTGTGACACGGTGGTTGGCGGCTGATATTGTGCTGGTGGTTGTGGTGTCCGTGTGTCCGTGTGTGTGCCGGTGGTTGTGGTGTCCCACAGCTCCATGATGTACTCTGGGGAGCTCAAGTTTGAGAAGAGGACCATGTCGGCACAGGTGGAGGGGGGAGTGCACGGACTCTACTCGTGAGTGTTGCTCCACGCCCGCCGCTCCACCCCCGCCGCTCCACCCCCGCTGCTCCACCCTCCCAGCTCCACCCGCTCCATCCCAACCCTCTCCACCCTCGCCATCCCACACTTGCCGTACCCTCCCTCGCTCCACCGCGTCACTCCAATCCTCGCTTTACCGTACTTGACCACGCTGGTGAATGCGCGCACGGCGTCGCGTGGCCTCAAAGTGCACCTAGCCTGGCACTTGTCATTGGTGGGTGCGGCGTCGGCGCAAGGCCGGTGTAGCTGCGTGTCCCGCGCACAGCGAGCACGCCACTCACGCTGCTTCTCCTGCTGCTTCTGCTTCTGTTGCAGCTATGAGAAGCGCCTCTACTGAGTCGGATGGGGAGCAGAAGCATCAGCAGCAGCAGGAGGTGACACCGTGGTTGCCCGGTTCCTGCTGCAGTTTCCCCCCCACCTCTCCCTGCCCACCCCCTCCCCGGCCTCTGACCTTGGCATGGGTCGTCTTGACGCACAAGAAGAAAATAAATAAATGCAACTTTTAAAAAAGATAACGTGGTAAAAACGCAACGAAGAGGTTGAGAAATACTGCGTCCGAACGGAGGGGGTTCCTGACGGCCCCCCGTCCCGTCCCGCTTGCTGTGCTGCCCCCCACCCCCCGTGTAAGTGCCTGCCGCTTGGCGGAACCGCCAAGCGGACCGGCAGAGCGGCCATGACAGAGAAGCCCAGAGTGGAGCGGTCGCCAAGCGTTGCCATCCCTCCTCTTTGTCGTCGTCGTCACGTGCAGCTCCGGTCCCGATATCGATCGCCACTGACGGTAGCCGTGGCCGGGAATCGACCTTCGGCAATGACGAGCGATGTCACCGCGGTACTTGACCACCCAGGCAAGCATCGGCGAGTACCAAGACCCTCTTATGAAGAGGTTCTTGCTCGAGACGTTTGGCCAATTTACTTTTTTTCAGTGTTTTTGTTTCATGAGCTCGGTGAGATGTAGAGGAGTTGGCCTAATACACACCGTATGGGGGGGGGGCATCCACAGTGGAGGCCCTTCTGCCAGCAGCAGTGCGAGCCAGCGGTTACCGCAGGGCTGCGCCAAACAACTCAAGGGGATGCCCCCATGTGTGCGATGAGGTTAGCACTCAACGCTCGGTCTGTTATTATATACCTACTTGCTCTTCTGCCCTGCTTGCCCGGAGTCGGCAAAACACTGCCGCGGTGGTGGTGGCGGCGGTGTCGTCGCGTAAACGTGCCAACAGTGAACGTCGCCGGCGCACGGCAAAGTTCCGTGGGACCCCGGCGGTGTTTTGTATTTTTTAGGCCTCGAATCCGTGGGCCCCACGTGCGGTTGTGTTGAGCTCGTGGCGATTGCGAGGCCGCGATTTTAAATCCCGGTTTGGCGCGGAAGTCGACACGGCCCATCATCGGTCCCTCCCTCCGGAGCCGATTCCAACCAGCACCGATTCCAACCAGCACCGCTTTGTGTGCAAAGTCAACGGCGGTTTGTCCTGTGGATAAACACAGACACAACCACCCCCACCGGCCGCCGCCAGAGGAATGTGGAATTTCCACCGCAGGCTCTGCAGAGCTGTCAACAGATGAGCCACCAATGCCTCGATGCTCCTTCGAGCAGGAGGTCACTTTGACCATTTGTTTTGTCAAAGTCCAGTGCACAGGCACGCGTACTGCAGGGCACGCTTACTCCATGCACGCACAGACCGCCCTGCAGCTACCCGAGAACGGCTCGCATCACAGCTGTTTTAATTAATCAAAATCGAACAAATCCAACTTGGCCAGCGGCACATATCTCGTCGGCGGTGGCATTCGACGGCGCCTCGACATCCTTGTCTTGTGATCCGGAGCTTAAATACATTTCGGCACGCCACGTCCACCGTTTCTTTCGCTCCGACCGTGGTGATGGCTGTCACCACGCGCACGCCAGGCACACCACATCCAGCACGACTCTCGCTCCGAACCGTGGAGATGGCGGCTTCGTCAAGCCATCGCCAACGAGCCGGAACCACTATTTTTTTCACGCACCCGGCGGCGCACCACCGTCCGTCCATAGCTCTCGCTCCCGGCCGTGGTGACTGCCGCTTGTCGCGTTGCTGCCTGCGCCGGTCGACAGCAGCAGCCCACGAAAAACACCCGGTGAGAAATGAAGCTCTTTTCGTAACTTTGTAGTTTTTTTATAAACAAACAAGTGGGAGACCGCGTGCTGGTGGTGCGTCGTTACTGCCGGCTCGCCCCTGCGTCTACGGCGACCGGTGCCGTGGGAGGGAATCCACACAAAGTGTGGATTTTTCCTCCGCCCGTTTTTTTTGCCGAAGCCTCCAACAGCGAATTTGTGTCGCAGCGGAATCCCAGCCGCTTCGCCACGACGACGTAGAATTTGTACCGCGCGACAAACCAGAGGCGCGTGACGCAAGGCTGCAAGAACCAACTGCACGCCAACAGTTGCCCAAGTTCTGTGGACCTACATTGAGACGAGTGTTTGTACGCGCGAGAAATCAAACACCGGCTGGGCGGGTGGTGGTAATGCTCGCCCCCCCCCCCCTCTCGTCATGCACGTGGCGTTTAATCCAATTTCTCAACTGCCACGTGTGATGGGACGTCACGGTGACGAGGTGTTGGCTGCGTCGATTTTGCGCTTGGCGCCGGCAGTGCCCGTGTCCGTTGGCTGTCGCCAAGGCCCGGCACCGCCGGCGTGAGCGTCGCGGGGGATGATGATGGCAATGTTGGTAACGATGGTGGTGATTTTGGTCGTGTCCCGCTGTTGTTGAGCTGTAGATGCTAATGATAATGCTGGTGAAGATGTTTCATTGTTGGGCTGTCGGTGGTGGTGGTGATGATCAGGGCTTGATATTTCGCTCGGTGTTTCCGGAACGCTGCCGTGCTGGCATGTAATGTGGATTCGGGCATGACCACGACAGGACGAGGTATGACCTCTCTTTAATAATCCGACCAACCAATGGGTTTAGGACAAACCTAAAGGAGGGGAATGGCTGTGGCAGGGCCAACATAATTCCCGGACGCAGCGTTCCAGACTGTCCTGGCTAAAATCAAGCACAAGGTGGTGATTACGGTGGTGATTACGATGGCGATGGTTGTGTTTTTTTCCGTTGGACTGTAGGCTACGATGAAACGATGCCCTCGACAATGTCTGGCTGTTGGTCTCGTGACGACGATGATGACGATGTTACGCTTACCGCTGTTTCAGTGTCTTAGGCATCCGCGTGAACACGTGCGCAACTTTTTGCGAGGGCCCTGTGCGGAACGGGGCCAGCGCGCCCGTAGCCGCCCCCCCCCCCCATGCAGTTCCGCTTTTGGCCGTGAATCCCCTGGGCTGTGCCCCGTCTGTCGCTGCCACCCCCTCCCCATTGTAGCCCCCCTCCCCTCTAGTCTAACCCTATAGCCGACCGCTTTAACGCACAGCCCCGCAAACCCCCACCGTCGCCCATCCGCCTGTAGCCCAAGCTGGCCGTACTCAAACCGCGAGCCCCTTGCCCCCCACCAACATTCTCCCCCCCCCCCCCCACACACACAAAAGCCAACCCTAGGCCTAGCTCTGACGCAAACTCTCGCCCCCGAACCCAGACCCCATGGACTTTGGACCCCAGGGTCAAAACACTACCCCGGCGATATGACGCCTTCCGTGTGGACAGATGACCTCCCCTGGGGAGGGCAGGCTTGGGTCCAAATATATTACTTTGACCTGCAGGGGTACAAACTCTGCTTGAGCGTCGCGATGGCCCGTGGGAAAATGATCTCCGCAGAGGCAGAATTAGGCCGAGGGGTTAAACTACCGTGGTAGGTGGGGTGGGTTGCCGGGCAGGGGTGAATAATGTGGAGGAGTCTGACCCCAGGATTATGAATTCTACGGGGGTCGAGGCGCTGTCTCCGGGCGATCCTGAAGCCCCCAGTGTCGTGGCCCAGCAGCCGTGAAGCCCCGTGGCCGATGTGGTTTTTTCGATCCGGCAAACTCCCGTGGATCCAACGTCGCCCCTGTCGCCGCCACCCGGACTCCGTGTCCAGCCCAGGTCCGGATGGACGGGGTCGGCGGAGCGGCAGCGCCGCGATTCGGATGGCTCTGCTCTGCTCGTGCCGCCGCCGCTGCTGCTGCGGCCACTCCGGGTCTGTTGAGAATCGGATGAGATTGAGATCACAATCGGATAACGGGCGAGGGGGGGGGGTTAGGATTTGAATGCACGTGGCGGGCACTCGCTCAAACGCATCGGAGCGCCTTGCGTCGCATCTCAACCGGTCCATTGTCTAGCGGCATTCTTAGCCTAGACAGGATGGGGGAAGGGGGGACGCCACAGTGGCAGCCGCCCGACGCGACACAGGGCGTGAAGCAGCACCAGCCTGCGAATGGCTCTCGTCTGCCGGCAGGGGGCGATGTTACCACTCGGTTTTTTGTTTCTCTCGCACGATTCATTTCCCTCTCGGTGTCGGCTTGCACCATACACGGTTGGCAGTGATGGGCACAGGGAGGGGGGCGCGCTGATCTGTTCTCATTTCTTCAGAAACGTGTTGGGCCTGTTCCGCGCGTCGAACGTGGTGTTTCACTTGTATGTTTAAAGCCCGCCCGCTCCACATTTCTGCAATTCACTTGCGCGCGCGCACACCTTTGGTCGCATGCAACTTGAGGGTTCCCTTGCATGTGGACGTCTCTGCAAACGGTTGCTGCTCGCAGTTATCGCTCGGCCGACACCATAACCGAGTCCGTGCCCTACCCTAATGGCCTCGTTGCGCAACTGCTCGCCCAGATGTGGACAAAGCGGTTGCATGAGATTTTTCTTTTCAAAGTTACAGGCGAATGATTTTACGAGCCATCCCGGTTAAAGCAGACCACTCGCTGGAGTTATGGCCGGGGACTCAGAATCGACTGTAGCGGAGGAATCGAGGCACCGGTCCAAAGTATTGCGCACCGTGTGTGGTCTGTATTGTTTTTTTCTGAACGATTCTGATCAGTGTTTCATTTTGTTTAAATCTTGTGAAAGTGTTCTTTGGTTTATGCAATTTCAGTCGATGGTTCCTGTGTGTAGATGTGTGGGTCTGTTTGCTTGCGTGTGAGCACACGTGGGTCCGTGTGAGCGCACGTGGGTCCGTGTGTGCGTGTATTTACATGTGCGTGTGTGGGGAGCGGTGGTGCAGCGATTGTCGCACTGCGCAACGCAACCGGCCACCAACATTTCAATTCCCACTCACGGCTAGCAACGGTGGACAGTGATTATTTGAACCGGGCCTGGGCCCTCCCCTAGGTCTGCTCGGCCTTAAATGAGCACCTGGTGCCGTGTGCAAAACATCAGCCACTGGGGGAGACAAAGGTGGCCGGGCGTGGTGTTGTGGTTGGCCACAGCCTCATCTGCCGGTGCCAGCCTCCTATAGGTGCTCACTAACGGCACTTGTGCCCCCCTTACAGTCTGTTAAAGGCTACACGAGGGGGGGGGGTCTTTGTTTTTTGTACGCGTGTGTGTGTTGATGCCGCTAGTAAAACTCCCAAAGTCACTGTCCCCCCCCCCGCCCCACATTCACGGCCGGCAGCTTTCGTTTGCTTTGCGCCGCGTTCTGGCGACCTCGCAAATAAATAAAAAGTTCGTACGTGAGTCTCGAGTTCCATTTTTACCCCCCCCCCCGCTCCCATCAGCGAGTTCGTACGTGAGTCTCGTTCTCTTCTTACCCCCCCCCCCCAATCAGTGAGTTCGTACGTGAGTCTCGAGTTCCATTCTTACCCCCCCTAATCAGTGAGTTCGTACGTGAGTCGAGTTCCATTCTTACCCCCCCCCCCTAATCAGTGAGTTCGTACGTGAGTCTCGAGTTCCATTCTTACCCCCCCCTAATCAGCGAGTTCGTACGTGAGTCTCGAGTTCCATTCTTACCCCCCCCCCCCTAATCAGGGAGTTCGTACGTGAGTCGAGTTCCATTCTTACCCCCCCCCCCTCCCATCAGCGAGCGGTCCACCAACCCTCCGCTCTTCGCCTGCTACCCCTTGCGCAGGCTACAAGATCCACCACGACCTTCTTCCTAGTCCCAATTGTAATTCTAACCATGTCCCCGTCTGGGGTTTTATTCAGTTGCGTACCTCTGGTTGCGTGCAACTAAATCGCGTGGAGGCGACTTCTGCAACCGGTTGCGGGCAGTTGTGGCCACCGTTTGCTGCTCGCAGCAGAGACCGCATCTACTCAGATATCTGTAGCGCAACCGATCGCTCACGTGTGGCCAGGCCTTCGTAAAAAAAATAATAATAGTCGACGCTTCGGGCAATGGCCCTTCTTTAGCATAGCGCTTGAATAACAAGGAGGGCAGAGAAAAGAGAGCGAGAGATCTGTGGATAAGAGTCGGGGGAGACCGCAGTCGTCTGCACCGCGGGGGGCCTTGATAAGAATCGCATTTTAAAAGGGGCCGGTTGCTGCGTGCCACGTGGATCAGATATCTCCACGGACATTTGACGAAGCGAGCGAGAGGGGACGTCTGAACGGACGGAGCGCCGTGCCCTGCAGCAACGTGGTGGGGGTGGGGGGCTTTTGGGATCGACGGTGGCAGGCGGAGAGACATCCCGTGGGCTGCGTTAGAGAACACGGGACACACTCGCTAGAGAGACACAATCCCATGGGCTGCATTAGAGAACACGGACACACTCGCTAGAGAGACAGACGGAGAGACACAATCCCTTGGGCTGCGTTAGAGAACACGGACACACTCGCTAGAGAGACAGGCGGAGAGACACAATCCCATGGGCTGCGTTAGAGAACACGGGACACACTCGCTAGAGAGACAGACGGAGAGACACAATCCCTTGGGCTGCGTTAGAGAACACGGACACACTCGCTAGAGAGACAGGCGGAGAGACACAATCCCATGGGCTGCGTTAGAGAACACGGACACACTCGCTAGAGAGACAGACGAAGAGACACAATCCCTTGGGCTGCGTTAGAGAACACGGACACACTCGCTAGAGAGACAGGCGGAGAGACACAATCCCATGGGCTGCGTTAGAGAACACGGACACACTCGCTAGAGAGACACAATCCCATGGGCTGCGTTAGAGAACACGGGACACACTCGCTAGAGAGACGGAGAGAGACAATCCCTTGGGCTGCGTTAGAGAACACAGGACACACTCGCTAGAGAGACAGGCGGAGAGACACAATCCCATTGGCTGTTAGAGAACACGGACACACTCGCTAGAGACAGGCGAAGAGACACAATCCCATGGGATGCTAAGAAAAGGCAAGTGGACTTGGGGTAAGATGCGTTACGGCTCAGAAGCTGACGATAATAATGATGCTGGGCCATGTCAATATCCGCGGCAGTAGCAGCAGCAGCATCATTAACAGCAACGGGAGCAAAAACATAAATGATAGCATCTACAGGAACAGCAGTAGCAGCGGCGGCAGCAGCAGCTACAGTAGCAGAATACATAATAGCAGCTGCATTAAAACTAACAGCAGTACTACAGTAGTAACAGCAGCACTAACAGCAGTACTGTAGTAGTAACAGCAGCACTAACAGCAGTACTGTAGTAGTAACAGCAGCACTAACAGCAGTACTGTATTAGTAACAGCAGTACTGTAGTAGTAACAGCAGCACTAACAGCAGTACTGTAGTAGTAACAGCAGCACTAACAGCAGTACTGTAGTAGTAACAGCAGCACTAACAGCAGTACTGTATTAGTAACAGCAGCACTAACAGCAGTACTGTATTAGTAACAGCAGTACTGTATTAGTAACAGCAGCACTAACAGCAGTACTGTATTAGTAACAGCAGCACTAACAGCAGTACTGTATTAGTAACAGCAGTACTGTAGTAGTAACAGCAGCACTAACAGCAGTACTGTAGTAGTAACAGCAGCACTAACAGCAGTACTGTATTAGTAACAGCAGCACTAACAGCAGTACTGTATTAGTAACAGCAGTACTGTAGTAGTAACAGCAGCACTAACAGCAGCACTGTAGTAGTAACAGCAGCACTAACAGCAGTACTGTAGTAGTAACAGCAGTACTGTAGTAGTAACAGCAGCACTAACAGCAGTACTGTAATAGTAACATCAGCACTAACAGCAGTACTGTATTAGTAACAGCAGCACTAACAGCAGTACTGTAATAGTAACAGCAGCACTAACAGCAGTACTGTAGTAGTAACAGCAGCACTAACAGCAGTACTGTAATAGTAACAGCAGCACTAACAGCAGTACTGTATTAGTAACAGCAGCACTAACAGCAGTACTGTAATAGTAACAGCAGCACTAACAGCAGTACTGTAATAGTAACAGCAGCACTAACAGCAGTACTGTAGTAGTAACAGTAGTACTGTAGTAGTAACAGCAGCACTAACAGCAGTACTGTAATAGTAACAGCAGCACTAACAGCAGTACTGTAGTAGTAACAGCAGTACTATAGCACTAACAGCAGTGCTGTAGTAGTAACAGCAGTACTGTAGTAGTAACAGCAGTACTGTATTAGTAACAGCAGCACTAACAGCAGTACTGTATTAGTAACAGCAGCACCAACAGCAGTACTGTAATAGTAACAGCAGCACTAACAGCAGTACTGTAGTAGTAACAGCAGTAATGTAACAGCAGCACTAACAGCAGTACTGTAGTAGTAACAGCAGTACTGTAGTAACAGCAGCACTAACAGCAGTACTGTAGTAGTAACAGCAGTACTGTAGTAACAGCAGTACTGTAATAGTAACAGCAGCATTAACAGCAGTACTGCAGTATTAACAGCAGCACTAACAGCAGTACTGTTAGTGCTGCTATTACTTGAAAGTGCGGGGCCCGTAGCATATGTAGCTGCTTGTGCTGCTCTGCTAATCCGCACTGCGTGCCCCTGCCGCGACCTTCGGCCCTTACCCGCAACCTTTGCCCTGACCCTGACCTTTCACCCTGCCACTAATTGCGACACGACCTGTTTTTCTGACCACAACGCCCGCCCTTACCTTTAACCCAGACCTGATTGAAAGCCCTTGTCCCGAATCCTATCCAGGGCTATGACGACCTATAAGCCCGATCTATAACCCTTACTACGACCTCCACCCTTAACCCTATCATTACCTCCACCCTAAACCCTAACAATACCCCTATTACTACATCTACCCTAATCCCTAACCCTACCCCTATTACTACATCCACCCTAATCCCTAACTATACCCCTATTACTACATCCACCCTCATCCCTAACCATACCCCTATTACTACATCCATCCTAATTCCAAACTATACCCCTATTACTACATCCACCCTATTCCCTAACCCTACCCGTTACTACGTCCACCCTTAACCCTATCACGGCATCCACCCTTAACCCTATCACTAACTTCACCCTAAACCCTAACCCTACCCCTATTACTACATCCACCCTTATCCCTAACTATACCCCTATCACTACCTCCACCCTATTCCCTAACCCTACCCGTTACTATCTCCACCCTTAACCCTATCACTACCTCCACCCCTAATCAACCACAATCCCACCGCTAACTCTACCCTACTTCTATCCCCGTCCGTGTCCCCTAACCCTGAACCCAAACCCTGAACCTAACCCTGAACCTAACCCTGAACCTTAACCCTATCCTAACCCTGAACCTAACCCTACCCTAACCCTGAAGCTAACCCTATCCTAACCCTGAACCTACCCCTATCCTAACCCTGAACCTAACCCTGAACCTAACCCTACCCTAACCCTGAACCTAACCCTATCCTAACCCTGAACCTACCCCTATCTTAACCCTGAACCTACCCCTATCTTAACCCTGAACCTACCCCTATCCTAACCCTGAAGCTAACCCTATCCTAACCCTGAACCTAACCCTATCCTAACCCTGAACCTAACCCTGAACCTACCCCTATCCTAACCCTGAACCTACCCCTATCTTAACCCTGAACCTAACCCTATCCTAACCCTGAACCTAACCCTACCCTAACCCTGAAGCTAACCCTATCCTAACCCTGAACCTAACCCTATCCTAACCCTGAACCTAACCCTGAACCTACCCCTATCCTAACCCTGAACCTACCCCTATCTTAACCCTGAACCTAACCCTGAACCTAACCCTACCCTAACCCTGAACCTACCCCTATCCTAACCCTGAACCTACCCCTATCCTAACCCTGAACCTAACCCTGAACCTAACCCTACCCTAACCCTGAACCTAACCCTATCCTAACCCTGAACCTACCCCTATCCTAACCCTGAACCTACCCCTATCTTAACCCTGAACCTACCCCTATCCTAACCCTGAAGCTAACCCTATCCTAACCCTGAACCTAACCCTATCCTAACCCTGAACCTACCCCTATCCTAACCCTGAACCTACCCCTATCCTAACCCTGAACCTAACCCTGAACCTAACCCTACCCTAACCCTGAACCTAACCCTATCCTAACCCTGAACCTAACCCTACCCTAACCCTGAACCTAACCCTATCCTAACCCTGAACCTAACCCTGAACCTAACCCTACCCTAACCCTGAACCTACCCCTATCCTAACCCTGAACCTACCCCTATCCTAACCCTGAACCTACCCCTATCCTAACCCTGAACCTAACCCTACCCTAACCCTGAACCTACCCCTATCCTAACCCTGAACCTAACCCTATCCTAACCCTGAAGCTAACCCTATCCCTACCCATTAACCTTGTCGCTTAGCCTGACCCTGCCTGACCCGTGGGGTTTGTTTGACCGGTGCGGGTTCATTAAGTCTGGAGGGGGCCGCATAGAAGTGCAGTACAACAGTAGCTCGGGCGGTGTGCGACAGGGGTCACTGGGGGGGTCCCCATCCTCTGGATCCCCCTTTCAATGAGTTCCCACCCCCTCCTCGTGGCTCACCTCGTCTTCTCGCCGCTCACTCCGCTCGCTGCCGTCACCCGGCACCAGAGACCCCCTCGGCGGGGTGGAACCCCCTCGCGGACCCCGGAGGGACCCCGGCTTATCCCTCTCTCCTGCGAGACCCCGCGGGGACGAGGGGGTGCGGGCAGACGAAGTCCCCTGACCCACATCACCCACTCCCGCACACTGCTGCTGACGATGATGTTGTTGAGGATGATGGTGGTGGTTGAGCTGCTGCTCCTGCTGCTGCTGATGATGATTATGGTAGTGGTGATTTAGCTGCTGATGATGATGTTGAGGATGATGGTGGTGGTTTAGCGGCTGCTGCTGCTCCTGCTGCTGCTGACGATGTTGAGGATGACGGTGGTGGTGGTTTAGCTGCTGATGATGTTGAGGATGATGGTGGTAGTTTAGCTGCTGATGATGTTGAGGATGATAGTGGTGGTTTAGCTGCTGCTTATAATGATATTGAGGATGATGGTTGTGGAGGTTTAGCTGCTGCTGTTGATGCTGATGCTCATAATGCTGATGGTAATATTGAAGACGGCTTTGTTGAGAGTGATGATCCGGCTGCTGATGCCGATGATTGTGATGATGATGCTGATGATCCAGCTGCTGATGATACCGCAGCTGATGATAATTCCGATGCTGACAAATATCTTCCAGTTTCTGCTGCTGATGCAGATGGTGTTCAACCTGCTGCTCATGCCACTTGCGATGCGGCCAATGCACCGTCTGCTGAGTCTGCTGATGTTTTATTTGCTGACGATTCTGCTGCTGGTGATGCTGCTGCTGATGCTGCTGCTGCTGATGCTGCTGCTGGTGGTGATGCTGCTGCTGATGATGATCCTGCTGCTGATGCTGCTGATGATGATGATCCTGCTGCTGATGCTGCTGCTGATTCTGCTGCTGCTGGTGATGATGATCATTCTGCTGCTGCATCAGCTTCACTCTCGCCCTGCACTTGTCGCACGCGGGCGAGTTGCAGGCCAGGTAGACGTAGGGGACCCAGTGTCTCAGGGGCTCTTCCACCTCGGGGTCCCCGCTCTTGCCGATGCCGCTACTGTGGCTGCCGTGAGTCGGGGGGTAGACCCCCTGGGTGGAAGGCTCCCCCGGCAGGTGGGGGGATAAGGGATGAGAGGGAGCCCGGCACGGGGCTCGGAGAAGCTCCACTTGGGCCCATAGCCACGCGAGGGACTCATCGTCGCTTCGCGGTGATCCCGGACCCCGGCCCGCGGGGCCCCGGCTCACGGGGTTCCGGCCCGCGGGGCCCCGGCTCACAGGGCCTCGACTCGCAGGGCCTCCTCCACTCTCTGAAAGTCAAGAATTCCTTAATTCGTTCCTTTCCGATAATTACACTGTTCAACAAAAAAAAAACATTTTTTTTCTGGCCTGGACTTTTGCAGCTGTTTTAGACTAATTTCAGGGTGCTGATTCCAAATCTGATCTCAGATTTGCTCTATCACATCTCATTTTATGCTATCGGATACCCAATTTTCATTGATTTTACCCGAAATTAACTCTGTCACTTATGATTGCAAGTTGTTGCGAGTCAGTGACTGCTTTAGTGTTAAAATATGGTGCTTTTTAGGATAGTGTGTTTATAATATAATTTTATGTAGATATCCACATTTATTTAATATTTTTCTTCTGCAGTTTTTCTTGAAAATGCAATATTTGATATCTCAAAAACCTGATGTGATAGACAAAAACTGATGCCAGATTTTGAATCAGCACCCCAAAATTACCTTAAACCCGTTGGAATACCTTATGCCAGAAAAAGTGTGTTGACCAGTGTTATCGGTGAATTCACGCGTCACATATTGGCATTGAAATATTTCATCGGCGTTGTGTTTGTGCGGTCATTAAGGCCGATGGTGGGTGGGTGGCGACGCGATGGATTGAGAGGGAGAAGATGGATGCGTGGGTGGATTCGTGGATGGGGGTGGGGTGATTGATGGATGGATACATCGAGAGGCGATTCATTGATAGAGATGAGGGGTGGGTGGGTAGAGTGGGTGGGTGGGCTAGTAGATGGGTGGGTGGATGGGTGCGTGCACGGAAAGGACCCCGAGGCCTCACCTTTTAACTGATGTTGCCATTTCCATGGTCGGGACTCAGGATGGCGTCTTCCTTCCATGCTCCAACTTTGTATCTCCCCGTGTCAGCCCGTGTCGGCGTCACGCACCCCGCCTGTAGATTTTTAACAACGCAAGCTGGTCTCCGGACTACACCTAGGTCGACTAAGCCTAGAATCAACACGGTGCATAACCATAGCAATGTGATTTTTTACCCTCGAGTGGAGGAGGCCCTCCCTTCCGCCAGCAGCGGCGTGAGCGAGCAACTGCAGGAGCTGCGCCTTTGCCTTCTAACTGACACACGAGGAGCAAACGGTGACTTACGCCACAACTTTACAAACCTTCTTGAGCCGGGAAGCGACGTGAAAAACGATTGCCGGTTCTCGCGTTTGTCGTTCAAAAAGTCGTAACACACATCACACACAAAGACAAAGATCCCCCCGTATGGCCTTAACAGACTGTTGGGGCAAGTGCTGTTAGCTAGGACCTATGAAGGACGGCACGGCACACGAGGGGGTGGGTGGCCAGCAGCACGCCCGGCCGCCTTTGTCTCCCTAGTGGTACAGCACTTTCCCCAGCAGTCTGTCAAAAGTTACACGGGGCATATTTGTTTTTACGTCTGTGTACGTGCGTTTCGTGCGTATGCACGACGTGTATACACACACACACACACCTCCGATGAAAAACACGGTTGGCTAGGTACGGCGCGAAAGAAATTCTACATACATACAGTTAAATGCGTGTGGCACCAACCTTGACAATAGGTGCTCGCTAACAGCACTTGCCCCAATAGCCTGACGAGGCTATTTTTTCCGAGGGGGTGGCGGGAGGGAGCACACACAACATGTGTGTATCGCGTCGACCCTTAATAGGTGCTCGCTGACAAACAGCATCTGCTACCCCCGACGGCGAACGCGGCATCTCGTCCGTTAGGGCAGTTAGAGGAGCGCGAGACACGCACAGAGAGAGAATTCCGTTCCGTCTCTCATCCGAAACGTTCCCCCACCACCACCCGTTAAATCTCCCCCCCCCCCCCTCTCTCCTCCTCCTCCCACGTCTCGCCTCGTCTCCGCCATCTCCTTCATCTCCGCTATCTCACATCCTCCCCCCCACTCCACCCTTGTCGCCCTGCCTGCCTCCAGCATGCACGGCGGGTGGGAAGGGAGCGGATCGGATCGGCGACTGTCCTCTGATAACCCCGCGTTGGGGATGGCGGCGTTGGGGGGAGGAGCGGGGAGACAAAGGCGGCCGGGCACGCTGTGCTGCCCGAACCACCCCCGTCGTGTCGGCCTTAATAGGCGCTCGCTCACAGCTCTTGCCCCCCAAAGCTCCGTTCGAGGCTACATGGGGGATCGTTGCCCTTTGTTTGGATGGCACAGGTGACCTCATGTGTTGAGAACATCTCGTGTGCGCCGCGTGTCGCTTCGTAATCGGATCATGCGTGTAGGTGTCGGTGTGTGTGTGTGTGCGTCTCCCAGGGGTGTGTACGTGTCGGGGTGTGTACGTGTCGGTGTGTGTGTGTGTCCGTCTCCCAGGGGTGTGTACGTGTCGGTGTGTGTGTATGTGCGTCTCCCAGGGGTGTGTACGTGTCGGTGTGTGTGTGTGTCCGTCTCCCAGGGGTGTGTACGTGTCGGTGTGTGTGTGTCCGTCTCCCAGGGGTGTGTACGTGTCGGTGCGTGTCAGCGGTTTCTGTGGGGAGCGGTGGTGTAGCGGTTAGCGCACTGCACTACGAACCCGCCGCCACCCGAGTTCGATTCCCGCTTACGGCTATAACATCTGCACCTATTATGGGCCCCCCGACCCCCTAATTCAACTCCGCCTTTTGAAAAAAAAGTATTTCTTTGTGCGGTGTAAATTTCGATTTAAAGCTTTCGTGACTGCAGGGATTCATCTTCTTGGTTCTTTCGGTAAAGTCACGTATTTATTTTTATTATTTTATTACTTCCCTTCTACGTGACTTTACCGAAAGAACCAAGAAGATTTGTGCGGTGTGTTAACATCATCATCATCGACCGTGGTCAATCCACTGCTGGATGAAGCAATGCCTGCCCCAGCCGCTGCCGACATCTCACGCTCCTACGACGTAACAATCCAACACGAACTCGTTCCACGCGCTCCATCTCCTCGGCAGGGCGCGCTTCTCGCGGACGAATTCCATTCGCTTCTATGGGGGCTGCAACTCCTCTGGTGTCGGCTCGAACATCCCCCGCTCGCCGCGGGACCTCCCTTGCCGGCGTCAGGATGTAAGAATAGAGGTTCGCCCTTTCTGGCAATAAACAGTGAGTGGTGTTAAGACTTTTCGATTTAAAGCTTTCGTGACTGCAGGGATTCATCTTCTTGGTTCTTTCGGTAAAGTCACGTAGAAGGGAAATAATACAATAATAAAAATAAAACATAGTAAAATAATTCTCACGACGTTTCGGCCACAACGCACCTGAGGACGGCTGCTTGCGTTGTGGCCGAAACGTTGTGAGAATAATCTTATTATGTTTTATTTTTATTATTTTATTATTTCCCTTCTACGTGACTTTACCGAAATAACCAAGAAGATGGTGTTAAGACGTATAAACACCAAACAGAAACCTTTTTGCAGTTAATCATGTCGCTGCATTAACCGCATTTCCTTGTGGGCGAACATGCACACGCAAAAACACATGCTTTGATAGTATATGATGATGATGCATTGGCTTTGAAACTGATTGGTCCACACCAAAGACAATTTTTTTAGAGCCTCGTCTCAAACAGTGTTAGACCAGAGGACGTCAAAAGGCGAACAGCCTCCTCTGGTCTCACACTGTTTGAGACTAAGCTCGAAATAAAGCCGTCTTAGTGTCTCTGGTATCTACCAATCCGTTTAAAAGCCAATGCACCATGTACTATCAGAGCATTTGTTTTTTTTGTGTTTGCATGTTCACCACAAGTATATGTGGTGGTGAATGCAGTGACATGATTCCTTGCAAAACAGTTTCTGTTTGGTGTTTAGACGTCTTTGCACAGCTGTTTCATTGCCAGAAAGGGTAACACCTATTTTTATAGGGGCCGTCCATAAATGACGTCACGCATCTAGGGGGGGGGGGGGGGGTCAGACATTGGTGACGATGTGTGACGAGGGGGGGAGGGGTTTGAGAAATGTGACGTCACATCAAAATGCGCAACTTTAAATAAATATAGACAATACGTTCTACTTAATTAAATAGACTTTTTAATAAATTTTTCTCCTACAACATCAGAGTGCAGCGTCACATTCAATACGCACTACAATGACAATAAATTAAAGAGATTTTAAGCTTTTGATGTTTTATACATATTTTTTACATTTTTTTGGGGGGGGGGCAGAGTTTTGGGAAGTCATATTTTAGGGGGGGGGTCTGACTTTTTGTGACGAAGGGGGGGGGGGTCAAAATCGTCCAAAATCGCGTGACGTCATTTATGGACGGCCCCATATCCCCGCTCACCCTGACGCCGTGCCCCTTTGCTGCCCAGGGGACCGCTCTGTACATTTACAGGGAACATTCTCAGCAGCCTCGGCGCTCATCTGACCGGGCCGGGAGTTCCACTCGCGGCCCTCTCACCCCACACCTGGAACACAATCGCCAGGTGCAGCCACGGCCACGGCGCACCTGATTGGTTGAAATGAGATTGGACACGCCCCCATACACTCATCTGACTCTCATTGGCTGTTTCTTTGCCTGAGTCACACGCCCCCCCACCCCCACCGGATCCAATCACTTTTGCAAAGTGCACCCCAACGAGATACAAAGGTAAAGGTGCATCCAGCCCTGAAACTCCTCACTCACGCCGCTGCCGGAGGAAGAGCCTCCTCCACAAGAGGGGGTTTTTGGTTTTTTGGAAGAGGTGGGAGTAACCACGTTTGACGATGATGATAAGAACGTCACCTTTAATATGGATATAACACGTTGGACAGTGCTAACCGCAGTGCCACAGCTCACTTCCACCCCCTCAATATTGATGCAAAAGCAGCAAAACCGACAATATATCTGCACAAATGCATCGACATAAAACAAATATATTTTCTTTTCGTTTACACATCTCATCAGCCGCACTAAATTATGGGAGTGCACAATTTCAGCAGCATTGATTCAACACAAGCAAAACATCTGCACCAATTTCCACATCCAGTGTCTCATCAGCAGAGTTCGGCTCGCTCGAACCGGCGCCCGTGAACCGCCAGATGGTTTACAAGCAAGGAGACTCTCTCCGTCAGAATACGGGTCCGAGTTCGCCGCAAAATTATCACGAATATTCGTCAAATCCCATTAACCAATCACGCGCGAGTGGGCATGGTCAGCTGTCGTGGTTGTTTTTGGGTACCCTTTGTAAAATCGCTCACCCCCCCCCCCCCGTACCCCACAACACGCGCACGCGCCCCACACGCACGCGCGCACTGGACGCTGGAAAGCGGCGGACAGCGCCGCGAAGCGCCGTCTCCTCTCGCTCGCTCGCTCGCCCCGGGCGGAATACGAATGAGAGAGGAAGCCGCTCGCTCACTCACTCGCTCGCTCGCTCCTTCCGGCATTCATTCATTCGTTCGTCCGCACGGCCGAGGCCGAGGGAGCCAGGTGAGTTAACACGGTCCGGCGGTGAGGCAATCGGATGAACAGCGATTTGGAGAGAGATGGAGAGAGGAGAGAGGGGGTGACATGGATAGAGAGAGAGGGGGGGGGGGGGAAGAGAAGAGATGGAGAGGTGGGAGAAAGATATAAAAAGAGATGGAGGGAGGAGAGATGGGAATATGTGAGAGATATATAGAGAGAGGATAGATGGAGAGAGCAGAGCTTGTCAGAGAGGGGAAAGATGGAAAGAGATGGAGTGGAGATGGCGAGAGAGGAGAAATGGAGAGAGAGGAGAGATGTAGAGGAGAGAGAGGAGATGGTAGCGATGGAGACGGGGTGAGAGGAATATGATAGAGGGATAGATATGGGCCGTGAGTCGATAACAGATGGGAGAGACGTGAGGGATGGAGATGAGATAAGAGGGGGGGGGGGTGGAGAGGGATGAGGTGGTAATGCGGAGTATATGGGAGAGGGGGTGGATAGAGGTGATATGAGGTGTCTAGATAGACCGTAGATTGGGGGTGGGGGGTGAGAGGGAAGGGGTGGGGTGTGGGCGAGGAAGAGAGATGGAGAGGAGAGATGCAGGATGCGAAGGAGCGTTCATGCGTGCGCGAACCTAGCCAGCTATGTGGAGTGAGGGGATGCGGGGTGAGAAGCGCTCGATGTGGGTGAGAGGTGCAGGTGAGCAAAGCTCGGTGTGGTGAGGGGTATCGGGTGCTGGTGAGTAACGATTGCCTGATCGTTATATCACCCATTAGCTGATGATGATGATTGGGTTGATGATTTCATGATAAGATGATGGCTTGATGATGATGATGATGACGGTTGCTGGATCGCGATGCGGGTGGTAATGAATGGCTGCGTGGTCATGATGATAATCTGTTTCTGATGATGGTGGTGGTGGTGATGATTACTTGATGAACTGGGGTCGATTCCTGAGCACGGCTAACGTCAGCGGCGAGTGATACCTGAACCGGTCCTGATGCCCCCACGCCAAACTGACCAGCGTGGTGAAGTATGGTCAAAAACAACCCCCACGACTTACACGGCATGGGGTGGTCCTCTTCCAGCAGTGGATTGAACAAGGAGATGTTAACTACCTCGCCTGGTATACAGGAGGTCGTGGGTTCGATCCCGACCCAGAATCCTGTATGTATATTTGGAGTTTGCGTGTCTCTCTCATCATCATCATCATCACGGTGACTAGGAGATGTTAACTACCTCGCCTGGTATGCAGGAGGTCGTGGGTTCGATCCCGACCCTGACGCCTGCTGCTGCTGTATATTTAGAGTTTGCGTGTTTCTCTCTCATCATCATCACGGTGGCTATGAGATGTTAACTACCTCGCCTGGTATACAGGAGGTCGTGGGATCGATCTCGACCCTGACGCCTACTGCTGTATATTTGGAGTTTGCGTGTCTCTCTCATCATCATCACGGTGGCTAGGAGATATTAACTACCTCGCCTGGTATACAGGAGGTCGTGGGTTCGATCCCGACCCAGAATCCTGTATGTATATTTTGAGTTTGCGCGTCTCTCTCCCCGTGGTCGCGTGGGTTTGTATTTGGGCCCTCCGGATTTTCCCCTCCACATTTAGAAGCGTTTTGAGTATTCGGCTGCGACAAATTTGCACGCGAAGAAGAGCCATTTCATTGCACTATCATTTGTGGCCAGGCCGCGTCTGAAAAAAATAGCTGTATAGCTCAGTGGGAATAACCTGGTAATATAATACGTAGTTTTTAAATAGTAAAATGTACGATCAATATATGTACAATCACAAATTGAGCGGCGAGCAATCTGTAAGGTGGATGGCTGTCAGAGTCCTTGGCAGTGGCGACAGGAGGCAGACATTGTGTGCCGGGGCGACAGGGAAAATGTGAGGGTAAGGAATAAGGTGATGGTGTGAGGGGTGAGGGATTAGTGTTTGTGGTGAGTGTGAAGGGTGAGGGGTGAGTGTGAGGGGTGAGTGTGAGGGGTGAGGGATTAGTGTGTGTGGTGAGTGTGAGGGGTGAGGGGGAGTGTGAGGGGTGAGTGTGAGGGGTGAGGGATTAGTGTGTGTGGTGAGTGTGAGGGCTGAGTGTGAGGGGTGAGTGGGGAATTAATGTGAGGAGTGAGGGCGTGAGTGTGAGGGGTGAATGTGAGGGGTGAGCGTGAGGGGTGAGCGTGAGGGGTGAGCGTGAGGGGTGAGCGTGAGGGGTGAGTGTGAGGGGTGAGCGGTGAGTGTGAGTGTGATCAGTGAGGAGTGAGGGGTGAGTGTGAGGGGTGAGCAGTGAGGGGTGAGTGTGAGGGGTGAGTAGTGAGGGGTGAGTGTGAGGGGTGAGTAGTGAGGGGTGAGTAGTGAGGAGTGAGGGGTGAGTGTGAGGGGTGAGTAGTGAGGGGTGAGCAGTGAGGGGTGAGTGTGAGGGGTGAGTGTGAGGGGTTAGTGTGAGGGGTGAGTGTGAGGGATGAGCAGTGAGGAGTGGGTAGTGAGGGGTAAGCGTGAGGGGTGAGGCGTGAGGAGTGAGGGGTGAGTAGTGAGGGGTGAGAGTGAGGGGTGAGTGTGAGGGGTGAGTGTGAGGGGTGAGCAGTGAGGGGTGAGCAGTGAGGGGTGAGCTGTGAGGGGTGAGGCGTGAGGGGTGAGTAGTGAGGGGTGAGTAGTGAGGGGTGAGTCGTGAGGGGTGAGTGGTGAGGGGTGAGTAGTGAGGGGTGAGTGGTGAGTGGTGAGGAGTGAGGGGTGAGTAGTGAGGGGTGAGTAGTGAAGGGTGAGTAGTGAGGGGTGAGCAGTGAGGGGTGAGCAGTGAGGGGTGAGCAGTGAGGGGTGAGTAGTGAGGGGTGAGCAGTGAGGGGTGAGTGTGAGGGGTGTTGGTGAATAATTGATGGCGACGGTAAATGACTCGAATTTCTCGCGCCTCTCTCAACCGCCCAGGCCTCACGGCCTCCGCCCAGGGGTCACCTCGTGATTGTGTTTATTTGTTTACTTTCTTACTCGTTAATTTGTTGTTTAATCGCCTGTGTGTTTGTTCGTTTGTTGTGGAATCGGCCGGTCTCGTTCCCTTTCTCCCCTCACTCTGGTCCTGTCGCCACCATCTCCCCCTGCACTCCACGGTCCTTCACCATCCCTCCTCCCCTCCCCCCTCCGTTTCCCTCCTCTCCTCCCCCCCTGCGTCTCCCTCCTCTCCTCCCCCCCTGCGTCTCCCTCCTCTCCTCCCCCCCTGCGTCTCCCTCCTCTCCTCCCCCCCTGCGTCTCCCCCTCCCCCCTGCGTCTCCCTCTCCCCCTCCCCCCTCCGTCTCCCTCTCCCCCTCCCTCCGTCTCCCCCCTCCCCTCCCCCCTGCGTCTCCCTCCTCCCCCCTCCCTCCGTCTCCCTCCCCCCCCATGCGTCTCCCTCCTCCCCTCCCCCCTCTGTCTCCCTACTCCCCCTCCCCCCCTGCGTCTCCCTCATCCCCCCCCCCACCCCTGCGTCTTCCTCCCCGCATCTCCCTCCTCCTCCGCTTCCTTCCTCCTCCTCACTCCGGACCGGGTTTTGACCGTCTGGCTCTCAATGCTCCGAGCCAGGCTGACTAAACCCCAACGCTGATGGAATCGCCCGATGCTGTTGGCAAGAGCGCTGTCCATCTCGACTCCGTTCAGCGCTAAACGGCTCCAGAGTTGTCCTGCTGACCCACAGCAGACACTGATGAGTCCGCACCTTCGCTTTACCCCCCTCCTCCCCCTCCTCCTGGCACAGCAAGGGGTACGGCTCCTCCTAGTCGCCCACACACGGGAGGAGGGAGTTTCACAACATTTGGTGCGGTGATCCATCAGGCAACTCCTACTGCTGCTGCTGCCTCCACGGCGTAGCCAGCCCGGGTACTGCAGCGCGACAGATAATGATGATGATTATTGGGGGTTTGATGACGCGCTGTATTATTGATGGCACACAAAGGGGGGCGTGACGCGATTCGCATGTCGCTGTGTGGCGGTGGCGGTGTCATTTTTTTTGGTGTCAGACGAGCCGAAGCCCGCAGTGGCCGTGTCCGGTGTTCTCTACCCCCCTGCCCGCGTCACGACGCCCATTGTAGTCTCACAAAGACAAAGGTCCCCCGTGTAGCCTCGCACGGCACGCTGTTGGGGCAAGTGCTCGCGGCGAGCACCGATAAAGGCTGGCGCGGTACGCCCCACCTAATGAGGTAGGGGTAGGGGGTTGGTGTGACCAGCACCACGCCCGGCCGCCTTTGTCTCCCCAGTGCTGATGTTCATACGCCGTCCCGAGTACACACACACACGAGGCTGAGTTGACCTAGCGGAGTCCCTTGGCCGGTTGATTTATTCCAGACCGCGATATACTGGATGTGGTGTGCCGGGTGTGCGAACAAACGCTTCCAGGCCATTGGTGGACTGGAGTAGGCGGCACGTGACGAGTACTCCAGCCTCAATCCACAGCGATAGAGATGTATACTGGATGTGGTGTTCCGGGTGGGGGGGGAGATGTGCACTGTGTATGTGTCCTGGGGCCAATCCCCTTGGACAGAGCCGGCTGAGCCCTGAGCCCCGTGGCAGTAGACGACTCGCGAGCCCCGCCCCTCCACCCGTCATTCCCCCCCCCCCACACTCGGGCCCCCCCCCCCCCCCCCCGTGCATACCTGAGCCCTCACCTGCCGAGAGACGAGAGGCACGGACGCCAAACGCCGGTTGGCCGTGACGGCGGCGCGTGTTGACAGAGCGCGCGTGCTCGCGTACCCTCATGGGCCCCCCTCTCCACATACTCAGTCCCCCCCCACCCCCCCCCAAAATAAATATTTTTAAGCCAGCTCACCTGGGCAAGTGGGGCTCACCTGGGCAGGTGGGGCGCACAGGCGGGGGTGGAGGTGGGCGGCACGCCGGTCGCAGAGTTGCAACCATGAGTCTGTCTGTGAATCTGTCTGAGACTCATGGAGTCACTGACTCAGTCTGTGACTCCATGAGTCTGTGAGTCTATGACTTTGTGAGTCCGTGAGTCTGTCTGTGAGTCTGTGACTTCATGAGTCTGTGAGTCTATGACTTTGTGAGTCCGTGCGTCTGTCTGTGAGTCTGTGACTCCATGAGTCTGTAAGTCTATGACTTTGTGAGTCCGTGCGTCTGTCTGTGAGTCTGTGACTCCATGAGTCTGTGAGTCTATGACTTTGTGAGTCCGTGAGTCTGTCTGTGAGTCTGTGACTTCATGAGTCTGTGAGTCTATGACTTTGTGAGTCCGTGCGTCTGTCTGTGAGTCTGTGACTCCATGAGTCTGTGAGTCTATGACTTTGTGAGTCCGTGAGTCTGTCTGAGTTTGTGACTTTGTGAGTCCGTGAGTAACCCAGTCGCTGTCTGGTGCTGTCTCTCCCCGTCTCTACCCCTGCCTCTCTGTCCCTCTCCCTGACTCTCTTTCCCTTCGTGCCTGTCTCTTTGTCTCGTTCTTTTTCCCCCACGTCTCTTTGTCTCTTTCTCTCCGTCCGTCTCTATAATTCAAAGTGAAATCGTTTGGCATAACAGCAATGCTACTGCAGTCCTGGCACAGAGCACTTAAGCCAAGCCAACAATGCCTCGCGTACCAGTGATCAATACAGAATCAGCGCATTCACGTGTAGCCCCGGCATGCATTCCCAGCACAAACACTCAAACCCCATCTCCACTCTCTCATCAGAGACCGGGCCTCTCTCTCTCTCGATGTGCCCGTCTCTCTTTCGCTGTCTCTGTATCTTGCCTCCATCTGCGTGTGTCTCTCTCATGTCTCCGTCACCCCCCCCCCCCCTCGTGTCTGTATCTGTCACTCTCCGTGATAGTCTGTTTCTCTCAGTGTGTCAATGTCTCTCTCTCTCTGGCTCTCTGGGTGCCTGTTACTCTGTGTGTGTCCATCTCCCTCCATGTCTCTGCATTTCTCTGTGTGTGTCTGTCTCTCTCTCTCTCCCCATGCCTCCGCCGCAGCGTGTGCGTGACCGCGTAGTCGCTCTCCGTGTCAAATGGATTATGGGTGAGATGGAGGCCGTCGCGTCCTCGCGCGCTCTCCCCGCCACGCTCTCTCTCCCCCGCCACGCTCTCTCCCCTGGAGATGTTTTTAGCCAATCAACGACGAGTGGTGTTTATTATTCACGTGGGGTGGAGGAAGCCGGAGCAACCAGAGAAAGCCCACGCCTTGCGCGAGGGGGCAACGCTCTATCCCCAGCACGGTGTAAATATCTGGCGACTCGTTGCTACTGCCTTCTCCTGGCGAGCCAGGGTAGTACGGCACCTCCTCCTCGACGCCACCCACGGGTAGAAGGGATTTTCACAACGCAGCGCTGGATTATCAGAGGCAGCCACATGCAGCAGCAGCAGCGTAGCCACCACCACCACCATCGCTGCTGCTGCTGCCCGTAATCCACCCAGCGGGTGCTGGGATGACAACGCCGCAGGGTCGTGGGAGACGGCTTGGGGTGGGGGTAGGGGGGGCTTCAGCCAGATTGGTCGCGGCTGATGATGGTAACGATGGTGATAATGGTGCTGACGGTGGTCATGACGGTGATGATGGTGGTGACGGTGGTTGTGACGGTGGTGACGGTGGTTGTGACGGTGGTGACTGTGGTGGTGATGGTAGTGATGGTGATGATGGTGGTAATAGTGGTGATGATGGTGGTAATGGTGGTGACGGTGGTGGTGATGATGGTGGTGATGACAGTGGTGACAGTGGAAATGGTAGTGGCGGTGATGATGGTGGTGATGGTGGTGACGGTGGTGATGGTGGTGGTGATGATGGTGATGATTGTGGTGATGGCGGCGACGATGATGGTGATGATGGCGATGATGGTGGTGATGATGGCGATGAGGGTGGCGATGATAGTGAACATCCTCGAGCCAGATCTACGCATGCAGCACTCCGATGCTCACCGTCGTCAAAGTCCTCGTCGCGGTTTCACCGTCCGGGCAACTCCGTGGTCATGGCCACCAACGCAGAATCTGAATCTGTATTACGCTGGAGGAATCCGATGAGCTATGAAGCTCTGTTTCACAGGTGTCCAGTAGGTAACGCGACAGGACAACCCTCAGTCGTCACTAAACAGGGGCGACGTTTCGGGCAATGGCCCTTCTTTATAGCACAGCGACTATTTATACAAATAGTGTCCTTCCTTTGTACCTCCGATTAGTACTGTTGGCCACGTACTGTGCGAAAGCAGTTCAACATCGTACATACAAGTCCATGGGTTCCTGTATACGAGGTCTATGGGTCTCTGTGCAAGTCTATGGGTTCCTGTTAGCGAGGTCTATGGGTGTCTGTGCAAATCTATGGGTTCCTGTAAGCAAGGTCTATGGGTCACTGTGGCAGTCTGTGGGTTCCTGTGAGAGAGGTTTATGGGTCTCTGTGCAGGTCTATGGGTTCCTGTATACGAGGTCTATGGGTCTCTGTGCAGGTCTATGTGTTCCTGTTAGCGAGGTCTATGGGTCTCTGTGCAAGTCTGTGGGTTCCTGTGAGTCAGGTCTATGGGTCTCTGTGCAGGTCTATGGGTTCCTGTTAGCGAGGTCGATGGGTCTCTGTGCAAGTCTATGGGTTCCTGTTATCAAGGTCTATGGGTCTCTGTGCAGGTCTATGGGTTCCTGTTAGCGAGGTCTATGGGTCTCTGTGCAAGTCTATGAGTCTCTGTGTAGGTCTATGGGTCTCTGTGCAAGTATATGGGTTCCTGTGAGCAAGGTCTATGGGTCTCTGTGCAAGTCTATGGGTTCCTGTTAGCGAGGTCTATGGGTCTCTGTGCAAGTATATGGGTTCCTGTGAGCAAGGTCTATGGGTCTCTGTGCAAGTCTATGGGTTCCTGTTAGCGAGGTCTATGGGTCGTCTCTGACTGAGGTCAATGGGTCTCTGTGCAAGTCTGTGGGTTCCTGTGAGTGAGGTCGATGGGTCTCTGTGCAAGTCTATGGGTTCCTGTAAGCAAGGTCTATGGGTCGCTATGCAAGTCTATGGGTCTCTGTAACTGAGGTCTATGGGTCTCTGTGCAAGTCCCGTGGGTCTCTGTGAACCCTGTGACTTAAATCCACCTAGGCTTGGCCCTGGTCGGGGGGACGCGGTCGACCGGCAGGCCGCGTGTGCGGTGGAGCAAAGTGTGGTTACTCCAACCTCTTCCACGACGTCTGGCTCAGCGTGGGAAGAGGAGGCCAACATCGCCACTCGAGAGGGCAGCTCGCTCGAGTCCGGGGGGCCTTCCACCAGTGGCGGCGTGAGCGGGCTATTGCAGGGCTGCGCCTTTCGCCTTCGCCACCCGTACGCACCCACGCTATGAATCTGGCATCCCGAGTTTGATTCTTGACCATGGCCAACACCATCATCATCATCATCGCCACCACGATGATCAACATTTACCGCCGTCGTATTTGTCACCATCGCTTGCAGCAGGAATGAGCGGCAATGGCACCGTCATGTGCAGCATCGCCGTCATCGTCATCCACTCGATTGATTGCGGCACCACCCGGGCCAATTCCAGGGCAGCCCCTGGCCGTGGGGGCCGCTTTGATCCAATCACGTGGTCCTCCGGCCATTTGTTCGCAGCCATCGCGGTAACAACCAGCGGCGCTGGCTCTGGGTAGGTGTGGGGGTGGGGAGGAGGCCATCACCCAGCAGTGGATTGATCATGAGCAACGATATTGAATGATAACTGTTGTTGTAGCACGCACCAAATTGAGCATCGCACACTCACGCACACTCACGCACACTCACGCACACACACACACGCACGCACGCAGACACGCGGTTACGTTCAACACGATGTGACATGCTTGTTGTGTCTCATCTCATCATCCCCCCCTCCACCCTCCCTCTCTCCCGCTGTCTCACAGCCTCGCCCATTGACCGCTGGTCCGGACGGAACTCTCTCCCAGAACGAGGTCCTTGACGAACGCCCGGTGACCACCCGTCGTAGTCATGCCAGCCCAATGCCGCCACCAGCTGCTGCTGCTGCCCCTGCTGCTTCTGCTGCTACGATCGTCCACTTTCACCGACGCCCTCGCCCGACCCGCGACCTCCTCTCGTCATTTTGCCGACGACGTTTCCCCCGCGGTCGCCGTCGACGCCACGGTGGGAGGCGGCGGTGGCGGTGACGCCGCCCCGGCGTCCACCGGTCACCGCCGTCCCATCGTCAACGCCGGCGCCGGCAGAGATGACGATGCTGCTGCTCCCGCCGCTGTCGAAGAGGTAGCGTCGGACACGAGCGCGCATCACCTCGTCGCTCCGGACGATCGCCGCGCTGCTGCGACCGGGCGACTGTCGGCGATGCCCAACAACTCCGCTTCCGCCTCCCAACGTTTGGCGACGGACGCCACTGCTGCCGATGTTTTTGCGGGCGGCCACGGCGGCGGCGGCGGTGCTGATGTTGGCGGCGGCAGCGGCACCGGTGATGCTGGGACGGCCCCGGGGAAGGACGGCAGGGAGGCGGTGCCGCGCCCCGCGGGGCTGTGGCGGCCCACGGTCGCGCAGTCGCGTACCGCCCGCTCGGCCGACTGGCGATTGCCCGGTATGGATTACCACAGCTCCTGGCTGCCTCAGTCACCGACCACCACCACGACCACCACGACCACGGCCTCGACAACAACCACCACCGCCGCCGCCAAGACCGCGACGCTCAAATATTGGGGCTCCACGCAGCCGCCGCGGCGGTGGGCCGACGGCTCCAAGGTCGACGGGGTCGCGGCCGGGTCACCGCCTTCAGAGCAGAGGTCAACCGGAGCGCTGGGCCCGGACGCGGGAAATGTCACCGCCGCTGTAGCTGAGGGGTCGGCTGCTCCGGGACGAGGTGAGGGTGCGTGCGTGCGTGCGGACATATGCAGTGATCGCCGGTGATCGTTGGTGATTGCCGGCGGCGGGGGCTAGGCAGAGCGCGAGGCATGCAGAGTGTTTAATTTATTGGACGCCGTCTATTTGAGTCCAGGTGGAGTTTTAATTTATTGGTGCCAACCGAGGGCTCGAGAAAAACCCCCCCCTCTCCCGGGAGGCAAAATCGCCTTCGCCGTCCACGCGGCTCGCCGCAATGCAGCCACCCTGCCGATGGTGGCGGCTCGCGGTCGCAGGGCGAATGACAGAGGTGGTGGTGGTGATGGTTCTGGAGGTGGTGGAGGTGATTGTCGTGGAGGTGGTGGAGGTGGTGGAGGTGGTGGAGGTGATCGTGGTGGTGGTTCTGGAGGTGGTGGAGGTGGTGGAGGTGGTGGTGGAGGTGATCGTGGTGGAGGTGATCGTGGTGGAGGTGGTGGTGGTGGTTCTGGAGGTGGTGGAGGTGGTGGAGGTGGTGGTGGAGGTGATAGTAGTGGAGGTGGTGGAGGTGGTCGTGGTGGAGGTGGTGGAGGTGATCGTGGTGGAGGTGGTGGAGGTGATCGTGGTGGAGGTGGTGGAGGTGATCGTGGTGGAGGTGGTGGAGGTGATCGTGGTGGTGGTGGTTCTGGAGGTGGTGGAGGTGATCGTGGTGGAGGTGGTGGAGGTGGTGGAGGTGGTGGAGGTGATCGTGGTGGAGGTGGTGGAGGTGATCGTGGTGGAGGTGGTGGAGGTGGTCGTGGTGGTGGAGGTGGTGGAGGTGATCGTGGTGGAGGTGGTGGAGGTGATCGTGGTGGAGGTGGTGGAGGTGGTCGTGGAGACCGTTGGTCGGCACAGCTGTGGCCCGGTTCACGGCGAGCAGCGTAACGACCTTGCAAGGGTCATGACACCCGGTCTCATCCGCCGCTGACAACCGTTCTGGGGCCTCCTGTAGGTCGACTCGGCTTTAAGTGAGTACCGAACGTGGTGGACAGCGGCACTGGGTGTGGTGCTGGCCACCCATCACCCCCCTCGTGTGCCGTGCCGCCCTTCACAGGTGCTGTACGCTAACGGCACTTGCCCCAACAAGCTGTGGAGGCTACGTGGGTGATCTGAATGTGTACTTGATCTCATGATGACGATGGCACGAACGGAATTAACACAATTTGACAACAACACAAAAATTGTCAATCGCTTGCACTTTTTTCTCCGAACGACAAGGCAAATTAAATCACCATCGGACGTCTCGCTGCACGGCTGGCGAGAGTCGGTGCTGACGAAGCAGGGAGGGCGTGGGGGGGGGGTGCAGGAGGGGGGGGAGTGGAGGCGGTCACAGCAAGGTCAGCGAGGTTCATTATCACATCGATTGGGCAGGGGAGATGGCCGAGCGAGGAGACGGCGCTGTTCAGCGAGCACCTATGAAGACCGGCATGGCACACGAGGGGGTGGGTGGCCAGCACCACGCCCGGCCGCCTTTGTCTCCCCAGCGGCGACGATTTTACAAACTGCACCAGCTACTCATTTGAGGCTGAGTCGACCTAGGGGAGGCCTAGGACCGGTTCAGATATAATCGTCACTGGTGTTTGCCCTGAGCAGGAATCGAACTCGGGTCGCCGGGTTTGCAGCGCAGTGCGCTAACCGCCACACGACACACATAACCGCATATATATACGCACACACACGCACGTACGTATATAAAAGTGACCGTGTACACGTGGCCAAGATGCACCGGGAGTCCACGTGTGAGGAGAGTGGAGGTTGGAGCCGGGGTGGAGGCTTGGGATCGTGATCTGAGGTTGTTTGACAACAACGACGACGACGCCAAACTGTCAGAGGGCATTGAATGCTCGCACGCACAATCACACCGCCCCAGGGCTGTTTGTCTGACAATGCGCGAGCGTCGCTCATCACTCGTGCCACAACGCATCGCCCGAACTGGCCTGCAATCCGATTATTTACGCTGGGCAGTGGTGGTCGGTGGCTATGCTGCTCCTGCTGCTGCACGTGGCAAGGGTTGGTGGATCACCGCGGTTACAACAAAGGGGACTAATCGCCATCTGTTTACATCTGTACGGGGATGGAGTGTTGCCCCCTCGTGCAAGGCGTGGGTTTTCTCCGGGTGCTCCGGTTTCTTCCCACGTATATAAATACCCGCATTTTAAAATAATTATCCATACCTTCCACCCCCCGGCCCCCTCTTGTCCCAACGTGGTCAAGGATCAACTCAAGCTTCCTCCCGATGTCTCTCTCTCCCCGTCTCTCCCGGTTCTTGCTGGTGCCACAGGAAGAGCAGCCGGCACCGGTCGCCCCTCCACCGAACCCCACCTCCACCACGAGGAGTCCCCGAGCACGGCGCTCGGCCGTCGGGGGCCCCTCATCCCGGACGAGCGCCCCTCCGACGACGCCGACGACGACGCGGTGGCGCAACCTCCCGCCGGCGCTGACCCGGGTTCCCGGCGCCGGGCGCACCGCCGGCACGGCTTGCTGGGCGCCGCCTGGGCCGTGCACGTGTACGGCTGCGGCGCTCTTTTCCTCCTGCTGGCGCTGGCCTCCGCCGCCGTGGCCGTGGTGGCCGGCATAGGCCGGACCGCTGAAACCGCCGCCTCCGCCGTCGCCGCCACCGGCGGCCGGGAGGAGCCGCCGCCGCCAGACCGCGCTTCGCCGCTCTTCGCGTCCAAGTCGGCGGCGCCGACCTCGGCGCTCGCCGGAGGGTGGCTGCTGTGCGCCGCGGGGACGGCGCGGGCCCTGCTGCTGCTGCTCGCCGGCGCCTACAACGCAGACGGGGGGCTGGGCGCCGGCGCCGCCCGCCTGCTCTACGACGTGCCCTTCCCGTGCCTCACCGCCGCCCACGCTGCCGCCCTGGCCTCGCTCGCCAAGGCGGCCGAGCCGCGGCTGCCAGCCGCCCGCGAGCGCCGGCTGCTGGCGGCGCTGGCGGCCGCGGTGGCGCTGCATTTCCTGCTGGCGCTTGGCGGGAGCCTGGCGGCGGGGTTGGCGGGCCCTGGCTCGCCCGCCTCCCTGGCCGCCCCCTCGGTGGCGCTCGTCTACTTCTGCGCGTTCGGGGCGGCGCTGCTGGCGCTCGCCGTCGTCGGCACGTGCGGCGGCACCGACCCCGTCGTCTTGGCCGAGAAAGGCCACCTCGTATTCTCACCCGCGTCCGCGCCGGCCGCCACCCCCTCGCCGTCGTCGTCGTCAGCAAGGTCGCGGGCGGCCGTGGCCGCCGGCGCTCTGGTGGCGGCGTGCGGCGTGGCGCAGGCGAGCGGCGTGGCTCTGGGCTTTGTTGGCGACTTCGAGGTCGAGTCTCCCGCGGGCCGTGCGCCGGCGTGGTGGTCCTTCCACTTCTGCGCCCGCGTCCTGGAGCTCGCCGCTTGCCTCGCGCTCTGCCTCACCGCCGCCGCCGCCGTGCCCTTTCGCCGGCGCAAGCCTCACGCCGGTGCCGATGACGTCGAGGAGCTGCGGCGGCGGCAGCCGGTGGCGGCGGGGCTGGCGGTGCCGCTGGCTCGATGCGACGAGGCCCTGGAGCCCGGCAAAGGTGACGGCGGTTGCTGGGGGAAACTATCGCGGCTCCTGTGCGGTCTCGGCGCTGGCGACAGCATCGACGCTGCCGCCGTCACTGCCGGCGCCAGTGGCGGCATCGGCGATGGGCGACGCGAGCCACAGACCGGAACCGGCGCCGGCCGGACGGACGTGGGTCGGCCCCGCGGGACGCCAGATGGCCTCGAATCGGGCGTCACGGCACCGTTTGCATCGTCTTGCACCGCCACCGACGCTGGCGACGACGACAATGACGCCGATGGCGGGAAAAGATCGAAGAGGAAGGGCGACAGCGACCCAGGAGTGGACGACAGCGACGATAGCAGCTACGACGAAGATGACGACGAGGTGTGCGACGGCAGCAGGCGCGGGAAGGCCGCCGGCGGGCGCCGGCGCCGGAACCGCAAGCACTCTGGCAGCGGCCACTCACTGGGCTCTTCGCTGCTGCTGCTCCACCCGTTCACGATGTCCGACTTGGACCTGCGGCCGCCGTCGCCCATCGAGCTGTGGCGCAGCATCGATGACGCGCTGCTGGAGCGCGCCGTCATCACCGAGAGCCTCTTTCGCCGCTCGCACAGCGCCGGCAACCTGTCGACGATGGGCGACGCGGAGGGGACGGCCGCCGGCGCCTCCGTCGGCGGCCCCGAGAGGCCCGGCCGCCTGCAACGGCTGTTCCGCGGGTCGGCGCTCAGCCTGCGCAAGAGCTCCAGCCGCCTGGCGATGGCGTCGTCCAGCTTCGGCAGCAGCGTGAGCCGGGCCCCGAGTCTGGTGATGCAGTCGCCACTCGGTAGCACCGGTGTCGGCGGGTGGTCCAGGAGGGACGCGTCCTTCGCGTCGCTCATGAGCCTCGGTTTGGGGTGGTCGAAGTGCAGGCCCAGGGACTTGGCGCCGGTCCCGGTGGTGGGGGAGAGGGCTCTCGACCTCGGCTCGAAGCACGCGGTCCACGACGGCGACGCCGATGACGCGGCGAGCGTCGGGCGCAGGGCACCGTCGGTGAACATCAACCAGGAGTTCAACCATATCTGCAAGCAGATCAACCACCTGAGTATGAGCAGCGACACCATCGACGTGTAGACGCCGCCGCGCCGTGGCCGGGCCCGTGCTGCGTCCGCTGCTGGTTTTGACGGCCGCGTGCTCGTCCCGTGAAAAGCGTCGGAATTTGCTACGAATTAAATTCAGGGCGTTCACGTCATCTTTGTCGTCATCGACGTCATCATCGGCCACGATTCATCCTCCGCTGGACTGGATGAAGTTGGCCTCCCCCAAGGCGACCGCCATCTCCGGCGACCTGGCGAGGGATCACTCCACGTAGTTCCTTGCACTCGGGCCGATCACCTCCGATTGTTCCAATTTCACCACTCCCATCGTCGCTCCGTCTCCACGGTGGGCCCGCGTCCCCTCGAGTGCATCCCCCCTCCTCTGACTGCTTCTGCGTCTCCAGCCTCTCTCGCCGGAGGTCGACAAGAGATGTCACAAAAGTGACGACGCCTCCACGTCTAATAATCCCTCCTCCTCCTCCTTGCAGTGTGTCCTGACAGTATTTATTCGTATGTACGGTGCAGCCGGTTGGCATGGTCTCGCTCCTGTCAGTCATGGGGGTTGTTTGACCATACTTCACCGCTTACGACCGGTGTCGAGGAGGGGAAGATGAGGCCCAGAACACGGAGCAGCGTGCTAACCGATGCGCCGCCATTCTAGAGCTCCCTCTCCTGCAGGCCCCTTCCGACAGCAAGGGGCATGGGTGGGACATTGCGGGGTTGTGCCTGTACCTTGTTATAATGTATAATTTAAACATGGACTTATAAAGTTTAACAACTGTCAAATAATTTCATCCACCCCTCCCCCAAGTCAGTAGTGACCTCCTGACACAACGTTGTTAATTTAAGACTTGAAGTCATCCTACTGTATATTGCAATAAACAGCGATATCATTTCAACTGTACAGTGTACAAGTATTTTAAAGGATAAATAGTAACGAGAATAACAATGTAAGCAGCATGTGAAGCGATGAGCACTGAATCTACGGCCTCTCTTAGATGAGGCCATAGGCCCCAAATAATGTTTCACGGGTGCCGAGGGTGGCGATTGCTCCCAGTTATTTCCTTGAAGCGTTTTACCTCTCGACCACGGACGTGGCGGCGACAGCAAGGTCTCCGTGGTGGCTTTGTGCGTGGGAAGGGCTACCACGGAGACCTCGTCGTTACATGCATTCCACGGGACGCTTTGGAGGAGAGAAATCGAAGGTGATGTGAGACACAGTGGCGATTTTCTTTCCCCCGCACCTCCGATTGGCACGGTGGACATAAGGAGGACGTGGGTCCATACAGCACCTTTGTGGGGGAGTCAATGGATAGAATCATCACCCCAATTTTTTGCTGGAAGATACGGGGTGCGCGGCGATGACTGCGAGACCGACTCTGATGAAGTCCGCAGACTCCGACTCTGCAGGCCGCCGTCAAGATGAACGTCGCCGGGCCGGACGGGGCTGAGCTTGGACTTGGCCAGGGTCTCGAATTTTAACTCGTGCTCGGGGATGAATCTGATGCCCACAAGTTTGGCGGTCGTGGCTTTGTCACCCACGACCCCCCCCCCCTGGGCCCCCGCCGTCCCATCCACCGCACGACCCGTGCACCCCTACATGGTTCCGACACCCGTGCTAACACGTCCGGCCACAACAGCCGCTCCCCACCGCCCCCCTCCCCCCAACCCCGTCCAGTCGGAGGGGGAACCATGTCAGAAATTATTGGGCCACAGGTCGGAAGTGGAGGTTGCCAAAATGCCCCAGGCTCCGGTTTCCGATGGTTTCCGACGGGCGACGCGGCTTCTGAGCGCCAGCGCGTTGGACGCTCGTTGCAGAGGTTCGCGGTTCGAGCCGAGTGGCCGCCCTGGTTAACGCTGCGGCGTACGAATTAACGACAGGTACCTTCGTGCGGCCGTCCGCTACACTAGTCAGCGGAGAGGCTAAAGATCCCTTGGAATCGAGTCGGTGCTCTCCACACCAAAGCCGCCGCGTCGTCCTCCCTCCGGTGAAAACCGCTGGCAGGCTGATCGTACCCGTTCGTGAAACACAGCAGCGTCTCTTCCTTTGTGACAGCCTCGTGCTGGGGGGAATGGCGAGAATCACCGCGTGGTGCTCGTGGTTTTGATGTGAACAACGGGGGAGGTCAAAGTTCACGGGTGTGCACCTTCTGCAACGTGACGCGGAAGAAGAATAAATACAAAAAATAATTGTAAAATTACACTTTAGCAATGTTTTGTTTGTTATTGCTTAAGTCAACGCTGTATTACCGCGTCTGGTAAAGTCTGCCGGCTCGTGTGAGTGGTCATTCAATGTCAATGTTTGTGAACAAAACAACAAAAATACAAAAAATATCTTTCAATAAAAATTACATTGTAAATCATCTCATCATCATGATCAGCAGCAGGCATGTTCAGTGCACTGCTGGCTGACGGCCTCCCCAAGAGGCAGTGATCGCAGGGCTGCGCCTGCACCGATACCACAGGTGCTCCCTCCAAATATCTCCGCCCGGGATGTCAGTGCCCCACGTGCTTGCCTGCCCTCCCCTCGCCTCCCTCCTGTTGACCATGTAAATAATGTTTGACGCAAATTCATTAAATGCGCTATTGTAAAAAAATCGGTTGTAAAGTAGAATTGTGTTCCATCCAGATAGCTGTGTGCGTGCGTGTACGCGTGTTGCTATCTCTGTGCAAATAACGTTCTCGTTTACAGCGGAGGTCATCTTATCCGACAAGGTGGCGAAGTAGCAAATGCTATGATGTTGGCGCACGGTCAAGTTCAACGGCCACGGCGCGAGCTTCCGATGGCCGAGACGGGCGTTGATCGGAGCGCGTCTGGCCTTAGAGAAGACCTAGGACCAGATGGGGGTGGTACAGGATCCTGGCGGAGTGTACAACGCGTTGGCGGCGATGAGCTGGTGGTGTTTGAGATGGTGGCATCAAACTAAACTTAACAATATTTTTTATTTTACCAGGTAAGGCCCACTGAGCTACATAGCTATGTTTCAGAAGCGACCTGGCCACAAGGTATAAGCCCAATTAAGTGGCTCGTGGAAATCTATAGCAGCCAAATGCTCTAAACGCGTGTTTCTAAATGTGGAGTAAAAGCCCGGAGGATCCGGAGAAAAATCCATGCGACCAGAGGGAGAAAGAGACACACGCAAACTCCAAATATACATATTCTTAGGTTTTTTCTGTAAAGTCACGTAGGTAAAAAATTTAAATTAATAATCACTTGATAGAGCTATCGTGCTGTGACGGTTCCACCTGAAGACGGAAGCTTGTGTTGCCTCCGAAACGTCGTGATTTTTACTTTATTTTTATTTTACTTTTATTAATTTAAATTTTTTACCTACGTGACTTTACCGAAAAAACCTAAGAATATGAATCCTTGCAGTCACGAAAGCTTCAAATCTAGAATCCAAATATACAGCAGGTGGCAGAGTCGGGATCGAAACCACGACCTCCTGTAGACCAGGCGAGGTAGTTAACATCTCGTCACCATCTGCGTGATGTTAATGGTGTTGATCACGATCGCGGCTTGATCTTGAAGATTTGGGAGAGAGAAAAAAACTACTTCGAAGAAAGGTCACGCTCGGCATTGTTGAAAAGGAAATGTTGGAAGTTTCTAATCTCGCCCGTTTCAACAGCCACTTCTACGGCGTCACCGTGGACTTCGATCAAATCCACGATCGCCGTGACCTCCGTCACCTCCAGGGTCAAAATCGTCGCCTTGGTGATGAAGTTATTCCGGGTCGTTTCCTCGAGTGCGAAGTTTATCGTCTCGAGGGGGCTGCCACTTTGTCCGTCATGTCCACCATCGTCATCATCATAAGGCATCAATCCACTGCTGGATGATGGCCTCCCACGCCGTGTCGGTAATGAGGGTTGTTTGACCATACTTCACCACGCTGGTCAGTGTGGGTTGGGTGAAGGTGTGATGGATGCCCAAGACAATTTCACAATGTCTTAGATTAATTTGCTTCCTTATAAAATGTTAGAAGTCATCCAGGCTACAAAGACCCCCCGTATAGCCGTTAACAGACGTGTTATTATGGCCAACATGGCACACTAGGGGGTTGGTGGCTAACACCACGCCCAACCGCTTTTGTCTCCCCAGTGCTGACGTTTACACTGTGCACAACATACTCATTCAAGGCTGAGTCACCCCAGCGGAGGACTGGTTCTAATATTTCGCCACTGGTGTTGGTTGTGAGCAGGAATCGAACTCGAGTCCATGGCGTTCATGGGATAGTGCGGCGCCACCGCTCCCCACTGACATTTTAGACCACAAAGACAAAAATCCCCAAAATCCCCTGAGTAGCCTCACAGAAGCTGTTGGGGCAAGTGCTGATAGCGAGCAGCACCTATGAAGGCCGGTACGAGGGGCTGGGGTAGCCAACACCACGCCCGACCGCCTTTGTCTACCCAGTGGCGATGTTTACGCACCGCACCAGGTGCTCGTTTTGAGGCCAAGTCGACCGAGAGGGAAAGGCCCAGGACCGGTTCAGATAATCGTCACTGGGTGTTGGTGGCCGTGAGCGGGAATCGAACTCGGGTCCCCACGGGGTTCCTCGCGCAGCGCAACACGCTAACCACCCTGTGACCACCGGTCCCCACCGAGAATGCCAGACCACAAACACACAAACACACGCACGTGCACGCGCGCATTGAACCTGACACCATCAGAGGGCCTTTGGCGGGGTGCTCGGGTGGTCGGTCCTGCGCCGGCCCCCCCATGCTCCGCAGGGCCCCAGATCTGGCAGCACCGCCTCGCATTCCCGTGCGTGCGGCCCCCTCCGAGGCACGAAACGTGCGCGCCGCGCGCTCCCGTGCGGTGCGACGACGCGAAATCGACACCGCCGCTCTTCGCAAAATGTTTGTGCCGGATGCCGCCGATAAATCATTTTTGCCGCATGGATTTCAGGTTGCACGTTGGCAAGCGGCGCGCGGGCAAGCAACGAGACACCGTTGTGAGCCAGCCAAACGCTCGTGGCGAACGACGAATAAGTCAATAGCCACTGCGTTCTTCTAAATCTACATTCCTCCGACTAACCATCACCATCACCACCACTCCTCCACAGCGTGTCTACTGTTGGATGAGGGCCTCCCCTACACTGCTGGGGATTTGTTGGACCACGTTTCACCACGCTGGTCTGGGTGGGTAGGTGAAGGGATGTGGGTAGAAGGCAAGGGCTTGTGGAGAGAGCAGCCCAGTGATGGATCTGGGAGGGTGGGGGCGGTCCCCCCCCCCCCAGGCCCCCCCCCCAGGCCCTCCCCCACCGATGTTCACCTCGTCTTGGAAGAAAACTTGTGTAGTCGAGCTCAGACGGCAGTGTGTCAATCGCTGCGCCACCGCTCCATGTGTATTCATCACGTTCGTAAAGTGAGAGATGTAAAATTGTGGCGAGATGTTAACTACCTCGCCTGGTATACAGGAGGTCGTGGGTCTCTCTCTCCCCGGGTTTTCCCTCCACATTTAGAATCAACGTGCGTTTAGATTAGGTATTTGATTGCTATACATTTCAATGAAGCCGCTTTGTTGAGCGATCATTTGTGGCCAGCTCGCTTCTGAAAAAGAGCTACATTGCTCGGTGGGCATCACCTGGTAAAATAAAAAAAAACTTTTATAATAGGGTTCTCCCCATTTTTCTGGCAACAAGGGGAAAACCCTATTATCACGCCTTTTGGCGTCCTCTGGTCTAACACCGTTTTGAGACTAGGCTCAAAAGAAAGATGTCTCTGGTGTGGACCAATCAGTTTAAAAGACAATGCAAATATTATCAGAGTGTTTTTAGTTTGCATTCTGACCACAAGTATTGTGGTCAATGCAGACATAATTCCTTGTAAAAGGTTTCAGTTTGGTGTTTTAACATCTTAACACAACTGTTTTGTTGCCAGAAAAAAGGGGAAAACCTATTCTCAACCTATTATCATATTTTAGTCCTGGCAAAGGAGGTCCCATGATGAAATAAAACTTTAGTTTAAAATGTGTGTTGGCACGGCTTCATGAGTTTCGGTGGCATCCCTCTCACCCAGCATCCGCGTCCCATTGCCAGGCCCGGCCAGGGCTGCTGTCTGTGTGTGTGTGTGCAGTGTCGTAGAGGCGAGATTCGGGTTTTTTTTCTTTCTCCAGCTGAGCTCTGGCCAGCCCTGCCCCGGACATTAAACGGCCGCGTTATAGTTGCCAATGGCCTCTCCATTACACGCGGCCTGGGCTTAAGATGCCACGCGTTGTGTGAATCTGCTGGATCCTCCCGCACCACCCCACCCCTCCCCCACCGCTTCCACGTGGGCCAGAAAAGTCCCTTGGAAGGAATTCAAATTCATATTTATTTATACTGCAGGAGGAATCCGATGAGCTATCAAGCTCCTGTTCACAGATGTCCAGTCGGGGCGGGTAAGAACGTTTACAACGCAAACATACGAGAGGAGTGCAAAGTAAGTATAGGAAGGGTAAACACATCACTTAAATTATATACAAATAAAACTAAATCGTTTGTTGATCTTAACAAGTTAAGCCCAGAGGTATAAACTTATTTTTCAGAAGAGACCTTGCCACGGCTTATAATGTGGGCATTTATAGCGGCAAAAGTAATCAAAATAATCTCAATGCATGTTTCTAAATGTTTTCAGTTTCTTTCACCCTGTGAGCCATGCGGCTCTTGACTCGGGTGCAACCGCAACAAAACAAAAACATGAACAAGAAACATCTCAAAGTGACTACACGCAACAGAAAAATCCAGGAAAAAACAGCAAAGTCTTACAGAAAAAAGCAAAAATCCCAGTGGGATGCAAGTCAAACAATAACAACCATAAGACAATGTAGATTAAAGTTATCAGGCTAACTCTGTACTACAAAAAACAAACATGGCTAAACCAAAACGTTTTCAAAATCACCAAAATAAAGCTATAAAACAATGTAACAGTGATCATAGGAACTGTGATTCAAATTTAACAATACACGATATACATAACATGTACGACCAAACTTTGCAGCCATAGCTGGCTGCATGAGTCACTTCATAACAGCAGGCGTATCAGTAGCAGGATCACATTTTTTCAATACACCTTTCACCGGTAGATCCCCATAACACGAATCTTGCGAATCTCCCTTGCTGCGATGGTAGAGGAGGCACGGCAATTGCGGACTAATCTCCAATCTGTTTAACACGTAGTATGCTTTCGCGACCAATATCATCCATAATAGAGGTTTTTTGGGTTAGATAGCGTAAATATATGTGTCTTATTCTTTCGTTCCATCGGTAAAGTCACGTAGATAGAAAAATAATCATTAAAATAAAGTGAATTAATAATAAAACCCCACTAATGTAGACTGTAGCCTGGTTCTAAATCGGAGTGAGTGTACTGATAGTATATAATGTAGACTGTAGCAATGGTTATTAAGCTGAGTGAGTGTACTGGCAGTCTAAAATGTAGACTGTAGCCTGGTTATTAAGCTGGGTGAGTGTACTTGCAGTCTATAATATAGACTGTAGCCTGATTCTTAACCTCGGTGACTGTACTGGCAGTCTATAATGTAGACTGTAGCCTGGTTATTAAGTTGGGTGAGTGTACTGGCAGTCTATAATGTAGACTGTAGCCTGATTCTTACGCTCTATGAATGTACTGGCAGTCTATAATGTAGACTGTAGACTGGTTTTTAAGCTGGTGAGCGTATTGGCAGTCTATGATGTAGACTGCAGAAATGGTTATTAAACTGAGTGAGCGTACTGGCAGTCTATAATGTAGACTGTAGCCTGGTTCTTAACCTGAATAAAATAAAATAAAAGTCTAACCCAAAAAAACGCAATTATGAATCTCCAATCTGCTCACTCTGCATCAGTGGCAGCTCGTGACACAACGACGAGGTGCGGCTGTTGTGAGTGACCTCTGTAAATCTGGTGTTCAAATTAAGAACAAACCCTCGTCATGTTATTGGCCTTCCCGTGAAAGTGATATAACTATCTTGGCTACCAACGGGAGACATTTGTAAACAATACGAAACGAAACAACAAAGCACTCAAATGCTTCTTCTTGGTTCTTTCGGTAAAGTCACGTAGAATGGAAATAATAAAATAATAAAAATATAACATTTTAAAATAATTCTCACGACGTTTCGGCCACAACGCAAGCAGCCGTCTTCAGGTGAAGAATGAAACACCACCAAGCTTGGAGCGTATATTTAAGCTGGGTTGGAGGGGGAAGAAGAGCGCCTTGATAAAATAATTTGCATATCAAGAGGAATTTAGCATATTTATGGGAAATGCGTAGGAGGTGGGGGGGGGGGGTTTCAAAGTCATACTATGCTCAAATGCTCTCCCCATGACCCCTCAAGTCCACACTACACAACACCTTGAACACTGCCAAAAGCCGAGAGGCGTGTAGAGTGTAGACCGTGACTTGCTGTATTTTTTGGTTCTTTCGGTAAAGTCGCGTAACTATACCGAAAGAACCAAAAAGTATATGGATCCTTGCAGTCACGAAAACTTCAAATCTAGAATTGCTGTGTTTTCACAGTGCCACCTCGCGTCGCGACGTCGTCATTGCAGCCACGGGCGCCCTTTTCACCGCCCTGAATGGGTCTCAAACGGCGTGGCTACAATGTGAGCAGCTGCTCATCGCAATGAACGAAGAAGAGGAAATCTCTCACTCCTTCACAGCCGTCCCGAGACCTCCCCGAGGCACAAATCAGACTGCGGCGTCGCAGCGGTTTCTAATACGAACAACTTAAAATCACTGGCGGAGCCAGTGGGGGTGGGGAGTGGCACGTGCCCCCCCAATCATTTGGGTTTATTAGTAATAAATCGGCATTTTGCGACCCCCACTGCAACTGTGTAGCATATTATGATGTGCCAGGGACTCTATGAGATGATAGGACAATAGTCTGAGTCCATAATTGGCAATAAGTAACGGCAAAGCAGTTATAAGTGACTCTCAGAATTGTGCGCAGTTGCGTATACAGATACATCAACACCTTCAGCGAGCGCGATGCCGATCACACGACGCGGTTCGAATTCGACACGCGTCGAATAAAAACCAAGGGACAACTCCTTACTCACTAACAAGTCCTTACTTACTAACAACTCCTTACTTACTCACTAACAAGTCCTTACTTACTAACAACTCCTTACTTACTCACTAACAAGTCCTTACTTACTAACAACTCCTTACTTACTCACTAACAAGTCCTTACTAACAACTTCTTACTTACTCACTAACAACTCCTTACTTCCTAACAACTCTATCATGTTTCATTGCTGGAGGGGTTGCCCCCCACTAACTGAAAATCCTGGCTCCGCCATTGCTTAAAATGGTATCTTCATTAGGCAATTCGCGTTGAAAGAAAAATCATAATTATATATTAAAACAAAACGTAAACACAACAAAACTATTTACAGAAAAGTGTGTTTTATTAGAAGCACATTCCTACGGAGGGAGCTGGTAGGAACGTCGGGTTGCTCGGTCAATGACCAGGGTCAACGGCGGCGTGGTGTATTCCGCAAATATGCCCGACTGTGAGGGCGGGCACAAGCCGGCGTGAGTAGGTTAAACGTTGAGTTTTATAAGGGCACCACGGGGTGACCAGCCCCTCCCCACCCAGCCCCACCCCCACCCCTCCCACCCCCCACCCAGCCCACCCTCCCTACCCAGCCCCTCCCCACCCTCCCCTCCCCACCCAGCCCCTCCCCAGCCAGCCCCACCCAGCCCCTCCCCAGCCAGCCCCACCCTCCCACCCAGCCCCACCCTCCCCACCCAGCCCCTCCCCACCCAGCCCCACCATCCCCACCCACACTATAACATTACACTATAGTGTAGTGTATTACACACTACACTATGCACTACTATACATGACACTACTATACACTACACTATACACTACACTATAACATTACACTATACAACTACTATACACTACACTATGCACTACTATACACTACACTATACAACTACTATACACTACACAACTATACACTACGTCACTAAAATACCGCTGACAGATCTTTGCAATTACGTCGTCGGAAAAACCGATTCAGGAATCGACGGAGTCGGTGATAATAAAATAGGAACCGATCTGATTCCCCGATACAATACGGTATTCCGATGGATGAATCGAATCATTGCAATTCTTTTCTCGATTCCTTCCGTCGTAGGAATCGACTCTAACCAAAACAATAAAAATAAAATCGTTCCAACCTATGATTCATATACATTCTTAAAATAACAAACGCCCCGGGGGCATCTCTAACATTGACTCTCCACACGCGTCGCCACACCGTTCCATCCGCTAAGCGCCCTCGGGGCGTTTGTAATTCCCAACGCGTTTCGTGTACACCGGTACGTGGCACACATCGTCGGAAAACCAGATTCAGGAATCGGCGCTCGGGGTAAGGCCTCAATGCTGCCCCGGCTCCGCGTTCTGAGCTCCCCGCTCCGTCTCCTCTCTGGCGGCCCCCCGCTCCCGCCTCGCTCCATCAGCGGCGGCAGAGCAGCAGCAGCAGCGACGTCGGCGGCGTCATCAGCCACCATGGACCGCGTGCGCGTGAGACGCGTGCACGGCGAGGACACCATGACCGTCGCCTTTCCCTGGGGGGACGAGGGAGACAAAGGCGGCCGGCGCCAGCGCCAGTTGCAGCGGTCGCAAGCGGAGGCGCTGAGCCGGGTGCTGGCTCGGATAGCCGGCGGGGACAGGAAGGACAAGAAGGCGGCGCAGGCCTTGGCCAAGAAGCGGAAGGGCAAGAAGATCGATGAGACGACGGGAGAGGAGGGGCAGCAGGGGCAGCAGCAGCAGGGGCAGCTCGAGGCGAGGCTCCTCTACCAAGGCAACCCCGTGGACCCGGCCACCCCGAACGTGGTAGCGTGGAGAGACGGCGCCGTGCTGGAGATCGGCGGTCGCCGCTTCGCCGTGGACGTGAACGTGCCCGCCGTCACCTCGCTCTCGCTGCCCGCCGCCATCATGGCGGGCTTCCCCGTCTTCCCCAGGATCGAGGTGGAGTTCGGGAACGCCCGCGCCGCCGAGATGCGATGGTCGTTGGAGGACGCCGGCGAGGGGGAGAAGGATGGAGGCGAGGTGGCGGCGGAGGAGGAGGAGGGAGGGCTGGAGGTGGTGTGCCGGGACGCGGTGTTCACGCCTCACGCGGGGCACGTGGGCAAGAGACTGCGGCTGCGATGCGTCCCCAAGGATGGAGAGAGGTCAGGGGGTTCAGTGTTGGCGCGGGGGGGGGGGGGCTCGAGGTTCGCTTTAGAGCGGTGTGTTCTTCATTGCAAAGCCCGCGGGCCACTGGCGGCCCTTGGTGGCCTTAAGTGAGGCCCCCGGTGGCCTTAAGTGCGGCCCCCGGTGGCCTTCAGTGCGGCCCCTGGTGGCCTTAAGTGCGGCCCCTGGTGGCCTTAAGTGCGGCCCCCGGTGGCCTTCAGTGCGGCCCCTGGTGGCCATCAGTGCGGCCCCTGGTGGCCATCAGTGCGGCCCCCGGTGGCCTTCAGTGCGGCCCGTGGTAGACTTCAGTGCGGCCCCCGGTGGCCTTCAGTGCGGCCCCTGGTGGCCATCAGTGCGGCCCCTGGTGGCCTTAAGTGTGGCCCCCGGTGGCCTTCAGTGCGGCCCCTGGTGGCCTTCAGTGCGGCCCCTGACAATACACAAAAGTGAAAACACCCCCCATCATCATCATTGTGATGATGTCAAACCCCCAATGGTTTCAAATGGTGTGGCGGCCCTCACACTGATGATGTCTCATCGGCGAAATTTGGCCCCCCTCTGGAAATGAGGTTTCAGTGGGGGCTGATTTAGCGGTCAGGGTTGGGGTTATGGTTGGATGTTAAGAATTTACTTGGGGTGAGCGGTGTGGGTTGAGGATTAGGATGTGGGCTCGTGGTTAGAAATCGTCATGTAGATTAGGGGTCAAGGGTTACGGTATGGGATAGGGTCGGAGTTGGTGCGCACTGCTCTCCCATCATTCACTGCCTCCCTCCCACCCTCTCAATGACTGCCGTGACAAACAAGTATTGGGGAGGCCTTGCAGTGGATCGATCGTGGCCGACGTTTGGCCATTTCTGATGACGATAGCTGACCAGCCGCGGCTCTTCACAAGATCCCAATCGATGCCCCCTCCCCCCTCCTGGTCATCTGCTCAGGTGCGGGGACCCCGTGGAGGCGACCTCGCCGAACCTCGTCGAGGCTGGGCCGGGCCCGTGCCTCTGCGACCCGCGTCATGCCTACACGAGGCTCCGCGCGGGCCGCGGCCGCCTGCGCGCCGTCTCCTACAACGTGCTCGCCGACGTGTACGCGCAGACGGAGGTGGCGCGCACGGCGCTCTTCCCCTACTGCCCCACGTACGCGCTCGGCCTCGACTACCGCCAGAACCTCCTGCGCAAGGAGCTGGCCGCCTACAACGCCGACGTCGTCTGCCTCCAGGAGGTGGACAAGAACGTGTTCGCGGAAGGGCTTAGGCCCGTCATGGAGGAGCTCGGCATGGAGGGTGGGTTGGCCGCGTGGATGTCGCAGTGGCGCTGCGGATGGCCCCCGACACCGGGACGTGGGGGGGTGGGGGGGTGGTGACGCGTTCGCCGGTTGTCGCTGAGGTTCGCGGTTCGAATCTGGCGTGCCACCCCCCCGGGTTAATGCCGCGGTACGGTGGTGGTGGCCGTAACTTCCCACGCGCCGCCCGCTTCGCCGTGGACGTTAAAAGATCCCGTTGGCCTCATCCATCAGAATTGTAGAAAAATACCCACGATTTCCCGGACTCCCGTCGGTATCGCGCACGCAGGAGCCGTCATCGCTCACAGGCCTCAGTGCCGAAATCATGTTGTGCCGTACGGGGATAGCTGCCACTGAGGGGTGCGTGCCCTTCACATGTTTGACATGAGATGTGTGAGGCGCTTTGTGTTGCTTGGGGGGTGGGGGTAGCTGGAGATGTCAGGTAATGCGGTTGGTGTGGTTACCTGATTATAATTCTGTGACCCCTGACACTTGACTCATCTGCACCTCCGATTAACGCGGCTGTTTCGTGCGGCGCGGAAGAAGTTCAACATACACACGTACATCTTAATCTATTATGATCCTGACTCTGACGTCCACCCTAATCCTAGTCCCTAACCCCTGACGTCCGGCCGGTTGGCTCAGCCGTCGAGTGAAGGGCTCGCAGTTGGACGGTCACGAGTTCAAATCCTGGTTGCGGAGTTGACTCGTCCCATCATGCCTCCGGGGTGAATAAAATAAGAATCACTTTGTGGGAGAGTCAACGGTGGTTGTCCTATGAAGAGACTCACCCTCCCGTCATAAAAATGTGGAATTTCCACCACTGACCCGGGGCTGTAAACAGGAGATAAGCCACCACCTCAATGCTCATTTGAGAAAAAAATCACTTTGTTTTTTATCCTAAATAAGAAAAGTATTCTATAGCCTTTTGTCAATGCACTGCTGGATGAATGTCTCATCAAGTCAATAGCTGCTGCACTTAATACAAATCTACATGACTCCTACCATCACTACTAATACTACTACACAGCCATAGCTTTATCTACTATTGGATGAGGGCCTCCGTACACTTCTGAAAAATAAGTGAATACCTCAGCGGGCTTTGCCTGGTAGGATGGGGATGGTTTGTTTACCTTTCTTGTACTGTGGACGACTGTCATATTTTTTTTTATTGTTTGTTGTTGTAACATTCTTACCCGCCCCTCCTGGAAATCTGTGAAAAAGCGCTTTATAGCTCATCGAATTCCCCCAGTGTCAATAAATATTCTGTTTCTGATACTGGACCACACTGGTCAGTGCAGGTTGGTGAAGGGAGAGGCACCCTCACCTGGTTAAAGAAAATACTCATCAAACTGGAAGTCAGACGATGACGGGTGCTACTACTTTGACTGACCGCTAGGAATGTACCGCATGAAGGAGCGTCAGAAGGAGGGGCTTGCCACGTTCTTCCGAAGCGACCGCTTCCGCCTTGTGTCGCGGCACGACGTGACACTGGCCGTCGCGCTGCAGGGCGACCCTGCGCACGAGGAGCTGCGTCAAGCCCTCCAGAAGAACCCGCGGCTCTTCCGCGTGCTCACGCGACTCGCCACCGAGCTACAGGTACCAGCACCACGGGCCTGTGGGGTGGCGGGGGGTGATATGGGTTAGGGAGAGCATGTGGTTATGTGGGGGTTGGTTGAGGGTCTGGTCACGTGATTTTTGTGTGAGTGTTGAATATGTTGTGTTGTTGTGGTGGTGTGGAGACACCGGGGTGTGATGATACCACGGTGTGGAGGCACAAGTGAGTGCGCCTGTGCTGATCTGTGGACGTCCCCCGCAGGTGTCTGTTCTGCAGTCGCTGGAGGACGAGCGCAGGAGGTTGATAGTGGCCAACACTCACCTCTATTGGCACCCCAAAGGTGAGGCCCCTTACGCACACTGCACACGGCGTGCGTGGTGAAGCCTGGGGAGCTTTGGTGAATTGATTCGTCTGGTTATGAACGTTGTTATTGTTAATAACATTGTTATTGCTGACAACGTCCATCGCCCCCCTCCCTTCGTGTAAAATATAAACAATCTCCGCTGGAGGACATTTTTTTTTACAGCGAGAGGCAGCATCTGCAGTGGCTGCAGGGGGTCAGGTGATCCTCGTACGTACCACATGTGCCATCGAAACACCCCAAAGGCGAGGCCCCTTACACTGCGTGTGCGCGCGTGCGTTGCAGGCTCCCACGTGCGTCTCATCCAGGGCGCCGTTGCCCTGCGCCACCTGGAGCTGCTGGTGTCCTCGCTGGCACCGCCCGCCCCCGCCGCACCGCCGCCGCTCCTCTTCTGCGGAGACTTCAACAGCTTCCCATCGTCGGGCCTTGTCCAGCTGCTGACCACCGGCCACGTCGGCGCCAGCCACCCGGACTGGAGCGCCAGCACGGTGCCGGCCGAAGACGACGATGTTGACGGGGCGGAGGAGACGGAAGCCGGTGCTGCTTCCTCAAACGAGAGCGACGGCGGCGACGACGGCGGGATTTGCGGACGGGCGCCGGTCGCCCTGGATCTCCGGCACGAGCTGGCGCTGTACAGCGCGTCCGGCGAGCCGGAGTTCACCAACTTCGTGGCCGGGTTCCGCGGCTGCATCGACTACGTACTGGCATCGCGCGCGGCACTCGCGACGGAGGCGGTGGTGCCGCTGCCAGGCCTGGACGAGGTGCAGACGCACACGGCGCTGCCCAGCGTGGCGCACCCGTCCGACCACCTCGCGCTCGTATGCGACCTGCGCTTCTGCGATTGAGGCTTTGGTGATGCTGGCTCCGATTGATAGCGCTTTTGTGACTGTTAGTGATGTCTCCAGCCATGGCACTGGTGTTGGCTGCGGTGGTTTCGGCGACGGAAGTGGAGCCGCCGATGGAGCCGGCGGTGGTGAAGCCAGCGGTGGCAGCAGTTGAAGCCAGCGGTGGCAGCAGTTGCGGTGGCATGGGTGGTGGTGAAGCCGGCAGTCGCAGCGGCGGTGGTGAAGCCGGCGGTGGCAGCGGCAGTGGCGGTGGTGAAGCTGGCTGTGGCAGCGGCGGTGAGGCTGGCGGTGGTGGTGAAGCTGGTGGTGGTGGAGCCGGTGGTGGCGACGAAGGAGCTGGTGGTGGAACTTGTGGTGGCGACGATGGAGGCAGGGAATGGAGCTGGTGGTAGTGGTGGTGGAGCCGGTGATGGAACTGGTGGAGCTGGTGTTGAACCTGGTGACAGCGACCATGAAGAGCCGGGGATGGAGCTGGTGGTGGAACTGGTGGCGGTGACAATGGAGCAGACGGCGGCGCTATCATTGGTATCACTGCTGCCATCACTCGCGTCAATGGTGCTCACAATCGCACAGCCGGTGCTATCTCTCCCGCGACTCGTCCTATGACTCGAGATGCTGGCACACTCGCAGTGGCATTCCCACTCGCACTGTGAGTGACCTTCCTGCCATCGTCATCTCCACCACCGGCGTTATTGGTCCCCTTGTTGTCAATAGCACCCGAGTCATTAACACTATCGGTGACTTTGGTCACGCGATTGCTCACACCAGGTACCCTTTCAGTAACCTTCCTGCCATCATCACTCGCACCGGTGGCACTGTCACTGACCTCCATAACGCTATTGCTCGTACTACTGTTGATATTAATGACCTTTTTGCTAGCATCACTCCCATTACTCGCGCTTTCGGTAACCTTGGTGCCACTATCAATGACATTATCCCAATCGGAGTCTTCATCGGTGACGCCATCGTTGGTGCCTTCACTTGGGCCATCGCTGGCGCTCTTGTTGGCGCCGTCGCTGGTGCCAGGAATGGTGGCGCCAGACAACACTGTCGTGTTTGCACGTCTCTACCAGCTAACCTAGCGGACCGTGCAAAACGCATTGTTGTTCAGAATGGTGTTGAGCCACCTCGCCAGATCATGGAGGGCGGCATGTGCAGGACTAATAAATCCCGTCACGTGGCCTGGAGACGCGGTGTCTGTGCGTGTGTGTGTGCACGTGTGTACGTGTGTGTGTTTGCGTGGAGCGGTAGTGCGGCGGTTGCCCGCAGCGCTACTTACCCAGCGACCCGAGTTCGATTCCCGCTCAAGACCAACACCAGTGACGATGATCTGGACCTCCCCTGGGCCTTAAATGAGTGCCTGGTGCGGTGTGTAAACATCGACACTGATGAGGCAAAGGTGGCCCGGGCATGGTGCTGCCCACCCACCCCCTCGGGTGCTGTGCCGGCCTTCATAGGTGTTCGCTAACAGCGCTTGCCCCAACAGTCTGGTTCAGGCTATGTGGGTGATCTTGGGCTTTGTTGTGTGCGTGTCCGTCTCTTCATTCGGAGTTTCACTCGCTTAGTTTTCATCCACGCGGAGCGGCGGTGCAGTGGTTAGAGCACTGTTCTGAACCCCCGGCGACCTGCGATTTGATTTCTGGCTACGATTGACATCAGTGGCGAGTGATATCTCAACCGATGCGAGGGGCTTTCTCCTTATACCGACGGCACTGGCCAGCGTGGTGAAGTATGGTCACACAACCGCTGTACTACTGCGGTAGACTTTTCACGGCTTGTGCTGTACAGCACTCTTCAAGAACTGCAAGAAACTCCCCGGAACTTCGGAGCGGAACGTCTGGCACCGCGCCGAACGACGTTACCGTCCAACACGAGAACTCGTCCGGAGGTGCAGCACAGCCCCTGCGACCAAACCGCACGGAGAGGCTCTCATCCAGCAGTGGATCGACAAGAGGGGGGCCAACGCGCTTGACGGCGCGGGCCCACGGCCTGTGCAGGGAGGGCTAGGCGAGGGGCGCAGGATCGTTTGAAGTAGTAGCCCCATCGATGGCTTGTTGACCAAGACTGCTCTATTATTATTATTACGACTCCCGGAACAAGGGAGTTGCCTACTCGGGAGTGTACGGCAGCACGTTGTGCGAGTTTTTATTTTAGAAAAATGACAACCGAACAAATCGACGGCAGGGGGAGGCCACGGGGATATGAAGACGACTGCTTCGGTGGAAATGAAATCACAATTCTGCAGATTAAGTGGGGGGGGGGGGGGGGGGGGGGAGAAATCAGGAAACTGAGAGCGGAGCTGTAGGTCAGAATGGTTGCCAAACCGGCGAAGGTTTCCGGGTCTAATTCGGTTGATTTCCTGGAGCCGACGCTCTGGTGGTTGCACTTGGTGGGGCAGGGGGAGATCTTGTTGGACTCAACGACCACGTGGTGATTTCCGTAAAATGAAATGTTAATTTGGTTCCCCTCCCCCCCCCCCCCCGGGGCTTATTTTCAGCCCCGTAAGTTTTTCTGGGCCCGGCACGCCACATCCAGTATAGCTCTTGCAAAGGCAGCAACCACAATTCGTCACGCGCCACCGACTCCCAGTCAAGCCTTATAACGATTCCTCCCGATATTGAGACGAACCCAAAAGAGATATCGGGTGGCGACAACCCTTTGTTTACTTGGTTCTCCCAGCAAACCAAAACAAATGTTTGTGTTCTTCCTGGTAAAATTACACCGCCCCCCTGTCCTTCCGCCGCTGACTGGGTTAGGGGGGGCCTGGAGTTGCCAAACCGAGGTTCGTCAGTCAGGTCCAAGATTAGGATACCAGGCGGACAAGTGCCAGCCTCAGCCGGCAAGCAAGGAGAGCCCGCCGTTTCACGAGTCGTCGTGGAAAGTCGTCTTGAAATTAATGTTTTATTTGAAACTGCATGGAGGTTAAACTTACATGCAAAGAGAGATTACTTCATCACAAAGAACCGAAAAGGACGTTGAGAAGGGGGGGGGGGCGGGGAGGAAGAATACAAATGCTTGTAAAGGGGGGGGGGGGGGTAACCAATATCGGTGCCTCGACACCAACTCACACCGACCAGCGCGGTGAAGATTGGTCAAACGACCCCCGTGGAAGAGGCCCTCGTCACCCAGCAGCGGGGGTGGGGGGGGGGGGAGGTCGGCGGTCCGTGTGGGTACGTCGCTTCCTCCAGGGCAACGAGCTATCTATTCTGCATGTGGGAAGCGGGGGTGGGGGGTGGTGGCAACGCTACCGTATTCTCTGTATTACAAGACGCTCTGGGAAGTAACACACAGACCCGGCAACACTCGCGCTGCCACCAGATAATACAACGCAGCACCACCACCCCAGCTCTTGCCTTAAAACAGCGAAAACGAGCGTGCCCTCATAATCCAGAGAATGCCGTAATTCACAGACAATGGAACGAGCAGACCCCACCACGTTCACCTCCGGCTGCGATATGCCACCCACGGCGGGCACAGCGACGGCGCCAAACATTGGTCGCTACCGATCTGAAGGCAGCGGTTTATAGACCACAAATTCGGCATCGCCTTCCCCCCGACGATGTTTAGAACTTGCCGCAAAGGGCGGGCTGGTGGACTGGTGGGCGGGACACATTGTATAAATACGGTAACGGTCCTCTCCGGGCGAAAGGCAAGGTTTTCGTAGTTTTCCTGTCTTTTCTGAGAATGGCGAAGTGGCACCTCCGAGGATCGTGCGACGGTTCGTCGTCCGCCCCGCCAAGTCGGGGCTCGAGAAACTTCCGAGGGAGCAGCGCTCGAGGAGTGGCGTCACACGTTCCCCCCCCCCGCCCCCCTTCGAGCCGCGACCGGGAGTTTTCCATCGCAGTCCGTTCATTTGGCAGAGCCTCGAATGCGCCCACCCTGTGCGTAGATTCCGTCGTGAACGTTGGATGACTGCACGTGTTGGTTATAGCGCACGCGCAGCGCACGTGCTCACGTTGCTGCCCTCTACAGTGGACCAGAGGTCGGACCTGAAGACATCTCTCCTGCTGGAGCTCGAGGGTATCCGCTTCGTTCTCTTAACACGGGGGGGGGGGGGGGGTTGCGCTGCTCTTAGATTCTGTGAGCACGTTACACCCACCGATAGCACAATAGGGGAAGTAAAGAACGATATATATAGTTAGTTACGAAAGGAAAATGTCCATCGCCGCCTGTACTTACGTCCAGTGCAATAGCGCAGAGAGCACACGCCCTGCGCTCGCACTCGACGCCAACGCAAGCGCCACCCATCGCTCACCGGGCCGCCCCCCCACCCCTGCTCCCACCAACACGCCTGCCCGCCCAACGACCACGACAGGAAAAATCTCGCGCAACTAAATCCGACGGTGACCGCGTCCCGATTGCGGGGCGGTCTCGGGGGGGGGGGGGGGTACGTACATTTATTTGCCTCTTAAATTAAGATGAGAGAAAGAGAGAGAGAGAGCAAGCAAGTCGAGGGGATGCGCCGTGAGACGTGCTGGCTTGTGGTGCTGTGTGGCGGTGCTAATGCTTGGAGAGCTCGTTGGAGAGCCAGTCGAGTCCTTCGTAGAGGCCGCTGCCCTGCGTGGCGCACGTCGCCTGCACGTACCACTGGTAGGAACAAGGTGGGGAGTTGGGGGGGAGGGGGAGTGGCGCTCGTGAACAGAGCCACATGACGGCGATAACAAGAACGATGGCACTTGGTGATGAGCGATGGTGACGACGGCGACGATGAAGGTGGTGATGACGGTGATGGTGGTGATGACGGTGATGGCGGCGGCAACGATGGTGGCGATGACGGTGATGACGGCGATGACGGCGATGGTGGTGACAAAGACGGTGGCGATGGCGGTAATGATGATGGGGTAATGACGGTGATGTTGGTGGTGACAAAGGCGGTGATGGTGGCGGTGATGGTGGCGACGATGAAGGTGGTGATGACGGTGATGGTGGCGACGATGGTTCCTCACAGTGCGGTTGCGCAGTCCCTGCAGGCCCAGCTTCTCGGTGAGGTCGCTGATGGTCATGGCATTGGGGAGATCCTGCTTGTTCGCAAACACCAGCAGCACCGCGCTCCTCAGCTCATCCTCTTGCAGCTGTGGGTGCGTGGAGGAGAGTGGAGACACGGGGGAAGAGAAAGGAGATGGGGAGAGAAGGGGAGACACGAGAGGGGTTCAAGTGACTTCTGCGGCCAATGCAAGCGCTACCATTCACCACTGTGTTAAAATAACAGAGAATCTCATTCTGCCTAGAACATCAGGCACATTGACCAGCATTGACTTAAGCAAGCCGGACTCTGCGTCAAAGGCATACCCCACACACCACACCGTATACCGCACACCACACCGTATCCCGCACACCACACCGTATACCGCACACCACACCATATACCGCAAACCACACCGTATACCGCACACCACACCGTATACCGCACCCCGCAACTCTACGCACATCGTGCACCGCACACTCGTCGTTATTTAGATTTGCTGGGGTTTTCTCAACGTTGCATCGTCACCCGGACGTCAGTCTGCGTGTGAATGTCTCGACTTGGCGGGGGTGGGGAGGGGGGAATTTTTCCCCCATGGGACTCCATTAGTCTAACCGAGTTTGCGTTGATGCTGTCGAAACACCAGTTCAGCACGGATGTGCGCATCCGCTCTCCCGAGTCAAACACGACATCTCGTCTCTCTTACATTCAACTAACGATCCCTCATCCTTCATCGCTCTGCTCCCGTCAACCGGACTCGATCCACTGTCAAGACCAATCCACTGCTGGATGAAGGCCAGTCCCCAAGCCGCCACCGCCTCTCACGACCCCGTGATGTTATCATCCATCCAAAGCACCTGCTCGCCATGCGAGCAGCCGATCTCCTACTTCATAACAATGACATTTATTATTATTCCGGAAGACATGGTGATGGGCTTGAGGTAGAAGCCTTCATCCAGCTGATGATTATGATGAAGATGAGTCAATTCACAAAACGGTGCTCGTGCTAAACGCAGGACAGACTCGGCGCGTTGCGTTGTCACTCTTGTTTTGTGTGACAAGGACAAGGGCGCTAGGGTCACTCGTAAGCCAGGAAGACTTCTCGCTCAAATGAGCATCGGGGTATTGGTGCCCATCCACCCGTTTACTGGCCCTGCAGAGCCAGTGATGCAAATTCAACATTACAATCGCGCGATTCTCTCACTATTCAACTCCCAATAATCTACTCCTGGCAGCTGTGCGGCAACAGCAGCAGCGATTGCTTTATCCTTCCTCTCCCTGACTTGAGGCACCGTGTGAACACAAATCCCGGCTTCTAAGTCAAATAAATAGCGCCACCGGGTGCCAGAGTTGACAGTGAAGAGCGCAGAGCCTCCCATTGTGGGAGCACAAAGCGGATGGCAGCCGATGCGCGGGCGGCGAGTCTGGAAATACGGCTGTCAGCTTCTATGCACGCGGGCGACCCCCGCCTATCGTTAACATCTCGCCGCGGTAGTGAGATGTTAACTACCTCTCCTGGTATGCAGGAGGTCGTAGTAGAATCGCCTGTATATTTGGAGTTTGCATGTCGCGGTAGTGAGATGTTAACTACCTCTCCTGGTATGCAGGAGGTCGTAGATTCGCCTGTATATTTGGAGTTTGCATGTCGCGGTAGTGAGATGTTAACTACCTCTCCTGGTATGCAGGAGGTCGTAGATTCACCTGTATATTTGTAGTTTGTATGTCGCGGTAGTGAGATGTTAACTACCTCTCCTGGTATGCAGGAGGTCGTGGATACGCCTGTACATTTGGAGCTTGCATGTTCTCCCCGTGGTGGCATGGATTTTTCCTTCGGAGTATATGGCTGCTAGAAATGTCCACATGATAAGCCACTTAGAGTTATCTTATGTGGCCAGGTCACTTCTGAAAAAGAGCTATATGGCTCGAATAGAAAGTTGAGTTTAGTATTGACCAGCCTGCGCCCACCTACAAACGGCCCACTCAAGCCTCGGAGGCTGACCAGGATTCAGCCTGCGTGGTCCTTGGGATGGGAGACTGTTCGAGAAGCCACTCCCCCGCCTCTGGCTGCCTCTCAACATCGATCCGTTGCCGGCCCCAGTGCCAACCAGCGCCAACGGCAACTGCGGTCACAACGTCGGGCTAGCCGTGGCGGCGGTGACGGTAGCAGAGACAGGCACAACAATGGCAGTAAATCAACAGTCGCGTCACCGCGGCCGCCGCCACCACCGCCAGTCGACCGTGCGATTGGATTCGGTTTAGCCTGGGCAGCTTAGAACGCAACGCAAACAAAGTCCCCCGTGCTCAATTGCGCCCACGCTTCAATGATAAGCCTCGTCGGCCAAGGCCGTGACGTAACCACGAGATGACGTCATCGGACGCGACGTCACCTGGGGAAGAAAAGCCACCACGCGTCACGCACAGATTCCACAACGAATTCTGACGTGCGCTTGTTTGATGGGTGACGTTAACAGTGTGGCGTTCCAATCAGTTCGACGACACGATGTCATCACGCGTGACAATGGAAGGCGTGCGTGCGGCCGTTCTTCCCTGCTGGGTTCCAGGTTTTGTCAGTGGAAGGGAATAACGGGGGCACTCACCATTTTCTGCAGCTCCTCGGCGGCCTCCTGCGTCCTCTCGCGATCATTGCTGTCAACAACGAATATCAGGCCCTGTGCAGGCGCGCACACACGACACGCAGCAGAGGTTAGCAGTGCCATGTTCGATTCCCGGCAAACGAGCCACACCGCCGGGAAGGCGGCGATATCCGAGCGCAAACCCCCAAATAACTCGGCACTGAGATGAACCGCAGTCGGTCTCTGCCTCCACCGCTGCTCCCGATTTACGGATTAACCCGAGTACAGCGAATGGATTTTATCTCCATCTGTACTTCATCCATACAGGGATGGAGCATTTCCCCTTTTGGCATGCGTGGATTTTCTCCGGGGTACTACCGCGCGTATAGACCACTCGTTACCGAAGGCAAACAACCCAATGTAGGCCCACAGAGTTTGAGTAAATTCTGGCAGCCGGCGCCGACATTTGCGCTGGTCGGTGATTTCCCGCCACCTCTGAATCACCCCTCTCGCTCTCTCTTAACAGTGAACGCAAACTTGCGCGTGATACAACCGCCAAATTATTGATTACATTATTATAACACCACACTGTGGTGATAATTGAAGTCAGCCAACTGAGGAATGGATTTTTTTTTTGCAGCATTTGAATGCGGTTTGGCTAATATCGGTTACATTGTGCGATGCTTGAGCTGTGCGAGGAATCTGGAGAATCTGGACGAAACCCATGCAGAACAGGGAGAGAACATACAAACTCCACTCTCTCACTGCAGAAGAGACGGAGAACATACAAACTCCACTCACTCACACACTCACACTGCAGAACAGGGGGGAGAGCATACTACCTTCACACACATTTACAAAGATAAAGATCCCCCTTATAGCCTTAACATACTTTTTGGGGCAACTGCTCTTAGCGAGCACCTATGAAGGCGAGCACGACACTAGAGGCGGTGGGTGGCCAGCACCACGCCTGGCCAGCCTTTGTCTTTCCAGTGACTATATTCACACACTGCACCAGGTACTTATTTGAAGCTGAGTCGACCCAGAGGAGGCCCAGGACCGGTTCAGATATTCATCACTGGTGTTGGGCATGAGCAGGAATCGGACTCGGGTCGCCGTGCCTGCTGACCTGCGTGTTCTGGAAGTAGTGCCTCCACAGGGGCCGGATCTTGTCCTGCCCTCCGACGTCCCACACAGTGAAGCAGATGTTCTTGTACTCCACCGTCTCCACGTTGAAGCCTGCGCCGCCGGGGGACACGGCGTTCGCGTGGTGAGGGCAGGAGGGCAGGGGACCGACTCGGATGATTTTACAGGCGGCGGCAGCGTCTGCTTATAATGATATCTTTTTTTGTTTTTCTTTTAACCAGGTAAGGCGCACTGAGTTATAAACTCTTTTTCAGAAGCGACCTGGCCACAAATGATAGCTCACCGAAGTGGTTTATCACGTGGAAATGTAGTAGCAGCCAAATACGCTAAAACGCACGTCGATTCTAAATGTGGTGGGAAAAACCGGAGGACCCGGAGAAAAATCCACACGACCGCGGGGGGAGAGAACACGCAAACGCCAAATATACAGGCGTCTGGTTCGAGATCGAACCCACGACCTGTATACCAGGCGAGGTAGTAAACATCTCACCACTCTACCTGGTACGGAGGTTACATTTATCTTGCCACCTGTACTGAACGCGCCGCAACCAGCCTGCCAGACGGCTGCTCAGCCGTAGAGCGAGCGGATCGCAGCGACCAGATCTTAACAATAATTTACGAATTACGTTTGTAAATTGCCTCATTTCATCCGTAGATCCCAATGTGCCCACCGTGTATGGAAAGCAGGAAATTAACAGAACATGCAAGTTAAACGGTCAGAACTGGGGGGGTGTGTTAAGGCCAGTTTAAAGAAGTGAGCTTTCAAGACGGACTGAAATAGTTCTAACGACTCTGATTTTCTTGTTACCAAGAGCTGGCAGTTCAAATCCTGGTTGGCTCAGCCCATCCCATCATCCCTCCCTCCGGGGTCGATCAATTGAGTAGCCACTTTGCGGGGGGAAGTCAACAGCAGTTTTTCAATGGATAGACCTGGCCCCGCCATAGGAATGGGGAATTTCCACCACTGGCTCTGCAGGGCTGTACAACACAGGAGATGAGCACCGATGCCTTGGTGCTCGTTGGAACAGGAAGTCGTTTTGACTTGTTGATGAGAGAGACCCTCACCGCAGCTCACGCAGATGCCCCAAGAGTAGTGCGCGGAGGTAAAAGGTCGACATAAGAAATGCTCCTCGTACCTAATAGTCCACGGGCCAGGGCAGAAATCGGTCCCAACTAATGTAGCAAATCTCTAGCCCACTGGTTCTTAACCTTGACTGCAGCCTACACCTCATTTGGTTCTGAGAAAGTGCATCTCGCAGCCCCGGGAGGTGCGTGCACCCCAGGTTAAGAACCACTGCTCTAGCCTGTCCCGATTTAGTTACACCGCCAGTTCAGCGTGAATTATTTCATAACCCCACTCATTCAAGTGGGTTAGCGCATCGGAACCGCAAAGGTGAAATTGCCACCTCAGGTGGTACCGACGAGTGTGAGATCGGGGCTCTGGTTACGCATGAAACTCTAGGAATCCTGTGCACGACTCGCCTGCTCGAACACTTTCATCGCCTCAACCGCTCTTCGCAGCTGAGCGTGGTGGAGCAGTTCTTTATTATAATTTTATTCTTTTTGTAAAAAAAATTTGCAGGAGAGTCCTGCAAAATTTTCACAGTCATTGGGGGAGCGATGTTCCTGCTGCTGCATGTGATCCCAAATGAGTAATTGACACGTGACTTTTCAGCATTGGGATGTTCAGCCAATACCAGCTATGGGAAGAGACCAGATAACCTGGATGAAACCTCTGTAGTACAGGGGGTAGAACACACAAACGCCTTGTGTAGGAAATCGAAGCCCAGGCCCCTCTTGCTGTGAGACGCGAGTGTCACCACTGCATCGCCACCGCCGTGCCGCCCTACGCGTCAAGATGCAAGAAACTCGACCGTTCAGGAAGTACCGCCGCCTCCTGGCTCTCAGTTAAGAATCTTCACGGTGCAGCCGATACGCGGTGGCGGTGACGTGCGTTCACGCGCCGGGTGAGGAATTGTTTTTTTTACGTGCTTGACTAAACGTCGATCACGCGGCGGGCGGGGACGCCTACGCGGATATCTCCCCACTACGAGGTGGCCAGCACCAGGCAGCACAGCAAGCAGGAAACCGACTCACAACCTGTTCCACCCTGTTCTCGCACTCACACGGATGTACATTCTTCCCAGCAGTGCTCCAGTTGCCATTAAGGAATTTGCCAAAACATCCCAATGTACCGGGGACCCTCCTAAATGAGAATTAAGATTCAGTGAGGTTATTTATTTTAATTCTGTAAAAATATATATATCATTGTCGTGTGTGAGCTGCTACGAGGTCTACAGCTGATCACGTGACCCTGAACCTCTTTGCGGTTTGGAGGCAGGTTGCCGGCGGGCCAAGTAAACCGCAACATGTGGGCCGCACATGGGAGCCTTCGCTCGTCGCTATTCCAAGTCGAACGGTTCCCAGGCGCCACACGCGGCAAGAAGGACCACGTAGATGGGAGGTTCTCACGGCTCTGCTGCACCGTCGCCGCATGGGAGTCGCCTCTCGCTCTCGCAGAGAGAGGGCGAATCGAGAGGCGTGAGGAGGAACCGCAGACCAGTGGGAGACGCCGATGCCACGCGGTGAGCCGGCGCCGACAATTGACCAAGTTCTGCGGTCCTCTATATATTAAGGTGTTATCGGCCGATTCATGAGCGTACACATGTGAGAGGAAAACCTGAGCACCCCGAGAAAGCCCACGTGTATGAGCGAGGGGGAAACACTCTATCCCATACACACAACACGATGCTCACGAGGAAGGCAGCACCACAACATCTGTGCGATCCACCAACCCTTGCCGCCTCCACAGTGCTGGATTACAGGCCACATGCGTAGCCACCACCGCCGGGCTGGGAGCCTAATTCAGTTCCGGATAAAATCAGCACCATGCAGCTGTAAATGCAGTGAGGTGGCACCTCCCAGGTTTGAGCACTGGCAATGAGTGTCTCTGAGATGAAGTGGCTGATGGACAGGGTTTGTCACTGAGATGCATCGCTGGGAATCTGGGTTTGATTGCCAAACCTCCGATTACGGAAGTAATCGGCACCTGGATTCCGGTGCTGAAGCTCCCAGCACTTGGGAGCGAAACGTCGGACGTCGTGCCTCACGACACACGCTCCAACCCGACATCACGCCGGAGCGTGCTGCGCTGACAGGAACTGGACAAACATCTCAACGCAGGACCCTCCTGTAACAATAGTCTTGAGGACTCGGTAGGGCTTTGTTTTTCGTGGGGCTACCTTGTCAACAAAGGGCGGTGCTGCAAAAATCCCGCGTCTATGCTCCCTGCCTTCACAAAGCCATCCTGCCCAACGCGGTGAAGTATGGTACAAATACCCTCCTCCCCATTATGAAAAAAACTGTAAACAAAACCCTTGGAAAAGCAGAGCGGTGGCCGTACTTCTATGCCACTGGCATGTCCACACTCTCTGCCTGCCGTCACCAAGCCGCACTGGCTTGCCAGCGTGGTGAAGTATGGTCAAACCTAGGAGAAGCGAAGAGGCTGCGGAGTGGGGGGTGGGGGAGCGGGGTGTTGCGTGCGTACCGATGGTGGGGATGGTGGTCACGATCTCTCCCAGCTTCAGCTTGTACAGGATCGTCGTCTTTCCGGCAGCGTCAAGGCCAACTGTGAGAAACGACACACGGGACTACGCACGGACTCCACAACGGCCCTCCCAACGTGCCGACGCACAACGCGATGATGACGTATGGATGCACGGGAAGGGGGAGACGAGGTCACGAGCGAGATGATGTCGTGGGACGATGTCACGCATAACACCCCTTTCAGACCGGTCCTTTTCGCGTGAGTTCAATCGCAAAGTTTTGGGCAACCCTCTGATCAGTTTGGCCGTTTTCCTATTGACCCAAGTACAAAAAAATAGCAACGCATCTTTTATACTAAAATGTAGTTTATATTGGATCATATTTATGAGAATGTTTGCACTCTCGCCTGATTTGGCTGCAGCGCAGAGTTTACTGTCTGTCTGTCTGTAACTCATTAACTCTGTGAACCTTCTTTGGATCCGCACAAAGCATGGCAGATGCGGCACCTAATGTGCAAGTGGAGAATAAAAGACTCTCTCCTCTGGTGGACGACCGTGGCTACAATCACCAAACCGGGGACTGGACAGGTTCGTACCGCTCCCCAATGTAAATATAAAGGCCGTAGGTGTATCAGCAATTCAGAACCAGAAGTTTATTTTCCGAGGAAAGCCCGCTGAGCTAAGAAGCTCTTTTTCAAGGGCAACTCGGCCGGCAAGACAACATCAAAGTACTCCACAATTTATTCACGAATCTCAGACAAAAGTAACCGAATGGCGATATCACTTCCAACTGAATCTCGAACAGTTGCTTCTTTATTTGGCAGTACGGAAGAGGGTAATAGTTGTAAAAGCGTTCAAAACAGTGGCAGCAAAGCCACACCGCCGTCTGAACAACAACCACGGCCGCAGTGGCAGCGGCGGTGGTGGCTGTAAAGATCCCCGGGGCGATCTCGCATCACACAACAACCGTCACCCGCGCGCCCGTCACCCGCGCATCCTCCGTGGAATTGAGTAAACCTTTTATCTTCATGTTTTTTATATTTTATTATAAACACCACCACGGCTGCACCGGTGCCTCGCGCCAGTGACGTGTCTCGTGGTGGCCCGTTGGTTTAGCCACGCCGGTCGGCAATTCCCTGCGTATCACCGGGACGACCTTTACAGGTTGGGGACGCCGGTGTCAAATCGCCACTCGCCGCTGCCATCGCCGCGTTTGAACAATAGCACCGCAGCCAAATCGGTGGTAGCCCTGACGATTATCCCCAACCTTAACCCTGTCTGTAGCCTTTGCTGCCAGGGTATGTCGTGCCCATGAACTACAAGTGGCGAAAAGGATTTATGTTCATTTAGTTGTGAACTGCTGTAGCATCTCCAATCATCACCACAATGCTTCAATCCCTCCACTGGCTCACAATCCAGTATTGGATCAACTTCAAGATCACACACTCACCGCCTTCTAGATCCTCCATCGACTCGCCCCTGCCGAGCTCTCCTGTCTCACCTCACTCTACTCCCCTCCACACACACTCTCCTACCTTTCTCCTCTCATCTCACTCTAGTCTTCTCCACGCACTCTCCTACCTTTCTCCTCTCATCTCACTATACTCCTCTTCATGCACTCTGCTGATGGATAGCAAATACACAACTGGGTAAAGAGCTCAAGTGAGAACCTAATCAACAAAAGGGAACTGCACCTTCCTACTGGGGATCGCCTCCTGATTTTCAGATTCGTTAAAAAAAAAGTTTTGAAAATCTCATGCCGAGAAATTTTTTTTGGAGTATCTGCAGTTTTTTTTGGTTTCAGATTTATCTCCAAAACCGCGGAGCATACAACACTTCCACACGTTTAGTGCATAAATAAACTTATGTGAAAATCCAATAAGGTCCGACATTGTCCTTGAAAATCCAAAACTCATCCGATGCTTTCTACATAGTCAGAGAATCCTGCCAGAGAGCCCCAAGACGTTGCAACAACAACAAAAGTAAAAAAAAACCAAGATGTTGATTTAAATCGACTAATTGTTTCGCGCTTACGGAGGAGCCTGGTGGAACCGCGGGCGCCGCCGCGACCTCGTTAGAGCGATGCGCGCGGAGCAACGCGGAGGAGCCGGGCTCGGCCACGCAGAAGGAGAATCGCGTTTGACGGCGGCTTCATCCGTCACCTCGTGTCGCGCGTTCCCTGACATCGCTCGAGGGGCGGGCAATCGGACAAAGTTTGCGATATTGCCCTGTTCGCTGGCGAATCATCAGATGTGACATATTGGTCGGTAACTTGCCTCAGATTAGCGGCAGAGTTCACGCCCAATCGGGCAACGACCCTCAAGAGAGAATGAGGCGATTAAATACAGTATCGCAAATAACACCGGGGCCTACAACACTCCGGTCACATGCATAAACACTCATTCATCGGTTGATAACAACTTAATATATAAAGCACCGCAGAGCTTGGAGAGTGGGGAGATTGGCACCGGCTCACTGCCTGGCTGTTGCTGCCTTTCCGCTTGTTTAGCGGTTCCTCCTCGCACCTCTGAGTCATTCTCTCTCTGTGCGAGCGAGCTTGTACTGTGCAGCGCTCTGTTACATGTTGATAATATTATTATGTGACCCTGGGTAAGCCTCTGGCCCCACGTACCCAGTATAAGCCAGTTACCCTGTGTTACCTGGCTACCCTGCCAAGCCACGGCTAAACTGAGCTCTGGAGCAATGGACACTGTTTGAAATCTGCCAGCTGACGTTTTCCAATTGGGATGAATATCACGTGTTCACACTCGTTGCGTGTATTTGTGTGTACACGCATTTTGGGTTTAAAACAATCATCAGCCGCGGTCAATCCACTGCTCGGTGAAGACTTCCCCAATCCACCGCCATCTCCCATGATCCTGCGATGCCACAATCCACCTAGCACCCGTGTACAAATCGATTCAATCGGTCCATCTCCCCGGTGGACGTACTCTAATCAGCGTGTTTTTTGTTGTGAATAAATTGCCATTATACACACTTATCGGACCATGGTCTGACTCTTCAAAAGAAACACATTTTGAGTCCATGCCACGAGTAACCTACTCTGTGATATGAAATATTAAACCGCAGTGACAGTTGTGGTGCCCATGATGCCGAAGGCAGCTGTAATTGCGTCTGAACAAAGTGCAGTACTGTAAAGTAATTTGCTACGGTTATTGACATAACCCCGGGGAGACCCTGACAGGCAGAAGTGTGACAGATTCCACACCGCGACCCGAGCTCCAACCTCTAACCCCTGACAGGCTGTGATACACTTCTATGAGTCTATGGTAAGGTAATTAGTTTCCTGCAAGATGCCGAGAGGTTATGAAAGTCTGCTATACAAAGCTACAAGTGCTATGTAAGACGGTCTGTTATGAGGGGATGCTACGCTATGAGGTTGCTATATAATTCTAAGAGAGGTTATTAGTCTGCTGTGAGAAGCTATACGTCTAAGCAACGGTCTGCTGCAAGACTCCAACATGCTATGTGTAACACATTGAGTGATGCGAGATTGTATGTTTTGTGTGTTATGCGAGGCTATGAGTGTTGTGTAAGGTTACGAGGCTTCTATGGAATTATGTGAAACTCTGCTGCAAGTCTGTGAGTCTGCTCTGTGAGACTGTTAGTCTGTTATGAGAGTCTGCTATCTAAGCCCGTGCTTACATAGATAGCAGAGACTGAATTTCCTCTGAGCACGACGCATGGGTGTGAATGCTGGCCACTGCGAAGGAGAGAGGAGGAAGAGAGATGTTGCACAGAGCCGGAATGAGAATGTGGATGTGGTCCTTGGGGAAAAAAACAGGTGCAGAGAGAATTATAAACGAGAAGATTGGGTAAAATGATGAAGTTGGCAGCGATCGGACGACGAGATGAGAAGAGGTGTGAGCGAGGTGGCGGGGGGCACATCCTGATGAGGATGACAGGATTCTGAGGATGTGGGACGGAAAGTTCTGCAGACGGGACGTGCAGGGCAAGAGACCCAGGGATGAACCCAAGATGAGAAGGAGAGACAAGGCCAAGAAGGATATGGACGAGCATCTTCGTGGCGAGATGTTAACTACCTCGCCTGGTATACAGGAGGTCATGGGTTCGATCCGGACCCCGATGCCTGCTGCTGTATATTTGTAGTTTGCATATTCTCCCTGTGGTCGCGTGGCTTTTTATCCAGATCCTCCGGTTTTTCCCTCCACATTTAGAAACGTGCGTTTTAAAGTATTTAGCTGCTAGACATGTCCACATTTCCTTGAGCTATCATTTGTGGCCAGGTCGCTTCTGAAAAAGAGCTGTATAGCTCTGTGGGCCTTACCTGGTAAAATACAAAATAGTTTAGTTAAGGCAAGAGGACGCCGTCAACGGGGCAGTCGAAGAATTTACTCTAAGTAGAGTTTCACACTTCCTGTCGGCAGGGGGATAGTGTAGGAGGGGGGGGGGTTAAAAGACGGTGGTGGTGGAGGTCTCCACTCCCTGCATCGCGTGGGGGTCCAAGAGGGCACCGCACACACAGAGACGCGACCACACCCCTCGTGAGTGGCTCGGTAGTTGTCGACCCTGAACGGAAGGGCTTTCAGATACAACTGGGAAGGGTGCAAAGCCATTAACTACTGCTGCCCACTGCTGTGTTTTACTGCTGTCGACAACTGCCTCCTGCTGCCGCCTCCTGCTGCTGCCCTCCCGAGGTGGGACTGCCTGGTAATTTCACAACGTGGGTGGGATTTTCAGTGTGGGGTAAATAATAATATTTACTGTTGCGCAAGTTTATAAAAGGTTTCTAATCAACAAAATCATTTACGAACCCACCGCTGGATGAAGGCATTCCCCTCCCCACCACTGTAGGAGATTGGTGAGGCGGGGGGGGGGCGTTTAACCCGAATTAACCACCACGCTGGGGCAGTTGCAGGTTGAAGAGTGTGCGTAATTTTATTGGTGGGGAAATCTGCGCAGATGATTGATGACTACGTTTGCTATGTTTTTGTTGATTTTGGGTTTGTTTCTTTTTATTAAACCACGATTTCTGAGTACGGTCCGTACAGAGCCCCGAAAACGCCAAGCAGTCAGCAAAAACAGCAGCAATGAAAGTGTGATAGATAAGCGTTATATGCGTTTCTTAAATTGAGCATGGTTGTGTGAGAATGGGGAGAAAAGAGACGATTACAATGATGATGATGGGAGGAAAGAATTCCAGATCGGAGCCGTGCGATGGAAGAAGCAGAGCGAAGTGAGGTGACCTGCAGTGTGGTGAGTGGGTAGGTGATTGTGTGGTGAGTGGGTGGGTGATTGTGTCGGCAGGTGAGTGTTGTTGTGATTTGCAGTGTGGTGAGTGGGTGGGTGATTGTGTGGCTGAGTGAGTAGGTGAGTGAGGGGTGAGTGAGTGGTGAGTGGGTGGGTGAGTGAATGGTGAATGGGTGGGTGAGTGAATGGTGAGTGGGTGGGTGATTGTGTGGCTGAGTGAGTAGGTGAGTGAGTGTTGTTGTGAGTGGGTAAACACGGAAGATCAGGTCTTGTTAAATCGAGTGAATGTTTATACAGTCGATTGGACCAAACAAGAAGAATATCTTTAGTGTAACATTCTATCTCACCTATGCAAAGACAGGGGCACATTGATATGTGTTCATTACGAGTGTACTGTACAGTATTTTTGTTCTATTCTCCGAATAAACTCTGTTTAATCGAGTCACAATTGTTCACGAAGTCGACAGGATGATATAGAGATTTTACTAAAGACTTCTCAGCAGTATTGTTACAGTATCTCAACTACTAACAGGGCAGCAAGTAGGTGTGTTCGTTTTAATTATATATGTTGCTTAAGTAAACGTTGAGTTAAACAAATCTGTAATAAGCTAACGCACATCTGCAATTCAGATTATGTTTTAAATGCCAGGACTGTAGCTTCAAACGTCATTCCACTTGCTCGCCAGATGATAATTACAACATCCTGTTTTCGCATTGCGTACAATTGGTCCGAATGAGAGATCTCATTTACGTGTGGGAGTTGTAATTAAATATATCTGCTAATTGGAAACGCAAGTGGCCCACCAATCAAGCCAGGTCGGGTTCAATCGAGCCATTGATCACGAACTCTCCCTTTTCCCAACCACATGGTTGGGGAGCGGTGGTGTTGTGGTTAACGCCACGAACCTGGCGAACCGAGTTCGATTCCCGCTCACGACCAACGCCGGTGACGATTATTTGAACCGGACCTGGGCCTCCCCTAGGTCGACTCAGCCTGAAATGAGTACCTGGTGCGGTGTAAACACCGCCACTGGGGAGACAAAGACGGCCGGGCGTGGTGATGAGGTGCTTCCGTTCCGGCCTTAATAGGTGCTCGCTAACATCGCTTGCCCCTACAGTCTGTTAGGAATTCCCTTCCAACGCGATTAATCAATAGTTCATATGAAACATTTAATATGAAACATTCGTCGTGAATTGTAGCGGCCTCTAGCGGCTGCATACCAATTAAATACGACGCGCACAGATCGATACCAATAGATTGCTTTAGGAATAACGATGATGAAGACGCACGTGGTCGTTTACGTTCGATATCGATTAGGGCGGGGACACGTGGTGGCTGCCACCGCTTGCTGCTGCTGCTGCTAATGTCAATTAGCATCTGCTTAATTAAGTGACGACATCGTGTTAACTGTGGGGACCGGCATCTCGGTCGGGTGCCGGGACTCCAGAGGAGGGGGTCCACCAGGACTTTTGGAGGCGGTGGTAATTCAAGTTCCACTCGAGACCTCGCCCGCCTCTTGGAGTCACGGTGAGAGGCTGTGGGTCTGCTGGAAGATGCTATGGGAGGTTATTATAAGAGGATGTGGGTGCTATGGGAGGTTGTGTGTATGAAGAGTGTGTTATGAGGCTGTGGGTCTCCTGTAAGATGCTATGGGAGGTTGTGTGTGTCAAGAGTGTGTTATGAGGCTGTGGATCTGCTGGAAGATGCTATGGGAGGTTGTTATGAGAGGATGTGAATGCTGTAAGATATTGTGGGAGGTTGTGTGTATGAAGAGTTTGTTATGAGAGGCTGTGGGTCTCCTGTAAGATGCTATGGGAGGTTGTGATTATCAAGAGTATGTTATGAGAGGCTGTAAGATGCTATGGGAGGCTGTGTGTGTAAAGAAAGGTATGAGAGGCTGTGGGTCTCCTGTAAGATGATATGGGAGGTTGTGTGTGTTGAGAGGATGTGGGTCTCCTGTAAGATGCTATGGGAGGTTGTGATTATCAAAAGTATGTTATGAGAGGCTGTAAGATGCTATGGGAGGCTGAGTGTATCAAGAGTGTTAGGAGAGGCTGTGAGATGCTGTGGGAGGTTGTGTGTGTGTGTTGAGAGGCTATGGGTCTACTGGAAGATGCTATGGGAGGTTGTGTGTGTAAAGAATGTTATATGAGAGGCTGTAAGATACTAATGGGAGACTGTGTATATCAAGAGTATGGTATGAGTGGCTGTAAGATGCTATGAGAGGCTGTGTATACCACACGTCTGCTACGATTCTGCGTGGAGATGGAGAAGTTTAGTGTTATCTCCCCGACTATGAATGCAAAGTCCGGCATGCGAGTGCTATGGATATGTCGAGTGAGGTCTACCATTAGATGCCATATGTCTGCTTTGAGAGGATACGAGTCGAGGAGGCTATGAGGTTGCTTTGATGTAGTTTGGTAGAATGAGGCTTGTACGGGACCGTCTGCTATGAGACGACTGACAGGATGAGGGGCTGCTGTGAGAGGTCTCGCCTAGGCGAGGTGTAGGGGAACTTTGAGCGTGCGAGGATGCTCTGTTCATGAGAGGCTGAAGTCTATGAAAGGCCCATGAGTCTACAATTACAGCCTGGGAGTTCGAGTATGTGAGATCTGTGGGTGAGCTGTGTAAGATGTGGTGTTGATGAGCTGTGTGTGTGGGTGAGCTGTAGGAGCTGTGGCTGTGGGTGAGCTGTGTGTGGGTGAGCTGTAGGAGCTGTGGCTGTGGGTGAGCTGTGGCTGTGGGTGAGCTGTAGGAGCTGTGGATAGCTGTGGCTGTGTGGGTGAGCTGTAGGAGCTGTGGCTGTGGGTGAGCTGTGCGAGGTGTGGTGTGGATGAGCTGTGTGTGGCTGTGGGTGAGCTGTGTGTGGGTGAGCTGTAGGAGCTGTGGCTGTGGGTGAGCTTGAGTGTGGAGGTGTGGAGCTGGTGTGTTGAGGTGTGGTATGTATGTGCTGTGTGTGAGTGAGCTATGGGTGAGGTGTGGTATGTGTGAGCTATGGGTGAGGTGTGTGAGCTGTGTGTGGTGTTGGTGAGCTGTGTGTGGTGTTGGTGAGCTGTGTGAGCTGTGTGTGGTGAGTGAGCTACAGGCGAGCTGTGTGTGAGGTGAGGTGTGTATGTGCTGTGTGTGTGAGGTGTTGTGAGCTGTGTGTGATGTGTGGTGTGTATGTGCTGTGTGTGTGAAGTGAGGTGTTGTGAGCTGTGTGGTGTGTATGTGCTGTGTGTGTGAGGTGTTGTGAGCTGTGTGTGATGTGTGGTGTGTATGTGCTGTGTGTGTGAGGTGAGGTGTTGTGAGCTGTGTGTGCGTGAGGCCCCCGGGGCTCGCCGCCGCCGCCGCCACTCACCCATCAGGATCCGCATCTGCTTCTTGCCGAGCAGCCTCGTGAAGAGCGAGGAGATCGTCAGCCCCATGGCGTCACCTGTCTTATTAACGGGGTGGTCGCGAGTTGTGTTGTTAGTTTGGGGGTTTTATCTTTAATCGTAAAAAAAAAACAATTTTTTAAAATCAAAAAGTGTCGCGATTTGACGCAAATCTTCACTCGAGTGGCGGCGAGGGGCGGGGGGGCGGGGGCGCTGGGATGGAGGGGTGGCGGGTGGGGGTGTGGGGAACGGATTCGCCATCGCGATTGGCTACGGCGCCGTCACGTGGCTCCCGCGTGAGCCAATGGGAGGAGGGCGGACGCGGGAACGTGCGACGTGGAGCTTCGGGGGTCTGTGCGGGATGGGGGGGGGGCGTCGGGGGAGGGGTGGGGGGGGGTCTAGGGGGAGGGGTCTAGGGGGAGGGGCGTGACGTCATCAGGGAGGCATGCGAATTGGCGGCCATGTTACATAGGGGGACTTGGCAAGGGTCATTGCCCAAAACGTCGTTTTCTTAGTTATTTTAAGGCCCACAACGTTATTGACGAATGGTGAGTTGTTGTTTTAGGTGTGGAAGGCCTCCCCGTATGTTATGGGAGAGCATCGGTCACATACCTGCCAACCCCTTATCAGTGCGGCCTACCTTGGTACAGACGAATTCTGACCTTATTGGTCACCCCAGGTGCCCCTTTTCAATTAAATGTCAACATTCATCCTACAAGTTCAAGTTTCATTAATTGGGTATAGCCCTGTGAGCCATGCGGCTTTTGAGTCGGGTGCAACCGCAACAAACTAAATATGAACACAGAACATCTTAAAGCGACGATGCGCAACAGAAACATCCTGGATAAACCAGCAAGTCCCATCACAAGGGATAAACACAAACAAATAGACAAAAACATGTTTTTGCCCGTACTGAAACGGTTGTACGCGGCATGGACCTGAAAACTCTTATTTCCCTGTACAAGAATACGGTTTAAACACTATGGCTTGACGCGGTCTGAGTTTGGGTTGCTTGGCCACAATCCGTTAATCTTCCACTCGTTGTGGATGAGATGTCGAGCATCGGTCTCGTGAGGTTCTAGCGATGCGTTTTGGTAGTAGCGGTGTGAGGTCGGTGAGCGGATGGACGTAATAAAGTGGATGCAACTGAGCTATGGGGCCGGCCATAAATGACGTCACACATCTGGGTGGGGGGGGGTCAGACATTTGTGACGATGTGTGAAGAGGGGTAGGGGGGTGACGTCACATCAAAATGCGCAACTTTAACTATAGACAACACGTTCTACTTAATTAAATAGACTTTTTAATAAATGTTTCTCTAACAATATCAGAGTGCAGCGCCACATTAAATACGCACGACAATGACAATAGTTTAATGCGATTTGAAGCATGTTTTATTTTCAAAATGGAAATATGGTTTTGGGGGGGGGGCAGAGCTTTGTGACGTCATATTTGAGGGGGGGGTCTGACTTTTTGTGACGGGGGGGGGGGGGGGTAAAAAATCGTAATTTATGGACGGCCCCTATTAGCTTGTTTTTCAGAATATTCCTGGCACTTTTAGTAAAAACAACTTTTAATAATCTATTTTTACTTTTCAAAAATTACTCCAAGTGGCTTACGTGGAAATTTCTAACAGACAAATAATCTAAACGCAGCACGTCCACTGTGGAGACGGATCAGTGAAACACGCTCGTGTGTAAAGAGGCGCTAGGCAGATCAATTGTAATCCCATTGGCCATGAGAGTTTGACGACCGTTTGGGAATTTGACTTTCATCCAGCAGTAGATTGATCATGGCCGATTGATGTTTGTGATTTTGTTTAAATGTTGGAATTTCAATATTAGCTCCATCCCAACGTAGGGCTGAATAAAACACTGTTCACTGATTTAATTTTGAGGGGGGAAACCAAAGGTGGGATGGATGGAATTGCGTGACCAGCAGAGGTCAAGTATGGTCAAACGGGCCCCCAGTGACGCTTGGGAAGGAGGCCCTCTTCTGGCAGTGCATTGATAATGGGGCAAAACGTTACGAAATTTTTGCTTTGGTTAATATTTAACACTTGTACCTCACCTCGAAGTAAATGAACACACACAGGGATGTTAGTTTTTGTAATTCGTAATGTTTATCACAGTGGTTGAGCAGCAATACTGTAAACACAACAACAGTAACACACGCCAATGATTTGCTGAGATGGTGACATTGCGTTTTCGAGTGAAAGCCAGTTGGTAAGGGTTTACTGGATTTTGACGAGTCTTCTATTCGTGCCTATGGTGTGGCAGCAATGTTCCCGGAGCTAGATGACAATGTCTAGGGTCTGCTGGCCACATTTGAGGGGCTCCTCCAGGAGAGAAAGAGCGTTTGTGGAGTTTTTCTGTTCGTCCTCTTCCGTTATAAAGGCGCGTTATGTAATTCAATGGTTTACAACGCGGTCCATAGTTCCTATTGCACGGCCACAATCGTCCCAGCAGACGCCATAGGAATGATAAGACACGTTGGCTTTCGCGATCAATATCATCCATAATTAGAGGTTTGTTGCGTTGGATCGTGTAAATAAAAAAGCACACCTGTTAGTGCTGTACTAGTGACGAATTGGCATGTTCTGTTTACGTGACAACCCTTACTAGTTGGCTGTGTCGGGTGGTGGCGGCTTATAACCACATATATTTACGTGATCTAACCCAAAAAACCTCTACTATGGAGTCATTATGAAGGTGCTCGGAGGGATGGATGATGGGCGAAGACGCAGGATAACAATGGAGCGGCAGCCAAGGAATGGAACACGTCCGAGGCAGACGTCCGCTGAGGCGATGGAGCGATTGATGAGGTCTGTTTATTAAAGTTTATTTATTAGGTATAGGGGGGTGGACTGACATTTTAGGATCGTGAGAGGCAGTGGCGGCAAGGGGAGGAAGGTTTCTTACAGCAGTGGATTGACAATAGCTGATGATGATGGTGGTGGTGTCGAGCAATGAGTCCAGTTGATGATTATAGAAAACTGACTGAAGTCATTTCGTGAACAAAAATTGTAATCAACTTCTGTGGTCATTTCCTCTGTCCCCGAAAGCTGGAAACCCCCTTGTTGACATGCTCGGCGTGACGTCGCCGTAGTCGACCCCCCCCCCCCACACCTATCACCTCCCGTCCAGCGGCACATGCGGGGGAAGTGACTGCGGCATAATGGTCAGCAACACACGGGACCTGCAATCTCGGAGGTCGCAGGTTCGCGTCTATCTCCCGGCGTGGCGGTTATCCCCATCGGTCGAGAGAAACGGAACTGACGACCGGAGGAGTAGTTGATGACTGAGATGCGTCAACATTGGGGGGGACCAAATCTTCCAGGGTGTCTGGGGGTCCCAACCCAGAAAAATATCTACATTTGAAAACTGATTTCCTGCCAAAAATATTTTTAAAAATTCCCTAACACATGGGATGGACTTTTTTTTTTACAACAATGTCGAACAGTGTATTGTATTACATTGCTCTGTTTTTACTTTTTTACCATTTCTTGTTTCATTGTATGTAATGGCAGATTAGGGATTAATAAAGTATAACCACAATCATATAAACAGAAATCTATGCATCGATTTATACGAAGACAAGTCCAGATATTGTGGCCAAGGTTTATCAAATTGTTTTTTTTTACATAGCATAGCAATTATTTTTTAATAGCAATATATTGGGGGGGGTTATTTTGACCATATTTGAAATATTGGGGGGGGGGACACATATTATAACTAGCTTTACTACCCGGCTTCGCCCAGGACTTGGATTCACCACGCCCGGCCGCCTTTGTCCCCCCAATGGCGATGTTCACACACCACACCAGTTCCTAGTTTGAGGCTGAGTCGACCTAGGGGAGGCCCAGGACCGGTTGAAATAATCGTCACCGGTGGTGGCCGTGAGCGGGAATCGAACTCGGGTCGCCGGGTTCCAAGCGCAGCGCGCTTACCACTACACTACAATGCGTTACGCTTCCACGTGTGCGGGTCACGTGACAGATTTGACGTCACAGCTCACTTGCTGTGAAAATTTTTTCTGCATTATTGAGCTCCCCCCCCACCCCAAAAGTGTATTTTCATAATTTTTGCATGGTGTACAGTCTGGAATGTACCCACATGGCAAATTTCAAGTTTGTTGCATGTCGGGAAGTACGCTAAACATTTTGAACAGACACACCTATTCACAACTTTGCCTTTTTATATATATATGGAGATTATAATTATAATAATTACGGCCTTGGCTGATGGTGATCTATTTGCCCAAGGTGTCGCTGCTCAGATGATCTGAGCAGGGATGAGGTCACCTACCCCCCCCCCCCTTGTAAAAGGGGTGAACATTAACAGACGGATCTGGTCATGTGAAGGGTCCCCCTTCCCCCAGCACAGGCGTGTGAGGTGTCACCTGCCCACCACAACGCACCTGCATCACCTCTTATCTTGGAACCTCCGCACGGCTAACCGTGCCGCGGTCGTTTGTGCACGTTGTTTCGAGTGCGTGTCGATTACAATTACTAAGTTCTGTACCTTTTTTTGCCTTGTGCTGTAGTGGTTGGAATTCTGCCGCAAGTTGTTGAGCTTGCGGATGGGGATTTAGGACCAATTTAGGCGGCGGTGTTACGGTACCGTCCGCGAAAACGTTTTGGCGGAGACTTGCGGTTTTACCGGATCGAGTTGTTGGGGTCTCACAACGACCAAGGGACGGCCGCTGAAATCAACCTGTGCTGTGTACTAATTGAGGTTTTTTGTTTCTTTCTTTTTTTCCTCCTGCGTGTCGCGTGGCCAGCCATGTCGGTCGTTGGCGATGTCACTCCGCTGGAAACCTTCGAGGTGAGTGAGGGCCGTCCATAGTGGGGCGAGGGCCTCGGCAAAATCTCAACATGTGGGGCCCCCCCTGCCCCCTGACCCCTTATAAGCGCGGGGCCTGGGGCAATCGCCCCGATTCGCCGTATCCCAATGATGGCTCTTGCCACTACTTCTCGAAGTTGTTTACCAATCTAAAACAGATTTAATTCCCTGTGTCAATTTAAAAAGAATACACGCGTTTCATGGATAATGCTACAATTGCGATTTCCTCGCAAAACTTTTTTTTGAAGAGCTTTTATGTTAATAATCCTCCACGTTCCCCGTTGAAATGGAGACAAATATTTTATTGATTTGTCAGACAAAAAGACCTCTGAGTGGCAACCAAGGGAGTATACCTACCGAGGAGATGGAGCGATTTATAAATCTCCTTGCGTGCCAATCGTTGCATCACGCGGGATTGTATGAGATGGCTATGGCTTGGGGGGGGAGACTTTTTTTCCATCAGTGGATTGGCCATGGCCTAACAGAGTCTTATGACACTTTGTAAAATAGGGTCCTGCTAAGTGTTCCCAGGTAGAGGGGTGTCTGGGTGGGAGGGGGGGGATCGCTGCTGCGTGTATAATCCTAATTGAGTAACTTGCGGTGCAATTAGGACAATTATTAACAGTGACGCTAGTACACAACGGGCCTACTCTTGCGAAATGGTGTCACGGGATCTTTAACGTCCACCGATTTGAAGCAGACTGCGCGTGGTAATGGTGTTACTGTTAATACACACACCGCAGTGATAACCAGGGCGGCTGCTGGGATTCAATCCGCGAACCTCTGCTACCAGCATCGATCACGTTATCGGTTACATAAACGTTCGGCTTTGAACATTCGTGGAAAAAAAAATCTGTTTTTTTAAGTAAATGTTAAAAATCTATTGGGCAAGTGTGCGTGCATCTTAGCCCATGGGTCACCAGTTCAACAAACCCCTGGCCAGCAGTGGATAGACCATGGCTGATAGTGGTGATGGTGATGTTTAATTTGTTTATTGTGCAGTTAGACCTCGCTAAGCAAGGGGGGTTTCCAGCTGCCATCTCCACCACGGGTGTGGTGCTAAACACAGTTAATCATTTAGAGATCTTTTATTTACTCAACTTCTGTTTTTAGTTTTGGTGAATTCCCACAGAATTTAGGAACAATCCCCCCCGCCACACCACCACTACAAATGTTTTCACTCTTGTTTAAACCTCCTCCAGTCATTCTCCACTACCGGTACAATTTGAGAGATTTTACTTCGGTGGGCTACTGCTGAAGTCGTGTCCACGGGGCTCGCTCGCCCGGACTTGCACGACGGCCACACCGTGTACGCACAAACGATACTTATCAACCACCTCGCACATTCTTTCTCACCCACCACCACCAATCGTCACCCGATCGAAAAAAAGAAGTTGTGAGGTTTAAGCCAGACTCGTTTGTGGAGCCATCCATCACGTGACGAGCAGCACCGACATCGTGACCTTACCCAGCATGGGACATTGCACTTCGTCCGAGTACATGTGTTTCAAGGTACGTAGAATGTGAACGTGTAACAGGGCCAATTATTTTCTCTCGATGCCACTCGACTACGGGACATGGTCTCAAAGGCTTTGAGGGATATTTGTTTTTGATGCTGATTATTATAATTAAGATGGTAACGATGCAGGCGAGTGATGGTGTAACAATACTGGTGATTGTAAAAATGCCGTTGGTGATCGTGATCGTGATCATGGTGGTGGTAATGATAATGCTGATGAGCACTACTTCACAAAACCCCGGCAGGACCACGTGACCCCATCCTCGCTGTCGAGTTGACCGTCCCCACGTTTGTTGTTTTATTCCCCAGATGCTCTTCCTCTTCGTCCTCTACATCCTGGGCAGCTCGCTCAGGTGAGCCGCACACGTGCGCGTGCACACGCACACGCACGCACACACGGCATGGCACTCCGGCCTGGATTTTGGGGAAGAAATTCCATCCACCATGCAGATGAGGCCACGAAAACAAACCCACACGCTTCTAGGTGCTATCGGTGGAATATTACCGTCACCGGATCATGAGAGGCGGCGGCTTGGGGGGGAAAGCCTTCATCTAACAGTGGATTGAGCACTACTGATAACGATAACGATGATGATGATGAGCATGAACGTTATTAATTTCTGAATAGAGGATGGTGCTCTTATCCGATCTGGTGTCCAAAACACGTGGGTTGTTAATCATTTCTGTTGCGGTGAGCGGTGTAACCATAAGAGATTAAATACATTACAATTCCTTATAAGGGAAACAAATACCAATGAATAACAATTGAATGATTACCAATCTATCAGAGGTGGGACAAAGTCATTGTTATGCAAGTCCAAGTCGAGTCTGAAGTCATCAAATTCATGACTCGAGTCTGACTCGAGTCCAAGTCACATGACTCGAGTCCACACCTCTGCAATCTATACAATTACAATACCCCCGTCCCCTCTTTGCCTCGAATCACTGCACCAGATTGAATTAAATGATGACGTCACCCTGATGTTGGTCTATTTAAGACCGGAAGCAACAGGAGAGCTTCACCATTCTTGCCCCATGAGGCTGATTGTAATTACCAGCGAAACGTCGTACTACTCAAATTTAAAATGCTGTTGATTCTCTCTTCAACACACCGGTGGGCTAAAGAAGTGAATTATTTTGTCCTTTGAAAAACGTGACACATTTTTTACTGTTTGGCTGTGTCGGGTGGTGGAGGGTTACGACACATTTATAAATAACGCGATCTGACCCAAAAACCTATATTATGAAGAGAATACCGGTATGCTGCACCATATCGACAAGTACAGAGCAATAGAGGCGACACGTTCACCTTGCAAAAGCTGAGAATAACGAAGGGATTTGTCGCGGTGGTGAATTGGTCAGCAGCAGTAACACGTGACTGGAGTTGTCACCCGTACGTCGCCAGTTTGATTCCATCTCCCGGCGTGGCGGTCGGAACAACAATGGGGTTAGTTTCAATCGGTGCATTCATTCCTAAAGTGCCACTGGAATTTATTCCTGGTTCCTGACTTTCAGAACCGTTAACCGGTTCCCAGTGAATTTTTCGATTTAAGGCTTTCGTGACTGCAGGGATTCATCTTCGGCGTCAGACGCTGTCTTTCTGACAGCCCTGTTCTTCACCTGAGGACGGCTGCTTGCGTTGTGGCCGAAACGTCGTGAGAATTGTATTTTATTATTATTTTATTATTTCCCTTCTACGTGACTTTACCGAAAGAACCAAGAAGATGGTTCCCAGTGGTTACCAGTTTAACAATTCTCCAAATTAAATTCCTAAATCTGACGAGAATAAGCCACCATCGTAACAAAATAATAGTGCAGGCCAGAAAACCGTGCGTTTTTTAACGGCAATGCATGGACGTGTCGACAGCGCTCGGCCCTTGCGCATGATGCACAAGCCATCGGCAGTTCCTGAATAACTGAAATGTGGTCCTCTTGACCATGCTCAACGTCAAAATACATTTTAAGCAAACGTGAACAAGAGCAGCAGCGGAGACCGAGACGAACAACTGTAGGCTGGTTTGTCCTTGTTAGGGCTCATCAGTGAAGTCAAGCCACCAGTACTCACTGCTGCAGTCTGCCTCTGCCATAGCAACCTGATCTCAAGGTCCAAGGTGTCGGATCACAGGGCTACATCGCCACCACGGTTGTTACGATGGCCACGACTTTGTGGTGACGTGCTTCTTGTGTCTCTTGTGTCTCCGCTCTCCCCCGCGCTCGTCAGTGTGATTGGCTGCCTGTCCGTCATCATCTTCTCCGTCTACCGCGGCATCGTCGCGGACAAAGAGGTGAGCTCCTCTATGACCCCCACCCTCCCTTCGTTCCTCTGAGCTCCTCACTTGGTTCACCCGCCACGTGCGTTCATCCACCCAACGTCATTAACCCATCCCCATTCCGATGACGTACGTGTACGTAAATGTTTTACTTCCTATTCCATTCCGATGACGTGCATGTACGTCATCGGAACGGCATGTGCCACAGTTTGGCGCCAGATATCATAGTGCGGTCGTGTCGCTACAGTTCTCTGCGGTGAATTCGTACAATTTATTTTTAACAATGGAGCTATGCCTCTTAATAAAATGCTGAACCGCTTGCGCGTTCCAAAATTCAGCGATGAACGAGAGGCCCACCCTGCAACTTGCAGTCGTCTCGGAACAGAAAAGGGTTAATAAGCAGTCCCCATATCCCTCCACCTTTTGTTCGGCATTCCCACCTGCATCCTTAAATCGATTATCCCACCCACGTCCCTATCCACCCTTCCGACCCACGCATCCAAACTTGCGTTGTTCATCATCCACCCCATGTGTTTGTCAACCCCCACATTGGTCCACATCTTCCCCCCTCCCGCCCGCCTCTGTGTGCTGGCCGACCCCAGGTGCGGGTGCTGCTACAGCTGATGTTTGCCGACCTGGTGGCGTCGGCGCTGCTGCTCTACTCGGCGACCGTGCCGCTGCTGCCCGAGGAGCTCTACGTGTGGATCTACGAGTACTGCAAGTACTCCGTAGTCGGCGCCCTCGTGAGTCCGTGACTACCGCCCCCAGCCCCCCTGCACACCACGTTATGGGCACTTGTTTAAAAAAAAAACGGCGCAAAATGGATTGTCGTTTACGTCATCGCGCGGCTTGTAAAGCGTTGTTGTAAATAAACAACGATGCAGAATATACACACAATTTTTAAGCGTCAAGTTGTTGCCGTTAGGAATGCGCCCCGAGCAGAAACCTGGCCGCATCCATCGAAAGTTTCCCAAAACGAGCGGTGCCGGGAGGGTGGCCGTTGGAGGGCACGGTGATGACGCCGCGTGGCCTGGGAGCCGCTCGTCACCATTCTCACCCAACCGCTGCCTGTGCCTTAACCCGTTTTTGGAAAGTGTCGCAGAATCCATGGATATGCATGGATTTTTTTTTCTTCTTCCGCCCTAGTTTTACCCTGATTTTTTTCGCTATCCGTACGTCGTACGTAGCACGGCGAGCTACGAAAGTCGGCGACCAAATTTAATTCCCGGCCACGGTTATAACATTGATGGCGAAATGACGCCTGAGCGGGACCTGGTCCCAGGCCACCAACCCACACAAACCAGCGGGGGTGAGAAGCATGGTCAAACAATCACCACTACCGACACTGTGTGGGGGGAGGCATTCATCCAGCAGTGGATTGAACCCGTGTTTCCTCTGCGTAATGTTCCGGTGAATTATCTTGACTATAAAACCATAAAAAATCTCACGAGCCTGCGATGTACTCATTCGCCGAGTGCCTGCACAACAAACTGAATTTGGATATTACAATTGTTTTAATGTATTTTTACTTTGAGCGAAAAGGGGTGTGAATTTTCTCCCGTGTCCCCTGTCGCTGCCCGCCCCCCCACCCGCCCCCCAGTGTTTCTACAGCTGCTCCCTTGCACTGGTGCTGGTGTACGCGCTCGAGGTTTATGGCAGCATGCTGACCTTCAGCGGCGTAAGTTGCAGAAGGTGGCCGGTACGTGACCGTTGCTTTGTGCGCCAATTTCTATTCGCGTCATAATTGCTGGATATATTTATTTTGATTTGCATATTTTGTGACTCCCCCTAGGTAAGTCGCTCACTCTTGCAAATGCGACTCCCAGCCTTGTCTCTCGACTTGAGCTCTCACCGGGTTAAGCACGAATCAATGTGCATGAGCGAGGTCCGCTGTGACATTGTTGGTCTGGGACGCGAAGGGAAGAAATGTAACGAGAGTTCAAAGAGAAGCGTGGAGGGGGAGCGCCTACGGCAGTGGCTGCGCTGATCTGGGAGCCGTGCAGGAGACGGGGGAAACATGCGGGTGGAGCTTCATCTGACCCGGAACGTGACATTTTACAGGCCAGGCTTGCGAAGGGCCATTTGGTTGGTTCGTGACCCAGTGACCTCACGAGCCCTGTGACCTTGCCGATTTTAACGGTCCTCCTCTCTCGATGTCTGCGCAGGCGATGTGCCGAGGCTTGGCTCTCTGCGGCACGTGGCCCCTGTACATCTTCTGCTGGTGAGCCCCAGCACCACCGCACGGCACGGCACGCGAAGCTATCGCTGCGCAGGCGTGATCGCCGTAGAAATACCACGCGCACCGCCCACTTCACAGTGCACGTCAAACATCCCCCGCGCGTCATTCGAAACGAGCAGTCCACGATTTGAGTGTGCCAGTGTCAGTCAAAATTTGCCTGAAATTGATCATCGCGCACAGCAGCCACCCCTCCCCACGGCCTATTGGCAGACTACCGCCTGCTCGAAGACCATGTTCTGAGTCACCTTCTGCTACACGCGGACGGGGGGACAATTGTCTTTTCGAGGTGCCCTCCGGGAAACTGAGACGTGACCAAGTTTAGATTTGAAGCTTTCGTGACTGCAAGGATTCATACTCTTTGGTTTTTTCGGTAAAGTCACGTAGGTTAAAAAATAAAACAAATGAATTAAATCACGACAAGCTTCCATCTTCAGGTGAAACCGTCACAGCAAAGTTGCTGTATCAAGATTCAAATTGCTTTATCAAGATACAAATTGCTGTCTGAAGATACAATTTTTTTGCTGCATCGAGATACAGCAATTTTGCTGCGACGGTTTCACCTGAAGACGGAAGCTTGTGTTGCCTCCGAAACGTCGTGATTTAATTTATTTGTTTACATTTTTTAACCTACATGACTTTACCGAAAAAACCCAAAATTTGACCAAGTTTCTTGTCGTGTGTAAAGCTTGTCTCCGAGACGACGCCACTGGCATCAAGGAGGGCAGCGTCTCTCAAAACGCGAAATCGTAATGGTTCTATAACATTCACATGGTAGATCATTGGAATGGGGTGGTTAGCGCGCTGCCCTGCAAACCCAACAACTTAAGTTTCCTTCCCGCTCGCCGACTATTTGAACCGTTCTTGGACCTCCTTTAGGTCGACTCGGCCTCATGAGTACCCGGCGCGATGTGTCAACGGCGCCACTACGACGACCAAAGGCGGCGTGGTGCTGGCCACATCCCCCGTCGTGTGCCGTGCCGGCCCTCGTAGATGATGCGCTCTAATGGCACTTGCCCCAATAAGTCTGTTGAGGCTACACGGGGGATCTTTGTCTTTCTCCGTTGCCCCCTCTAGGCTGCTGCCACCGTCCCTCTTCTCCATCTACGTGGGCGTCGTAGAGCGGCACCAGAACCAGACCCTCATCGCGCCCGTGTGGGAGAACGACCGTCACAGCAATGACTCGTCGCAGTACTGCACGAGGTGGACTGCGGCATTGTCATCGTCGTCGCATTCATCATCATAAAAAAAAAAAATCTGTTTTTCAACGTTCCTCCTCCTCTTCCTCTGGGTTTTGCTGAAGAAAAGTCCAGTTTTCCACATTCGCCCGTCACGTGACAACTGGATTTGGTTGGCTCTGTCGGGTGGTGGAGGGTTATCGTAAAACATTTGCATTGCACTTATTTGACGCTCTAATCCCCCCCCCCAAATTTTTTTTTTTTGTAAATCTTCGTTGTCTCCGTCAACTTTTGTCATCGCCACCATATCTATCATCATCATCCTCCTCATCGTAGTCCTTTGACTATCTCCTCGCAGCGCTTGGCGTTCACTAGCAGACGTTTGTAGTAGCGATTGGGACAGCCACAGAGTGACACGGCCCACAACTGCTAACCTGTGGCTGTCTACACGTGTCCGCCAAGCCTGGCGCATTAGACAACAGCTCCCTCTGTGTCCAGGGCCGTGTTAACCCTTCGGCTTAATAAGGCTTTAGACCCTCATATTTTGTAGGCCCTCCGTTCCACTTTGAAGTAAAAGCTGAGTGATGGTCGCATGGCTATCGGAACATTTTTGGCATTTGAATTACGATGACACCATTCATGATTTTTCCACAGCAGCTAAAAGCTAGGAAAAATATGTTTTTGTTTTTGAAGAAATAAGCCAACCGAGTTTTTTTTTTTTACATCTGAATTCCCCGCGAGTCGAATAAAATGTAAGTAAATGTTTGACCCACCTAATAAAAAATATTTGTCAAATGTAAATGCATAATTAGGCCTTTCTCTCCGATTTAGCCTTAAGCCTCTCGTAGCCTTAATCCGGCCGTTCTGACCGGCACAAATATCCAGGTGTACTCACGGTTCGATTTGTCTCTTCCCGACCCCCTGCCCCTCTCCAGGTGTCTCCCGCTCATCCACCAACCGGGCGAGTGCCAGGGGGTGAGTACGTGGGTGTTCGAAAGCTCTGTACATTCCGTCAGCAACGAGCTCGGCTCCACGGTTTGGCCGAATTCTGTCTCCCCCCACCCACCCCAGGTGGCACGTGGCTCGCGGCTTTCCACGACGCTCTGCTGACGGTGTTGCTGTGCCTGTTTTTTCGTTTTTCTCTAGCCTCTGGAGACGAGCGACCTGGCGAACAGGGAGAAGTTGATCTTCCTGGCTTACCTGTCTGTGGTCGTGATGACGTGTGGGGTAAGTGACAAGGGACCCGTTGATCGATCGTAAATGACGGTGTTGACGCGCAGCGCACCACCGCGCAGTATCCGCTCGCTCTCGTAGAGGGAGAGGGTGAGGACAAATCGGAGGAACCACGGACGAGTGTTAAGGTAGCCGAGTCGGCGCTACCAACAATTGCCCAAGCTCTGTGCGGTCCTCCCATTATATTAAAATGTCATCGACCAATTCATGAGTGGTGGGAGGAAATTTAAGCACCCGCAGAAAACCCACGCGTGGCGAGCGCGGAAATGCTCCATCCCACACAACGGAATGGCGGAGTCCACATGCTGGCTACGGCTACTCCTCGAGTTTTACCACATTCGTGTGAGGCCTTCCAGCAACTCCTGTGGCCTCCACAACGCTGGGTCAAAGTGAATGTCCCTTTATCAATTACAAACCTACCCAACAGCCCCACATCGGGGGGCGGGAGGGGGGGGGGCTGCTGAGCCCCGCCCCCCTTCTACCCTTCTAAATTCTCATTAGCAGTAGACACCCTTGGTCAATCCACTGCTGGATGCACATTTCCCCAAGCTATCGTCTCGTGCGATCCTTCAATTTAACAGTCCACCCAGAATCGGCTCACGAGCCGATTATTCTATAAAAAGTATATTTTTTTAAATTTAAAGCTTTCGTGACTGCAGGGATTCATCTTCTTGGTTCTTTCGGTAAAGTCACGTAGAATGGAAATAATAAAATAATACATTTTTTTTTATTATGCTTTACTTTGTTATTTTATTATTTCCATTCTACGTGACTTTACCGAAAGAACCAAGAAGATATATTTTTTAGTCGCGTGAAAATCTGATGGACCTTTCCTCCCCCTCCCAGATGCTGTACTACCTGGTGCGGCGGGGCTACCGCGACGTGTTCGAACCCCAGAGCAGCACCGCGGCCGCCGCTATGGGCGCGTGTCCCACGGGACGCTACTACCGCACGGTGGTCAAGAGCACCACGCTCTTCCAGGCGTCCCTCTTCCTGTGCTGGGTGCCAGGTTGGTCTCGACCCACACATTTACCCATCGGCAGAAATGCTCAATCCACTAATGGAATGCAGGGGTCTAACGAGGTGGGTCCCGCCGTTGCTCGCACTGCTCTAGCGATGCGGCTCGTCCCACGTGGCGCCTGTACGCACGAGCGCCGATCCCGGCGTCTCCGTCTCCTCGTCGGCCGTGCTTTCGCACGCGTTCCATTCCGTGGCTGCCACTCGACCGCTATTTGTGGCCGTCATCCCCTTCAAGCCAATGGCGAGGCCCTGCCTGAGCCCCACTTATTATCCTAACGTTTTTGATTGCCGCGAACCTTGCACGCATCCTCTAATCGGTGTGTTCCTCTTGCTGCCTCTCGGTGTAACTCCACGCGTGCATCTCCCCATGATCTTTGGTGCACTTTTGCATTTTTTTGTTAAATTTTAACCTCCTGCTCGACTCGCATGATGTGGGCAGTGGGTGGGGCTACGTGGGTGGTGGGGGCAACAATGGGAGGGGCTAGCCACTGGGTGGGCGTGGTCATGCACAAGTGGGCGTGTGTCTGGCGGCGCAAGGTGCTTGCCCCCCTCTCGTCATGTGTCCTAATTGTTGACGCTTAATTTTTGTTCTGACCCCCAAAAATTACCGTCGTCTGTTCCAGCGCTGGTGATCTGCATGGTTTCGTTCAACTCCGATGTGCCCCACAAATCTATTATATACCTGCAGGTGGTGCAGGTAAGTCCCCGCACAACCCGTCCACGTCACGACACTTGAAATAGTGCCAATAATTTTTTTGTATCTTCGCCAAACCCCAGTAACCGTTCGCATATCCCCGCCATCGATTTTTGCCGGCGGACGTGCTGTGCGCGCAGGCCTGCACGCTACCGCTGCAGGGCCTGCTGAACAGCGTGCTTTACGGCTGGCAGCGGCGCAGCTTCCGCAGCGCGGGCCCGGCGCAGGGAACGACGGCACTCCTGCAACGGGAACCCGTGCGCTACCTCGCCCTGGCCAGCGCCACCTGATCACCGCCACTCCTGAAGAAAGATCGAGAGAGAGCCCAGGTGTAACGGGGGAGACTTGGGAACTTTGGCAGTGCTGTGTTGAGGTCGGGGCAAGCCCTCACCAAATTTTTGGTTCTTGCATTGCTGGGAATGTTTTGCGGAGTTGGCCTGTTCCGTTGTGGCCAGGTGAACTGGTGTCCCTGGGGGTTTTGTCGAGCCACCGTTAGTCATCGTCGTCCTTGTCATCGTCAAATGCGACCGCAAGCCTGGACTGTGGTGGACAACGACACTGGGGACTCGAACTCTGATGTTTTGTAAGGGGACAACCTGAACGAACACTTCGGGGGGGTGGAGGGTGACGGGGGGTGGAAGTGAATTTGACATATCTCGAGTCTCAAAGATTGAGGAGAAACCTAAGTCTAAGGAACGATGCGTCTCTGCCGCATCGCCGAGCTGGGCAGGTCCACAACATCGGATGCACGCTCTCTGGACACTTGAATAGATGTTTTGTGACCATTGGTACAATCGTGATGTGGCTTTTTTTTCGTCCATTGTGGGTTTTGGTACATCGACCGGTCACGACTGTAATTCGAACAGGAAATAATGGGTACATCTCGATCGATTTTTTTGTTAAGTGGAAATGCTCAAATTGCGGCATGTCAGATGTACGTGGACAAAGCGGATATTTGACATCCATGCTGGGATGGTGACAATGAACAGGAAGGGATTTATTTATTTTTTCCACATAAAGCTTTCGTGACTGCAGGAATTCTTATTCTTGGGACTTTCGGTAAAGTCACGGAGATAGGTTCAAATGAAATGACAAAAAACTACGACGTTTCGATCGCAACACAAGCGTTCTTCCTGATGACGAACGTTTGTGTTGAGATCGAAACGTTGTTTTTTTGTTTTTTTCTTTGAACCTATCTACGCCACTTTACTGAAAGACCCAAGAATAAGAGAAATATGACGTCAACAAAAACATCACATTTGCTTCATCGGCCACAGTTGGAATAAGCCAATTAGCAGGAGTGAATTCTACGCAGTAATAGCATTGGTGTTTTAAATGGTGATGATGATGGTTAATGTTGATGCTGCTGCTGCTGACTCTGCACCTAGTGACCAAATAAACCCTGGATGCACGATCTCGTACCATCTCGGAAGCTAAGCGGGAGTTGAGCCTCGTTACTCCGAGGATGGGTGACTACGACCACCCACCACCACCACCGAGGCTTGCCAGGTGCTGTAGGTGTGTGTGGGGCTATCGGGTGTGGTCAGGAGACGGCATTGCTGAGTCTTCCCCCTCGTGTGCAGGGGCGATTTGGTTTTTTTAACTTCTTCTGTGCTTCTTCTTGGTTCTTTCGGTAAAGTCACGTAGAAGGGAATTTATTAAATAATAATAAAAAACATAATAAAATTTGTATTTGTATTATTTTATTATTTCCCTTCTACGTGACTTTACCGAAAGAACCAAGAAGATGAATTCCTGCAGTCACGAAAGTTTTAAATCGAAATGCTTCTGTGCTCTCCGGGTTCCTCCTCCTGTGCGAGGCCAAACTCATGATTACCCATGGGATTGGCCAAATATTTCAATGCAGGACCCTCCTGAAATGTAGTCTTGAGACTCGGTGATGAGGCTTTCCAAGGTAAATAGACTTGCATTGTGACTGTAATAAAGTTTAATGTCTGTGAACTGATGAATATCAGACTGTTGTTGCTGTGTGCCTGTACTAATGGGAAAATATATCAAACGTCGGGCTGTGTTCGTGTTTGTCTTGTCTGCTGCTCGCTTACAGCGCTTGCCTCAAACAGCCTGTGAGCTATATTGGGGATCTTTGACTGATTAAAACCGAGAGGCGATTGTATTTGTTCTTGTTTACTTTTGCATGTGTGGTTGATGAGGTGTCATTTACGTGCTGCGCTGCAAACCAAGATAGCCGAGTTCGATTCCCAATCGCAGCCTATGCCAGTGATGATCTGAACCGTTCCTGGCCCTCCCCTAGGTCGAATGGGCCTCATAAGTACCTGGTGTGCATTGTGTGAATATCAAAACTCGGGAGACAAAGGCGGTCGGGCGTGGTGCTGGCCTACCCACCCCCCCGCATGTGCCGTGCTGGCCTTCATAGGTGCTCGCTTAACAGCATTTGCCCCGACAGTCTGTTAAGGCTGTACACGGGTCTGAGGGGTTCAGGTGCTGGGCTACCAAGAGGTGGGACATTGGACAATTCCATACACCAGAAGCCTACGCCAACAACACTCGCCACCCAGACAAACAACAATCGTCTTTGAATTCATATGGCGTCGCTTAAATGCCTCGGCAACTGTATATCGCTATATAAGAATAGGGGTTTACCCCTTTCTGACAATAAAACGGGTGTTAAGATATTAAAACACCAAACTGAAACCTTTTGCAAGGAATCCTGTTTGCATTAACCACATATACTTGTGGTGACCATGCAAACAAAAAACCATGCTCTGGTCGTAGATGATGCATTGTCTTTGAAACTGATTTGGTCTACACCGGAGACTGCTTTCTTTTAGAGCCTAGTCTCAAACAAAGTTAGACCTGATAATTGTTTTTTACCCTTCTATCTGGCAACAAAACCGACACCTTTTTTTACAAGGAGTCATGTTTGCATAGACCACATTACCTGCAGCCATAATGCAAACAAAAAACATAACTCTGATAATGTATGCACTGTCCTTGAAGTTGATTGGTCCACACCCGAGACAGCTTTCCTTAGAGCCTAGTCTCACATGGGTTGGGCCAGATGACGCCAAAAGGCGCACAACTCAAAGACAATTTTTTTACTGGCAAATGAGGTTCCAATAGTGTTAGACCTATTATTATATTCGTTTGATCAAATCGCATATCAAACACTTGCAGAGAGTCTCCCCCAGGTGGCAGATGTCCCTGTGCGGCAGCAACAAGTCGGGCGGTGCATTCGTCTGCTGCCGGTAGAGGCCGCTCACTTCTGCTGTGTGTCATCCGATCTTCTAAGCTCTCACTTGGACTCTTTGTACTGTAGTTGAATATTTAAATGAGCCGGTTTTACTTTTTAACGTTTTTTTTATTCGGCATTTTGAACGCAAGAAAAATTGGATATAGATTCCCCGTGGTTTTAATTCGTATTTATCGTGGAATTAAGATTGAAAAATGTCCCCCCCACCTCAGGCACGTGGGAGAGGGGGGGGGGTTCCTTTTCATAACGGGGGGTTCATAATGGAGCAGAATGGAGTGCTGGGGGGGGGGCATGAATAGAACATTTACACAGTCAGAAAGAGGAACGCGTGGATTTGAGGTTAACTTACAGCAATTGCTATTAGCTTGGAAGAGACATCGAGTGCGACCCTTTTCCCAATCCCGGGCCCCCGACCTGGGAGAGCATTCCGGACACATGGGGGGGGGGGGGGGAAGTCTCCATTATCCGCCAAAGTAATCCGGATTACTCGGGGGGTCGGAGGTGGGGGGGATTCCGCACGCTCGGGACGTGACCCGGCCCTTGGGTTTTGTTCTCGTGTTCTGGAGATCATTGCGGAATTCTTGCGCCCACCTCTCCCCTCCAACCGGGCACCTCTTCCCCCCCTCCCTCCCTACTCCACCACGGATCTGCCGCTCGACCTCATCACGAGTCGACGGCGACGCCGCACGTGGCTGCTGGAGTCCAGCGCTGTGGAGGCAGCAGCGTGGTTTCGATTTAAAGCTTTCGTGACTGCAGGGATTCATCTTCTTGGTTCTTTCGGTAAAGTCACGTAGAAGGGAAATAAAAAAATAATAAAAAAACATTTTAATAAAACATAATCAAATAATTGTCTTCCCGACAGACCTGTTCTTCACCTGAGAATGGCTGCTTGCGTTGCAGCAGCAAAGGTTGGTGGATCGCACGCGCGTTTGTGAAACTGTCGTCCAATGAACGTCGAGGGTGAAGCTGTCTACCCCGACTTGCCAGGAGAAGGTGATGCAGCACAAATGTGGACTCCGCCTGTTTCTTCTGTACGGTTGGGCGTTTTCCCCTCGTACGGGTTTGTTTTGTGCGCTGCGATTTCTTCCCACATTAATGAATCTGTCGATGACATTTTATTATATATAGAGAGAGGATTGCAGAGCTTGGACGAGCGGGTCGGGCAGCTGCTACTGCTGCTGCCCCGACCCGCTCGTCTGTGGTTCCTCCTCGCGGCTTTGCGTCGTCACATCTTCGACAGCGAGCGGCGCCTTGCGGGGCATTTCAAGTTGACGCGATCATTATTACCTCGCCCGATGCCAGCCACCACCAACAACAACAACTCGAAACACTCAGCGCCACAACATCCAGCCGTGCAGATCAACAAAGCAAATTACAATGGTCAAAAAAAACAAACATTTTTTTCTGGTCTGGACTTTTGCAGCTGTTTTAGACTAATTTCAGGGTGCTGATTCCAAATATGATCTCAGGTTTACTCTATCACATCTCATTTTTATGCTATCGGCATACCCCATTTTCATTGATTTTACCCGAAATTGACTCTGTCACTTATGATTGCAAGTTGTTGCGAGTCAGTGACTGCTTTAGTGTTAAAATATGGTCCTGTGTTTTTTAGGATAGTGTGTTTTATAATATCATTTTATGTAGATATCCCCATTTATTTAATATTTTTCTTCTGCAGTTTTTATTGAAAATGCAATATTTGATATCTCAAAACCCTGATGTGATAGACAAAAACTGATGCCAGATTTGGAATCAGCACCTCAAAATTACCTTAACCGTTGGAATACCTTATGCCAGAAAAAGTGTGTTGACCAGTGTTATTCATCCGCCACTCCAAAGCTCGCAGCAGGACCGCTCCCTGCTTGTGGCCACAAGGTGGCGCTCGAGGCTAAGACATCCCCCACCCAATGGAGAGACCCCCCGCCCCGATCCACCATCGCAAGCCGTTCCACCTGTGGCTGCCTCACCTCCTATCTATCTGTCTGTCGTCTCGACAGAGAGAGAGAGAGCTCTGGGCCATGCCCTTTCTCAAGGACGTCTGCGATCGTGGGCTGCCTTCCGTTTCGCTCTGTCGGTGATATTTACTCGATAACTTATCACCCAACACTGCATTGGATCCATAATAGAGGTTTGTTGTTTTTTAATTAAGACTCAAAACAGGAACATTGCTCCACAATTATGTATGTCGCCTGTTGAGGCTGGTTCTAATTACCAGCGCAGCGTCGTTCTCGAATTGTAATAGTCGTGGGTTGGTTTACTCTCCAACACACCGGCGTGCTGAACTAGTAACTAATTAATCTTCTTGGTTCTTTCGGTAAAGTCACGTAGAAGGGGAATAATAAAATAATAAAAATAAAACATTATAAAATAATTAATATTTTCATTGCTTTATTATTTCAAGAAGATGAATCCCTGCAGTCACGAAAGCTTTAAATCGAAATTTAGTAACTAATTGGCGTGTTTTGTTTACGCGACAACCTTACGAATTGGCTGTGTCGGGTGGTGGCGGGTTTAACGACACATTTAAGCGATTTAACACAAAAACAACCCTTCGTGTAGTGTTCCGGCCTCAATAGATGCTCGCTAACAGCATTTTCTTCGGGATCGGGGTGGGGATTATTGGACTTTGTGTATGTGTGAGTGGATGGTCAGGGCAAGGCACTATATGAACCCAGCGACCAGAATTATATTCCCGGCCACGGATAACATCAGTGGCGAGTGATATCAGAATCGGTCTTGAGCTCCCCCGCCTTCACCAACACGCACTGACAAGTGTGGTAAACATCTTGATTTGAAGCTTTCGTGACTGCAGGAATCCATACTCTTTGGTTCTTTCAGTAAAGTCATGCTTTCCCACCTGATGACGGGCGCTTGTGTTTCGCCCGACGTCGTGATTTATTTTATTTTATACCTACGTGACTTTACCGATAGAACCAAAGAGTAAGTGTGGTAAAGTATGGTCAAAGACAACGAATGAAAATAGTGTTCAAGTTCATGTATTAGGTATAGCCCTAAATTTCGATTTAAAGTTTCGGCCACAACGCAAGCAGTCGTCCTGCTTGCGTTGTGGCCGAAACGTCGTGAGAATCATTTAATTATGTTTTATTTTTATTATTTTCCTTCTACGTGACTTTACCGAAAGAACCAAGAAGAGGTATAGCCCTGTGAGCCATTCGGCTCTTGAATCGGGTGCAACCGCAACAAACAAAAAAAAACATGAACAAGAAAACATCTTAAAGTGAATATGTGACTAAGTGTACTTACTGTGTGCGTGCGTGCGTGTGGGAAGCGGGCTTGTTCCTAACCCGGCGTCCCGAGTTCAATTCCCATTCATGGCCAACACCAGTACACCGTTTATCTGAACCGGTCCTGAGCTTCCCCAAAGTCGAATCCGTCTTAAAGGAGTA